CATATTGCTCACAGTCTAGCCCGTAGCGCCAAATCGCGCCCTTTCCGGTGATTTGCACCCCCCTCAAACTTTCGATTTGCACCCCTTCCCCCCCCCCCCTCCCTAAAACTTTCGTTTTCCACCCGCCCCCCCCCTCGCAAATTTTTTCCAACCCACTATGGCGCCCCCTAAGGTCGGCACCCGGGGACATATGCCCACCCCCCTCGCTACGCCTCTCCTATAAAACCCGAAAGATAGAATAATAATTAGAAAACAGTATAAATAATAGGCAGTATCTATAATATATACAATATTTCACTTTATCCATTCACACATTTGTTTCCAGTACTTTAAATTTTAATAATTTACAAAAGAGTTTCATAACTAAAACCATTGCGCACCTAATGAACGTGATGACGCGTCTATAATAGAGCTGAATAGTTGATTAAAAATTATAAGTAATAAACAGTAGGGCCTACATTCAGTGAATAAGATAAATAAAAGATTGCCTTTTATCAATCCATGCTAATTATAATTTTCTAACAATAATTTCCTCTTACACATCCGAATAATTTGCATTCACATTTTGCTAATTATATTATTGCAACACTAATTCCTTTTATGACGAACGAATATTTGCATTTACATTTTTTATTAGCGTGAGTTTAATGTATTTTTAAATTACCTCCGTTGTCAAAATTAGAAAAGAGTTAAATTAATTTGATTTTTCTACCGTACTGTTATTATCTTATTAAAATGTATCCACTTTTTCTGGGAACCTAAACGAAAATGATATTTGACATTAATCTTTTTAATACGTTTTAGCAGTTTGCGTGTATTTAATATTTTCTTGACGTTATGCGAAAGAGTAAAAACCTTGGCAATTATAAAATAGCTCTATGCCGCTATATAAACAAACCCTACTCTAATACTTATAATAAGACACTGCGGTGCACTGAAAAGCACAGCATGGTGCGAATGTTTACTTTTATGGTTCCAAAATCTATAGCGATGACGGAAGGAAGGACTGACACACTACCAGCAGCGTTATATTATAGATATATATATATATATATACTAGGCATACTGCCTAGCTTCGCTTAGGTTTTCAAAAAAATTGAGGAATTGAATAATTAATTAATAGGTGATTGGCTGCTATCTTAAATGCATAGGGCCTAAATTTATACAGTGGAGTAATTTTATGATACGCTAATATTGATGGAATATTCGCAAACTTATTACTCGTACGGTTATTAGAACTGCAGGGGGTTTCGGAATAGTATCAATCAAATATTATAATAAATTACTTTTACAATAAATTTTTACAATATCAGTACAATGCAAAACTTAATTTATAACAAAATATTTATTTAAAACAATGCTATACTCTATGATTTTTATTTTTTTCTTGAAAAGAGAATACAAAATATTTAAAAATTATTACATTAAAAAGTTACTTCCCCTGTTCATAGACCAAATGACCTAATCTCGTATAATGATAATTTCACTCGCGGTCACTTTTTAGCACTCGTCGAGGGCTTTGAGTGAAACCGACAGTTTTCCCTAAAGGTCAAGCCATTTACCTAAGAGCATGCAAAAAATTAGCCAGATGTAAAGACTGTAAGTGCTCTCAAATCCGTTTTGAAATGACCCTCTGTTTTTCCCATAAAATACAAAGATTATATAGGGAAATACGACTGGTCAGTTTTGACCCATTTAACGAATTTTCCCGGACATGGCGAGTTTTTTGTGACACCCCAAGGCGTTCTCCTACCACCTCACAAAATGTCAAGGGGGGTCGTCGGAGGAAAAAAATTTTCGTAATAGAGCTCATATAAAGAGAATTTCACTCGCGGTCACTTTTTAGCCCTCGTCGAGGGCTTTGAGTGAAGCCGACAGTTTCCCCTAAAGGTCAAGCCATTTACCTAAGAGCATGCAAAAAATTAGCCAGATGTAAAGACGGTAAGTGCCCTCAAATCCGTTTTGAAATAACCCTCTGTTTTTCCCATAAAATACAAAGATTATATAGGGAAATACGACTGGTCAGTTTTGACCCATTTAACGAATTTTCCCGGACATGGCGAGTTTTTTGGGACACCACAAGGCGTTCTCCTACCACCTCACAAAATTTCAAGGGGGGTCGTCGGAGGAAATTTTTTTTCGTAATAGAGCTCATATAAAGAGAATTTCACTCGCGGTCACTTTTTAGCCCTCGTCGAGGGCTTTGAGTGAAACCGACAGTTTCCCCTAAAGGTCAAACCATTTACCTAAGAGCATGCAAAAAATTAGCCAGATGTAAAGACGGTAAGTGCCCTCAAATCCGTTTTGAAATCACCCTCTGTTTTTCCCATAAAATACAAAGATTATATAGGGAAATACGACTGGTCAGTTTTGACCCATTTAACGAATTTTCCCGGACATGGCGAGTTTTTTGTGACACCCCGAGGCGTTCTCATACCACCTCACAAAATTTCAAGGGGGGTCGTCGGAGGAATTTTTTTTTCGTAATAGAGCTCATATAAAGAGAATTTCACTCGCGGTCACTTTTTAGCCCTCGTCGAGGGCTTTGAGTGAAACCGACAGTTTCCCCTAAAGGTCAAGCCATTTACCTAAGAGCATGCAAAAAATTAGCCAGATGTAAAGACGGTAAGTGCCCTCAAATCCGTTTTGAAATGACCCTCTGTTTTTCCCATAAAATACAAAGATTATATAGGGAAATACGACTGGTCAGTTTTGACCCATTTAACGAATTTTCCCGGACATGGCGAGTTTTTTGGGACACCCCAAGGCGTTCTCCTACCACCTCACAAAATTTCAAGGGGGGTCGTCGGAGGAAATTTTTTTTCGTAATAGAGCTCATATAAAGAGAATTTCACTCGCGGTCACTTTTTAGCCCTCGTCGAGGGCTTTGAGTGAAACCGACAGTTTCCCCTAAAGGTCAAGCCATTTACCTAAGAGCATGCAAAAAATTAGCCAGATGTAAAGAAGGTAAGTGCCCTCCAATCCATTTTGAAATGACCCTCTGTTTTTCCCATAAAATACAAAGATTATATAGGGAAATACGACTGGTCAGTTTTGACCCATTTAACGAATTTTCCCGGACATGGCGAGTTTTTTGGGACACCCCAAGGCGTTCTCCTACCACCTCACAAAATTTCAAGGGGGGTCGTCGGAGGAAATTTTTTTTCGTAATAGAGCTCATATAAAGAGAATTTCACTCGCGGTCACTTTTTAGCCCTCGTCGAGGGCTTTGAGTGAAACCGACAGTTTGCCCTAAAGGTCAAACCATTTACCTAAGAGCATGCAAAAAATTAGCCAGATGTAAAGACGGTAAGTGCCCTCAAATCCGTTTTGAAATCACCCTCTGTTTTTCCCATAAAATACAAAGATTATATAGGGAAATACGACTGGTCAGTTTTGACCCATTTAACGAATTTTCCCGGACATGGCGAGTTTTTTGTGACACCCCGAGGCGTTCTCATACCACCTCACAAAATTTCAAGGGGGGTCGTCGGAGGAAATTTTTTTTCGTAATAGAGCTCATATAAAGAGAATTTCACTCGCGGTCACTTTTTAGCCCTCGTCGAGGGCTTTGAGTGAAACCGACAGTTTCCCCTAAAAGTCAAGCCATTTAACTTAGAGGATGCAAAAAATTAGCCAGATGTAAAGACGGTAAGTGCCCTCAAATCCGTTTTGAAATGACCCTCTGTTTTTCCCATAAAATACAAAGATTATATAGGGAAATACGACTGGTCAGTTTTGACCCATTTAACGAATTTTCCCGGACATGGCGAGTTTTTTGGGACACCCCAAGGCGTTCTCCTACCACCTCACAAAATTTCAAGGGGGGTCGTCGGAGGAATTTTTTTTCGTAATATAGCCCATATAAGGCGCCGGTCAGTCGAGGTCAGTTTTGACCCCCTCTCCGTAGACTTTTCGGCCAACCGTCACCGGCCCTCGTGTTCTATTGCCCCAAGGCACCATCGTGCCAAATTTGACGCGCCTGCGGCGCCGGGAAGTGCCCTATCGGGCACCCGACCACTTTGCTTTATATATATATATATATATATATATATATATATATATATATATATATATATATATATATATATATATATATATATATATATATATATATATATATATATATATATATATATATATATATATATATATATATATATATATATATATATATATATATATATATATATATATATATATATATATATATTAGGGATAAAAGATACAATTTTTTATGATGTGGGATTTGTACGGCTGTTTTCAAGTCCCTAATAATTAATTTATGTTGAAATTAATTTATGTAGAAATTAATTTATGTTGAAATTAATTTATGTTGAAATCTAACAATGACTGCAACCATTTACATTTATTAATTTATTTCAAGCTTTTATTTAGCTCACTTCCTCTGTCTATCGTCTGTCGTCAGTCGTCAGTCTATCTGTCTAGATCGAAACGGCCGAGCGAAATTACGGGCACTTCTGACAGATACGGTTCGTAATTGGTACGTGGGTAAAGACGTGAAGACAATGCATCAAGACATTCAATTTGACTTAATTGGATGCCTAATTAATTTTTTATGAATTAATTAAAATTTTGACCAAATTAGTTGGCTGTTCTATCCAACTACTCGACACGCGTCATCACGTTCAATAGCGCGTCATCACGTTCAATAGGCGCTCAATGATTTTTAGTCATGTAACTCTATTGGGTTTGGTTTGTTTTAAAGACATGTAAAGTACTAAAATAAATTTCATAAAAAATGTTTTAATAACAAGCTTTTATGTACTAATGCACTAAAAAGTAGAAAATAAATTACAGACTACTATTTAAATAACTATAAAGGAAGAGACCCACGCTTTTCTTTATAGTTATTTTAATAGTAGTGTATAATTTATTTTCTCCTCTTTAGCGTATTATTACATAAAAGCTTGCTATTAAAACGTTTTTTTATTTATATTAAAACCTTACGGGCGACTCCAACAATTCTCTATCACCAGGTGTTGAAGAGTGTAACGGCCTATCTGTGGACTGGGTGTCCAAGCACATCTACTGGACAGACGCGGGCAAGAAGACGGTGGAGATCGCCAACTATAACGGCAGTGGCCGGCGTATTCTGGTGGGCGATGGTCTGAGTAACCCTAGGGGAATCGTCATTGACCCAGTCTTTGGGTAAGTTCTGACGTCATTAACATAGTTTTTTTGGGTAAGTTTAGACGTTACTGACCAGTCTCTGTCTCTAGACGTCTGACACCAGTCTCTGTCTCTATACGTCTGACACCAGTCTCTGTCTCTATACGTCTGACACCAGTCTCTGTCTCTATACGTCTGACACCAGTCTCTGTCTCTATACGTCTGACACCAGTCTCTGTCTCTATACGTCTGACACCAGTCTCTGTCTCTATACGTCTGACACCAGTCTCTGTCTCTATACGTCTGACACCAGTCTCTGTCTCTATACGTCTGACACCAGTCTGTCTCTATACGTCTGACACCAGTCTCTGTCTCTAGACGTCTATCTCTACTCGTTATCTTTTATTTACTCCATGATATACACGAAGCGCCCGCGCTCCAGACACTTAGTTTATTTTGAGGCGTTCATCACTAGCTGCCTTGTGTATATGTGAGTGTGTGTGTATGTACGTGTGTACGTGTGTGTGTGTGTATGTATGTGTGTGTGTGTCCTGCTATCTTAGTAGTCTTACGGTATCCTTTTGTTTATATAACATTATTGCCCGATGCTATATTTATGTTTATATAACATTCTTGCCTAATGCTATATTTTTTGTTTCTATAACAATCTTGCCTAAAGCTATAATATATTTATGTAAAATGGTTGCCTAAAAGCATATTTTTTCATGCATGAAATATGACATCGCAGCCTACACTAATCCATGCCGGTATTTAGCTTGGGGTTGCTTTGGTCACCATAGTAACGCCTGTTGTTTACGCGATAACAGAAGAGCTGAGAGACAATATGAATGGCGGCCTTGGTTTATGTCACATGATCCACCCCGTGTCACCATGACCTGCTCCACAAGAACACTTGTCTGGTGTTGCCAGATATTTTTTTACTCGGCCGAGTTGTTTCCCTTGTGCTAAAGTTGTTTCCCTTGTGCTAAAGTTGTTTCCCTTGTGCTAAGTCTATGACAAACGTCCCATTATTAATTATGGTACAACTTTTCATCTTGAACTATGCTACACTTTAGCGCTTTAGCTGCTATATTCTTGCCGCGTAAATGTTATTGTAGTTCTTATAGTGCAGTTTAGCTCCTGGGTTATTGTGGTACAGTTTAGCTCCTGGGTTATTGTGGTACAGTTTAGCTCCTGGGTCGCTAAATGTAGCCTAGGATCACGTGATTTATTGGACTACATGTAGATATGGAGACAACAGACGCGAAACAACCTCACCACGGCACAGATAGTTCATACTTGTACACAATGTGCTCACGTGACATATACACAATGTGCTCACGTGACATGTACACAATGTGCTCACATGTACACAATGTGCTCACGTGACATGTACACAATGTGCTCACGTGACATGTACACAATGTGCTCACGTGACATGTACACAATGTGCTCACGTGACATGTACACAATGTGCTCACATGTACACAATGTGCTCACGTGACATGTACACAATGTGCTCACGTGACATGTACACAATGTGCTCACGTGACATGTACACAATGTGCTCATGTGACATGTACACAATGTGTTCACGTGACATGTACACAATGTGCTCATGTGACATGTACACAATGTGCTCACGTGACATGTACACAATGTGTTCACGTGAAATGTACACAATGTGCTCATGTGACATGTACACAATGTGCTCACGTGACATGTACACAATGTGCTCATGTGACATGTACACAATGTGCTCATGTGACATGTACACAATGTGCTCACGTGACATGTACACAATGTGCTCACGTGACATGTACACAATGTGCTCATGTGACATGTACATAATGTGCTCACGTGACATGTACGCAATGTGCTCGCGTGACATGTACACAATGTGTTCACGTGACATGTACACAATGTGCCCACCAGACATGTACACAATGTGCTTACATGTACACAATGTGCTCAAGTGACATGTACACAATGTGCTCGCGTGACATGTACACAATGTGCCCACCAGACATGTACACAATGTGCTCACGTGACATGTACAAAATGTACCTACGTGACATGTACACAATGTGCCCACCAGACATGTACACAATGTGCTCATGTGACATGTACAAAATGTGCCCACGTGACATGTACACAATGTGCTCACGTGACATGTACACAATGTGCTCACGTGACATGTACACAATGTGCTCGCGTGACATATACACAATGTGCTCACGTGACATGTACACAATGTGCTCACATGACATGTACACAATGTGCTCATGTGACATGTACACAATGTGCCCACCAGACATGTACACAATGTGCTCACGTGACATGTACAAAATGTGCCCACGTGACATGTACACAATGTGCTCATGTGACATGTACACAATGTGCCCACCAGACATGTACACAATGTGCTCACGTGACATGTACAAAATGTGCCCACGTGACATGTACACAATGTGCTCACGTGACATGTACACAATGTGCTCATGTGACATGTACACAATGTGCTCACCTTGATGTAAGATGTACCTTAAAAAATTTTCTCACCGAAATTGCCAGCGGATAGTGACGTAATAAAATACCTGCTGCGGAATATAAAAACTCGGTTTGACTTGATATCGCTGTGTGATTGGACTGTTGCCATGGTAACACCTGTACTCTCTACACACTCCCCTTATGTTTTGGACAACCTGCAGCAGAAGACGAGCCAAATCTGAATGAATGACGGGATCTCCGAGGAGTTCTTCACGTCTGATAGATTGATGGCGTGCTGCTCTAGATGCGATCGTTCTCTGTCAGTGACTGGGTTTATGTTGTAAGACTCGAGCCAGTGATGAACAACAGGAGATTTGAGGAGATTTAGACGCGATATATTGCGGGCAAGAGGATAGAAACAGAGCATCACCAAATGACAACACGTTCTTATTGTTAAAACAAAACACAAACCTAACAATATTTAATAATGTCAGCATTTATTGATTAACAACTATTAATTAAAATATGTTTTAAAGGTAATTAAAAAATGAAGATATTAAGACATAAGTGAATGATAACTGCTAAAATTTTCTGGTTTTTTTATTATATTAAGTGACCGTCTAACTATATATATATATATATATATATATATATATATATATATATATATATATATATATATATATATATATACAGTGGCGTAGCCAGGATCGTCTGAAGGGGGGGGGGGGGGTTCCAATTTTTACCCGGGGACAAACTTTCGATTTGCATCCCCCCTCAAACCTTCGTTTTGCACACCCCCCCCTCAAACTTTCGATTTGCAACCCCCCCCCCCCTTCAAACTTCGATTTGCACCCCCCCTATGACCCCCCCTAACCCCCCCTTCCTACGCCACTGTATATATATATATATACATGTGGGAATCTTGAACCGCTAATTTTGTACATGGTGTCATTAGACCCGTGATTGTCTGGAGTTTTAATTAAGTTATGAAGAAAACGTTAATCAAATACTACAATGTTAGGGGGAAAAAAATCTGTAAATGACGTAATCACACCGTCTTGACTCTCAAGAGATTAGTGTCCTGATGAAATCGTAATTTGATTAGTCCACCAATAGCCTGTGAATGACACCCCACCCTGAATCACGGCAAAAATGACGTGCCGTGTGAACTTCTGCTCATTGTTTGGTTTTAAGCTCAAACGTGAAATTTTCGCTATCTGACCAATGTTTGTGTGACCTTGTCTTGACTAAGGTTACATCGTGTTTGACCTTGTCATGACCTAGCTTACATCGTGTGTGACCTTGTAATGACCTTGCTTACATCATGTGTGACCTTGTCATGACCTAGCTTACCTTACATCGTGTGGGTTTCGCACATGAAATTCACCGAACGTATTTCATACCACGCATCACTTGATAGATGTGTAAAAAAAAACGTCAAGATGAGAAAACGAAATAAATATCGCCAGGTGCCTCGCTGAAAATGTTTTTCAAATCATTAAAAAACCGTTAAATCAAAGTCTCGTCTTTTCTCGTGCCAAGTCTCACAGGCGGCAGAAAAAAAGGTTCGCTTAGATTAACGTTGATCTCGTGTAGTTTTTAGTGACATCATCACCAGCAACAACATCCAGTGCTGCAGCTACACATTCCTGCACACCCACGCATCTCCATATTTGAATGTAAAGTGCCACATGTGGGGAGTTCCCACCCACACACTCCCCCACATGTTGAGGAGTTGCCGCCCACACACTCCCCCACATGTTGAGGAGTTGCCACCCACACACTCCCCCACATGTTGAGGAGTTGCCACCCACACACTCCCCCACATGTTGAGGAGTTGCCACCCACACACTCCCCCACATGTTGGGGAGTTGCCGCCCACACACTCCCCCACATGTGGGGAGTTCCCACCCACACACTCCCCCACATGTTGGGGAGTTGCCGCCCACACACTCCCCCACATGTGGGGAGTTCCCACCCACACACTCCCCCACATGTTGAGGAGTTGCCGCCCACACACTCCCCCACATGTTGAGGAGTTGCCGCCCACACACTCCCCCACATGTTGAGGAGTTGCCACCCACACACTCCCCCACATGTTGGGGAGTTGCCGCCCACACACTCCCCCACACCCTCACGTGACACTACATGTATCTTTCCTCCGCTCAGCGTACATCCGTGTCTGCACTTCATTCGTTCTGTAATCGTATCACGTGGTATCCCGTGATATCCCGTGATATCCCGTGATATCCTGTGATATCCAGTGATATCATCGTGCTAACTATCTATAACCAGCTATTCCAATTACCCCCGCCCCCCCCCCCCTCCCCCACAGTTGGTAGTTGCCATACACAAACAACAGTTGTCAACTTAATCGACCGTGTCCAAGATCGATTAAATTAGACCGGTTACGGTCACATAATTTCATTAGACATTTGCCTACAAATGCCCACATGGTCGAGAGGTAGGGCTTATGCCGGTGAACCCGAAAGATTCGTGTTCAAATCCCGGGCCCGAGTACCTGAGTCTTGGGCACGAACGGGAGAAGATGGTGACACTTTATGTGCGCTAACATATGACTGATGTATGACATCAAGTCACATTAAGTCACATTAAGTCAGCTAACATATGACTGATGTATGATATCAAGTCACATTAAGTCAGCTAACAATTTAACTGATGTATGATATCATGTCACATCAAGTCAGCCAACATATGACTGATGCATCTTGACATCTGTGTTTCCAGTCACGTGTACTGGGCCGACCAGGGGACGAAGCGAATCGAGAGATCTCTGCTAGATGGGAGTGACCGGAAGTTGCTGGTGGACAAAGACATGGGCCATCCCAACCAACTGTCGGTCAGCTACTCCACCAGGTAAACTTTGTCGACGTGTCATTTGGTTTGTTGGCTTCACGATCAAACACGTCTACAAACTTGTCACTAAAACATATATACAAACTTGTCACTACAGCATATCTACAAACTTGTCACTAAAACATATCTACAAAATTGTCACTAAACATGTCAACAAATTTGTCACTAAAGCACGTCTACAAACTTGTCACTCCAGGAAACTGTACTGGGTGGATGTCAAGAAAATGGCTATCATGTCATGTGACATTGAGGGCGGAGACCTGACGAGAGAGAGGGATCTCCAGGAAATATCAGGCGGACATCATGTCTTTGGTCTTGTTGTCATTGGCAACACGGCTATCATAAGCACCTGGTGAGTAAACACTCCACACCTTGATGATATGGGCCATGAGAGCCAAGTATTTCAAAACTTGATGATAGGGGCCATGAGAGCCAAGTATTTCAAAACTTGATGAAAGGGGCCATGAGAGTCAAGTATTTCAAAACTTGATGATATGGGCCATGAGAGCCAAGTATTTCAAAACTTGATATGGGCCATGAGAGTCAAGTATTTCAAAACTTGATGATATGGGCCATGAGAGTCAAGTATTTCAAAACTTGATGATATGGACCATGAGAGCCAAGTATTTCAAAACTTGATATGGGCCATGAGAGCCAAGTATTTCAAAACTTGATATGGGCCATGAGAGCCAAGTATTTCAAAACTTGATATGGGCCATGAGAGTCAAGTATTTCAAAACTTGATGATAGTGGGGGATGAGAGTCAAGCATTTCAAAACTTGATATGGTCCATGAGAGTCAAGTATTTCAAAACTTGATGATAGGGGCCATGAGAGTCAAGTATTTCAAAACTTGATGATAGTGGGGGATGAGAGTCAAGCATTTCAAAACTTGATATGGTCCATGAGAGTCAAGTATTTCAAAACTTGATGATAGGGGCCATGAGAGTCAAGTATTTCAAAACTTGATAAGGACTATAAGTGATCAAGTATTTCCTATCGTCACCAATACGTTACCTTCTAACGGTATTTGACATTTTCATAAACCAATGAATATTTTGAAAATATTGCTTTACAAAAGGAAGAAATTGTCAAAATAAAAATTGCTGTATATAATAATCAACGCTGTATTTCCCATGGGTGTAGTACCCTGAAGTGACTATAGACCTAGCTATGTGTAAGATAAGAAAGGCTGACCTTGAACCCTCTGATGTGATTATAGACCTAGCTATGTGTAGAAGATAAAGGCTGACCTTGAACCCTCTGATAAAAGATAATAAAGGCTGACCTTGAACCCTGTGATATAAGAAGATAAAGGCTGACCCTGAACCCTCTGATATAAGATACTAAAGGCTGACCTTAAACCCTCTGATGTGACTATAGACCTAGCTATGTGTAGAAGATAAAGGCTGACCTTGAACCCTCTGATAAAAGATAATAAAGGCTGACCTTGAACCCTCTGATGTGACAGGTACAAGTCCAAGATAGCCTCGACGTTTGTGGCCACACGAGAGGCTTTATGGCGCAGTGAGATGGTCCTCCATCACAGCCCCCACCTCTACAGTCTGGCTGCAACCACACCGTCCATACAGGCAGCTAGTAAGTCGGGTTAACCCACAGCTAGTAAGTCGGGTTAACCCACAGCTAGTAAGTCGGGTTAACCCACAGCTAGTAAGTCGGGTTAACCTACAGCTAGTAAGTCGTGTTAACCCACAACTAGTAAGTCGGGTTAACTCACAGCTAGTAAGTCGGGTTAACCCACAGCTAGTAAGTCGGGTTAACCTACAGCTAGTAAGTCGGGTTAACCCACAGCTAGTAAGTCGGGTTAACCTACAGCTAGTAAGTCAGGTTAACCCACAGCTAGTAAGTCAGGTTAACCCACAGCTAGTAAGTCGGGTTAACCCACAGCTAGTAAGTCAGGTTAACCCACAGCTAGTAAGTCGGGTTAACCCACAGCTAGTAAGTCGGGTTAACCCACAGCTAGTAAGTCGGGTTAACCCACAGCTAGTAAGTCAGGTTAACCTACAGCTAGTAAGTCGGGTTAACCCACAGCTAGTAAGTCAGGTTAACCCACAGCTAGTAAGTCGTGTTAACTTACAGCTAGTAAGTCGGGTTAACCCACAGCTAGTAAGTCAGGTTAACCCACAGCTAGTAAGTCGGGTTAACCCACAGCTAGTAAGTCGGGTTAACCCACAGCTAGTAAGTCGTGTTAACTTACAGCTAGTAAGTCGGGTTAACACACAGCTAGTAAGTCAGGTTAACCCACAGCTAGTAAGTCGGGTTAACCCACAGCTAGTAAGTCGGGTTAACACACAGCTAGTAAGTCGGGTTAACCCACAGCTAGTAAGTCGGGTTAACATGCAGCTAGTAGGTTTCAGCATACTTACCCGCCCACTTTCAACAACGTTCAATATTGCATTTTCTTTTCAATGGGGGCTTAAATTGTGGTTGTAAATCCATGTGTGGGATGTTGAGTTATTAGCGACTGCCTTTTCATCAAATCATCAACATCATTATCAAATCATCATCATCAACACCATCATCAACATCATCATCAAATCATCATCAACACCATCATCAACATCATTATCAACATCATCATCAACGCCATCATCAACATCATCAACACCATCATTAACATCATCATCAAATCATCATCAACACCATCATCAACATCATCATCAAATTATCATCAACAACATCATCAACACCATCATCAACAACATCATCAAATCTATCCCACTGCAGGTTTCCACCCATGCGGCCAGCCAGAGAGGGGTGGCTGTACCCACTTGTGTCTGCCGACTAAAGGAACAGCTTACAAGTGCGCATGTCCGTCGTTTGGCGGGCTAGCTTTGAGCTTCAACGCTAAGAGTTGTGAAGGTACTCAAACTTTTTGTTTTTATGTGGGCGTTAGTGTGGACAATCCCGCACACCAACAACTATGATCCAAGAAATATAGCGCCTGCTTTGTTTACATTTAAATAACTCCGTTTTAAAAAAGGTCACACGTCTAAAAATAGATGATTGATGACGCGCTGATCTTCTTCTTTTGTTTTTGGCTTTGTTTCCATAGTTTTTATCCAACCATGAACAAACAAGGCAGCAGTTGTTTGATTTTGGAGTTGTCTCTCCTAGAAGAGTGGCTGTCCCCAGCTAACGAGCCTCATCTGCTCGAGGGTTCGAACTCGAGACTTTTCAGTTTAGCAACCATGAGCTTTACCCCTTGACGCGCTGATCAAGCCTTTATACAATGTACATTTAATACGCTTTGTCTATTTCAATACAAAAGTACCAATTCAGAGGCGAATCCAGGTTTTCGTTGTAGAGGGAGCGAAAAGAGCAAAAAAGGCGCCGAATTTTTAATACGTTCTATATACGTGTATTATATATATATATATATATATATATATATATATATATATATATATATATATATATATATATATATATATATATATATATATATATATATATAAATTACTAGCTGTATGTCATTACTTCGTTATGATGTAAAATAAATTGAAAGTAGCACTCTGAAGAAATAAGAAAAAAAACACACAATATAGGCCGACTAAACAAAAATGTTCTCAATCTAAAATATATATATATATATACACACACACACTACAACCAAAAACAATGAACGTAACACAGTCTGTTTTGTAATTCTTATAAAGAAAATTTCTTACATAATAATTCCTGGGAAATTATTTAAGACAAGTGAAATAGGGGAAATAATCACTCTCTTAATATAAATATGTATATATCTACACATTTAATTATAAATGTCAAAACAAATAAATACTTTAGAATATAATGAAATTATTTAACACTATTCGTGTTTCCAAATGTTTTTGACGGCGTGGTACTTTGGTACATCATTACGCGTTTTTCTACATGTACTTAACAGATCAGTTCGGGTTGGGTTGGGGGGGGGGATTAAGTTCAACTTCATTCACCAATGTCCGGTCACTTTAGGTCAATTATCCAACCCAGTGTATACCTAGGTGTGGTGGTGAGGTGTGTGTGTGTGGGGGGGGGGGGGGAGATAACCAACTCAGAGTGAACATAGCGTCAGTTTTTAGATGACTGTTCTAAACATACATATATATTACACAAATATATATAACACAAATAGATATTACAGAAATAGATTTAAATAAGTAGCAGTAGTATTATGACAATATTTTTTTTACAGAGGGGTTCATGGGGGAGGGGGGGTTGTAACTGTTTCATATAATTTGTAATCGTAATCACTATCGCCCAACTTGTAAGAATATTACTACTTCTTCGTGATGACGTTGTTGACCTTGTCAAAATTTCCCCACCACTACGCAGTTTGCTCATAAGTAAATTTAAATAGAGGTTCCACATCAGTTGTATTTGTTTCTGTATTGTAATTTTTTTAAATTAATCACACGATTCAAACTGTATATATAAAGTAATTATGTGTGAAGTTTTATGTATAACATTTTCTAATTCAATTATTCGTAAGCAAATACATTATACAGTTGCCTTTAACTTTACACCACTCTTGCCTAGTGGTACTACCCGTAGAGGTTTTTTAAACATTGCAATGCATGATAATGGTTATTTTTAGAATGGCGAACTGATGCAGCTGTTAAAACGTGTTGTAAACGTAGACACTACTAGACTATTGCAATAATGCTTAATTGCTATATGAAAAGAAATCTTGTGTTTACATAGATGTGCCGACCAAAAATATTTTTTTAACAAATACCAGTTTAAAACTTTGAGTTTAAAAAGTTTCCAAAAAGGCGCCACTTTGCTGAAAACGTCCAGAGGGGGAGCGGCCGCTCCCCCTGCTCCCCTCCGGCGTACGCTACTGTACCAATTGAAGTTTCAGCTGAATCAAATCTAGCAAACAACTTTTACATCTTTGGTTATCGTCAGAATAGGGGAAAAATAACAATTGTAATTGTTTCATGTTTTTTGTATTTTGTTTTTATATCTGTGCTGTCAAATATTGATGGCAATTGCTTGATCAAAAATAGAAATAACAATCCCCCTTGGACACTTGGGGTCCATGATTTGATGCAACAAACTGGGCTCATGTCCATGCTACATTTGACCTGACACAGAAAGGCTGGCCATCTCGTGGCGGTTCTTATGTCATCTGGCTTATTCAAGGGGGGGGGGTTACGATCATACTCTTATACTCCCTGACGTCCAAATAGTTTTTGTTTAATGTTGATTCTATTTATATATGTATGTTCTTATTTTAAGTGTGTAAACCAAATCGAATTATTTTCTTTGTCAGCGCCTGGAGAGTTACTGTTCTTTACCCTTAAAGAATCTGGTGAAGTCGGGTTTATCTCCCTTCGTGGGGCGCAGTCTTCCTATCTGACCCTCGTGGGTCGCAGCTCCCGGCCCAGTGCTGTAACCTATGACCCCATCAAACAGGTGAGTTTAAGGTCAAGTTCAGCTTTGGTTAGCAACTAACACTCGACCACATGGTGTGGAGGATACTGGCGCTCAATTCTTTCTGAAAAGTGTTGTCGAGTCTAGATCTCAATTCATTCACGTTTTAGCGTTAACACACGGCAGATGAGATGATTCTACTTGCTGATTGGTATACTTCTACTTGTTGATTAAATGATATACTTCTACTTGGTGATCAAATGATATACTTCTACTTGTTGATCAAATTATATACTTCTACTTGGTGATCAACTGATATACATCTACTTATTAATCAAATGATATACTTTTACTTGCTGATTGATATACTTCTACTTGTTGATCAAATTATATACTTCTACTTGGTGATCAACTGATATACATCTACTTATTAATCAAATGATATACTTTTACTTGGTGTTCAAATGATATACTTCTACTTGTTGATTGATATGCTTCTACTTGTCAAAGGTCGTCTACTGGAGTGATGAGGAAGATGGTGCCATCTACCAGGCTAATTTAGCTGGCACTGGAGAGAAAGAAATTTTTCTTAACGCAACACATGGGATAGGCACAGTGGATGGTAAGTGTGGGTCATTAATTACCTTCAGTTATATATATATATATATATATATATATATATATATATATATATATATATATATATATATATATATATATATATATATATATATATATATATACATATATATATATATATATATATATATATATATATATATATATATATATATATATATATATATATGCATGCCTAATAAGTGCTGATCATCATTTCCTACGTAGATAACATATTGTTCCACCCATCCCTACATACGTATACAGCATAGTTTAAAAAGTCTAAATATGATGCATACTGTCGTTTGATTCTAAAATCTATTGTCGATGTTCAGTTAGGACGTTGTTTTGTTATCAAATAGCGATATTTTAAAAATATTTTCAAATCTCATCTTTCCCACGTCGTTCACCGTACAGTAAATGTAGAATCACAGTTTGATATCGAGTTAACTCCACTGGATTCATCGAGCACAATGTGTACAGACCAGTCAGCCGTTAGACCGAGCTGGTTTGTGAAGAAATTCTCACCAGTTTCCTAGAGCTGATGCTCAAACACGATTTATCGATCGGCTGCGCGACACAAACATCAAACATTGTCAGAGTTTGTTTACTTACACGTCCTGCCGTTACAGTTTTTTTATAAGTCCCGCTGAGAAGGATTGAGTACTAAAAGGCAGCAAAAATATGTATTTAAAAAAATAATTTAATAATAAAAAATTTATTGCAAGCTTATTTTAACAGTAGACGCAAGCATGTTCTGCAATCAGTAGCACTTATCCTCTTCAAATAAAACATACAACACAGCACACCCGACAGCCCTATATATATATATATATATATATATATATATATATATATATATATATATATATATATATATATATATATATATATATATATATATATATATATATATATATATATATATATATATATATATATATGATATAAGTTTAAAGAGTTGCCTGTTGACTTTAGAACTTAAATTATGATGCTAACCGATAGAATGTACGTAATGAACATGATTCGTCCTCAGGTCTAGCAATGGACTGGGTATCCAAACAACTCTACTTCACCAACCTAGGACAGTCCAGGCCTGGGTTAGATGGGGCCGTTTATTCCTGGCATCGGCTGGAAAAAATTTCATTGGACAAAAAGAACAGGAGGACCGTGGTCAGTGAAGTTGAGAGACCTCGGGGTGTGGCCGTTGACCTGGAGAATGGGTAGGTCAAACATCTTAACACTGACCTTCAGGGCTAGGCCACACATCTCAACACTTACCTTTAGGGCTAGGCCACACATCTTAACACTGACCTTTAGGAGTAGGTTACACATCTCAACACTGACCTTTAGGGCTAAGTGACACATCTTAACACTGACCTTTAGGGGTAGGTTACACATCTCAACACTGACCTTTAGGGGTAGGTTACACATCTTAACACTGACCTTTAGGGGTAGGTCACACATCTCAACACTTACCTTTAGGGCTAGGCCACACATATTAACACTGACCTTTAGGAGTAGGTTACACATCTTAACACTGACCTTTAGGGCTAAGTGACACATCTTAACACTGACCTTAGGGGTAGGTTACACATCTCAACACTTACCTTTAGGGGTAGGTTACACATCTTAACACTGACCTTTAGGGGTAGGTCACACATCTCAACACTTACCTTTAGGGGTAGGTTACACATCTTAACACTTACCTTTAGGGGTAGGTCACACATCTCAACACTTACCTAGGGGTAGGTCACACATCTCAACACTTACCTAGGGGTAGGTCACACATCTCAACACTTACCTAGGGGTAGGTCACACATCTTAACACTTACCTAGGGGTAGGTCACACATCTCAACACTTACCTAGGGGTAGGTCACACATCTCAACACTTACCTAGGGGTAGGTTACACATCTCAACACTTACCTAGGGGTAGGTTACACATCTCAACACTTACCTAGGGGTAGGTCACACATCTCAACACTTACCTAGTGTCAGGTCACACAACTTAACTATGCTGTTCTCGCCTTACTGCTCACGTTTCGTGCTCTCATGCCACCAGATTTCTCTTCTATGGAGACTGGGGCAAGCAGCCTCACATAATGCAAGCCCAGCTGGATGGATCAAACAAAACTGTTCTCCTAGATACTGGCTTGAGTCATCCAAATGGATTGTCTTTTTATGAAGGGAGGCTATATGTGGCTGACTCTAACCCAAACAACAAGAGTTATGCCCCTCATCTAATGGTCTTTGATGCAGCGACCAAGGAATGGACACCTCTGAAGATCAGCAACAACTTCTCTGTAAGTGATTGGCTGTCAATTCGAGAGCAGATCTCATAACAAAATTTGCACACTTTTCTAAGAAATTTTTCATTAATTTTTTTTTTTATGTACTGGTGATGATAATCCAATACAATCTAATTTTCAAATTAATTTGATATTGTGGGTCTCAGCAGAGGCGTAGCGGGGGGGAGGGGGGGGGGCGGGGGGGCGGACCGCACCGGGTGACACCGTGACACCATTTAGGGAGTGACACCAAGGCAGAAAATAGCAAAATATATAGAGAAAAATGACAATTTCACTTAATTAAGTGATTAATTTGAGTGTTAAATAGTCTTTTAAGAGATTCAAATCGAAAGTTTGAGAGGGAGGGGGGGTGCAACAAATCGAAAGTTTGAGGAGGGGTGCAAATCGAAAGTTTGAGGGGGGGTGCAAATCGAAAATTGAAAGTTTGTCCCCGGGAAGGGTCGCTACGCCTCGGGGGGGGGGGGGGGGTGACACCATTAAGTGCCGCACCGGCTGACACCCGACCTCGCTACGCCACTGGGTCTCAGAGGTTTTCTCAGGCTCCATATGAATGTGTCCTCGAGCAAATTTCTATGGATGAAAAAATAAAACTAAAAAAAATTGTTTTTGCAGATTCCCATGGGACTGGCAGTCCAAGGAGACACACTCTACTACTCTGACTGGGTCAAGACTGAGAGCCTTGAGGGCTACATCAAATCATTTAACTTGAGGTTTGGTGTAGACAACAATGTCATACTCAATGGCCTGAGACCAACTGGCCTGCACTATTCACCATTAGCCCGACCTAAACAAGGTAAGACTTTGTTGATAATATCAATGATATTTCAACTTCCTGTCCCTATTTATAGTAACACAGCTAAGACGAACATTCTTTTTAATGCCACTTCTTTCAGATTTGCATGATGCAGTTTGTGAGAAGTCAGCTTGCAGTGATGACTGTGTTAGGACACCACAAAACAAAGAGAAGCCATATCAGTGCTTGTGTCCTGATGAGTCCACTAAGATTTTATCAAGCAACTTGGCCACATGTGCACGTAAGCTGTTTTATTAAGGGAATCATTCATTGTTAAAAATCTACTATTTAATTATAGCCTTCTGTAAAATTATTCAAAAGTACAAAATCAATAAAATAGTGTCCACATACTAAGGGAAACTATTTACCAAGTAAAATCTTATCGTTTTCATTTTGACACATTGGCTTTATTGTCCATACAACAATGAGATACAGTTGACCTATCTGAACGCAACCAAATATACATTTGATTACCTAGTCTGCTCTTTAAAATGTGACCTTGAACTTGTCCAGGCCCTCAGAACTTCCTGTTGGTGGCTGACCTGAACACGCTGAAGCTTGTCTCCCTTGATGAGGACACAGAACCAGGGGCTCACACCCTGCTCTACGACAACATCGACTCCAACTTTGTGGCGCTGGCCTATGATGAGACCACGGACAGTGTCTACTGGAGTGACATCACCAGGTAATCATCAGACAACCAAAGTAACCTAAATAATTTTCTTAGGCAACCAATCAGATTTTAATCATAATCATCATCTCTCAACACATATTGGGCACAAGGCATCAACAAAGGAGGGCCATTTCATCCTGTCTCTAGCTATAACCTCTGCCAGTCTCTAGCTATAAACTCTGCCTGCCAGTCTCTAGCTATAGCCTCTGCCTGTCTCTAGCTATAAACTCTGCCTGTCTGTCTCTAACTATAACCTCTGCCAGTGTATAGCTTTAACCTCTGCTTGTCTCTAGCTTTAACCTCTGCCTGTCTGTCTCTAGCTATAACCTCTGCCTGTGTCTAGCTTTAACCTCTGCCTGTGTCTAGCTTTAACCTCTGCCTGTGTCTAGCTTTAACCTCTGCCTGTGTCTAGCTTTAACCTCTGCCTGTGTCTAGCTTTAACCTCTGCCTGTCTCCATCTATATCTGCCTGTCCCTATCTATAACCTCTGCCTGTCAATATCTATAATATCTGCCTGTTTCCTTCAACATTTCCTCCATTTATCTTCTACATTTTACTTTAGTCCACTCTTATCTACTTTAGCCCTGTTGAGCTGACTTAAACAACGAAAACAAATAACTCTTGCAGGCAATCTGTTTACTACTCCCCATTTATGGAATTCAAGCCCCAGTTAGTGTACAAAGCGAATCACTACATAGATGGACTAGCAGTAGACACAGACAAACAGAGGCTGTTCTGGACTGGCTACACCCACAATGGCAGTGGGGTCATTGCTAGACTTCACATCCCCAGGGGACGAGAGTCCTACCATGAAGTTATAACTGGGCTAAACAACCCACGGGCTATTCACCTGCTCCCAGAGAAAAAGTAAGAGCATTTGTGCTGCACCAGGTGGGTGGGGGTGGGGTTAAGGAGGTGGGGAGAATCATCAAAGTAGAGAAAGATATGTTTTACCAGAATTGTTATTAAAAACAAATTTTATTGATACGTTTTTTGCAATATGCCATCACATGTAATTCATTAAAACAAAATTTTAAATATTTTTTAATTTCCTTTAAGGATAATTTTTTGGACGGAGTACGGCTTAAAAAATGACCCGCCTCGTGTTTGTAAATCAAAGATTAGTGGCAAGAATCTTAAAACTTTGATGGACCGGCGTTTGTTTTGGCCCAATGGGTTGGCCACTCACCAGCAGAAATTGTTTGTAGCAGATGGAGCAGGCAAAGTGTACTCAATGGATTTTGAAGGTGTGTATTCTAGATTAGTGTACTGAGTGTACTGTGTACTAAATTACTTGTTTCTTCCAAACTTTAAGTTGCAAATGTTAGTGATAAAATACTAACAAAATGTTTTTCTGTTATAATTATTTACTAAACGTACCAATAACATAAGATACTAAAATAAATATAGGAATTGTTTACCAAAAGTTTTCTTAAATTGGCTTTCTACAAATCAGAAATATGCAGGGAATTTATTCAAAATTTTTTCCGCATTCAGTACTAGCCTTCATGTAGGTCAACTTTTTTACATCTGCTTTTTAGGGGGAAATCAGGAGGAGTTATCATTCTTGACTGCACCAGGATTGCACATATTTGGTCTTGTTGTCATGGAAACGGTACTGTTTTATTCTGACTGGTACACAAACAGTGTGTACATGGTTGACAGATACACTGGCAGAATAGATACTCTAGTTTCTCACTTATCTCGACCTACTAGCCTTGTTGTTTATCACCCAGCTAACCTTACAGGTAAGTTAGAAAACAGAACATTTGACTTCAAACCTAAATAAATTGGACTTAACATTACTTTTACAATAAATATAAATTATAAATAAAGTAAATAATAAATCAATTTTAATTTTATTTTTTTGTAGTTGTAAACCAGTGCTTAAAAGAGAGCACAAAATGTGTTGAGACCTGCATTCCTGTACCAAGATCATTCCACTGTACCTGCTCAGTAGGATCCAAGCTAGCCTCAGATGGATATAGTTGTATTACAAGTAAGTTTATGTTGCTAGCCTCAGATGGATTTAGTTGTATTACAAGTAAGTTTATGTAGGCTAGCTTCAGATGGATATAGTTGTATTACAAGTAAGTTCAACAGACTAAATCAACACATGCACAGAATACTGAAGGTTGGGTGTAGCGAAGTGTGCCCTTGTGGCAAGGCCCCGGAAAACATGGAGCACGTACTCCAGGAATGCACTTTGTATAGCCAGGCACGAGACAGACACTGGCCCCAGCCCACCCCACTCAGGGAAAAATTATATGGGGCACCTGACAAACTGGAGACCACAGTCCGGTTTGTCCACGAAGTTGGACTTGTTGTCTGAATCCTCCACCATATTCACAATTAAGAACGAAGAAGAAGAAGAAGACAAGTAAGTTTATGTAGGCTAGCTTCAGATGGATATAGTTGTATTACAAGTAAGTTTATGTAGGCTAGCTTCAGATGGATATAGTTGTATTACAAGTAAGTTTATGTTGGCTAGCCTCAGATGGATATAGTTGTATTACAAGTAAGTGTATGTTGCTAGCCTCAGATGGATATAGTTGTATTACAAGTAAGTTTATGTTGGCTAGCCTCAGATGGATATAGTTGTATTACAAGTAAGTTTATGTTGGCTAGCCTCAGATGGATATAGTTGTATTACAAGTAAGTTTATGTTGGCTAGCCTCAGATGGATTTAGTTGTATTACAAGTAAGTTTATGTTGGCTAGCCTCAGATGGATATAGTTGTATTACAAGTAAGTTTATGTTGGCTAGCCTCAGATGGATATAGTTGTATTACAAGTAAGTGTATGTTGCTAGCCTCAGATGGATATAGTTGTATTACAAGTAAGTTTATGTTGGCTAGCCTCAGATGGATATAGTTGTATTACAAGTAAGTTTATGTTGGCTAGCCTCAGATGGATATAGTTGTATTACAAGTAAATTTATGTTGGCTAGCCTCAGATGGATATAGTTGTATTACAAGTAAGTTTATGTAGGCTAGCTTCAGATGGATATAGTTGTATTACAAGTAAGTTTATGTTGCTTGCCTCAGATGGATATAGTTGTATTACAAGTAAGTTTATGTTGGCTAGCCTCAGATGGATTTAGTTGTATTACAAGTAAGTTTATGTTGGCTAGCCTCAGATGGATATAGTTGTATTACAAGTAAGTTTATGTTGCTTGCCTCAGATGGATATAGTTGTATTACAAGTAAGTGTATGTTGCTAGCCTCAGATGGATATAGTTGTATTACAAGTAAGTTTATGTTGGCTAGCCTCAGATGGATTTAGTTGTATTACAAGTAAGTTTATGTTGCTTGCCTCAGATGGATATAGTTGTATTACAAGTAAGTTTATGTTGGCTAGCCTCAGATGGATATAGTTGTATTACAAGTAAGTTTATGTTGGCTAGCCTCAGATGGATATAGTTGTATTACAAGTAAGTTTATGTTGGCTAGCCTCAGATGGATTTAGTTGTATTACAAGTAAGTTTATGTTGGCTAGCCTCAGATGGATATAGTTGTATTACAAGTAAGTTTATGTTGCTAGCCTTAGATGGATATAGTTGTATTACAAGTAAGTTTATGTTGGCTAGCCTCAGATGGATAAGTAAGTTTATGTTGGCTAGCCTCAGATGGATATAGTTGTATTACAAGTAAGTTTATGTTGGCTAGCCTCAGATGGATATAGTTGTATTACAAGTAAGTTTATGTTGCTAGCCTCAGATGGATATAGTTGTATTACAAGTAAGTTTATGTTGGCTAGCCTCAGATGGATATAGTTGTATTACAAGTAAGTTTATGTTGGCTAGCCTCAGATGGATATAGTTGTATTACAAGTAAGTTTATGTTGCTAGCCTTAGATGGATATAGTTGTATTACAAGTAAGTTTATGTTGGCTAGCCTCAGATGGATAAGTAAGTTTATGTTGGCTAGCCTCAGATGGATATAGTTGTATTACAAGTAAGTTTATGTTGGCTAGCCTCAGATGGATATAGTTGTATTACAAGTAAGTTTATGTTGCTAGCCTCAGATGGATATAGTTGTATTACAAGTAAGTTTATGTTGGCTAGCCTCAGATGGATATAGTTGTATTACAAGTAAGCCCTAATTTTTATAATGAATTTTGAGATGTAGGCCACGAGCTGCCGTTAATATGACAGAAAACTTAATATTTAATTCATCCCAACTGTAGGCTAATATGATGTTCTGTTGATTTTTTATAATAAGTTCATACATTCATACATGACCTAAAAATAGCTCTTGGTTTGTGAAAAGAAAATATAGATCTACATATTTTTAGAGCAATTTCCATACAGACAATTGCGATTATTAACTCGTCATTTCTGGATGGATGGATTTTTGGATGGATGTGTGTCCACAGCTTTAAGTGGTATCCCCTCCTCAACGAAGCAATATCGAGGACTAGTTCCAAAAGCAAATATGTTAAGCAAGTTCCAAGGATGATTGTGGGCCAAAAAAATTCCCGGAATTCCTTCCTGGATTTCCCGGAAAAGCCAAAAAACCTAAAAAACAAATGCAGTTTTTGCTCCATATCTCGGCAACCAGACCACTTAGCGACTTGAAACATTTACCAATCGATTCCTGCCATAATTTAAACCAATATTGCCGAAGAAAGTTTTCAAAAATATCCTTTCCTTCGGTCACAAAAAAAATGTTAATATATTTTAAACTTAGCATCTTGTAGGCCTAGTTTTTAGCGCAAAGCGCTGAGGTTCGAAAGGATTTTACCATAGCGAATGAGCGGAGGTTCGAAAGGATTTCTACGTAGGTCTGTGAATTCTAAAAAATTAATTAAGGAAATTGCGCTTAAATTGTCACTAGACTTTTTATTAACTTGTTTTAAAATAATACGACTAGTATTAGGACCTATAAGAAGTCAAGGTTTAACTCCTGAAAACTTTTTTTTTTTACAGTGGCCAGTCCTTGGGAAGTAACAGAGGAATCAAAGTGCCAAAGCCAGTGCCATGACAATGCTTACTGCTCACAACTAGTGCCACTCCTGGCATACCAGTGTGTTTGTAAAGCTGGCTACGAGGGGGACGGCTTGACTTGCTCAGGTAACTTGTCTATGGCCTGTACACCTGCTCAGGTAACTTGTCTATGGCCTGTACACCTGCTCAGGTAACTTGTCTATGGCCTGTACACCTGCTCAGGTAACTTGTCTAGGACATGTACACCTGCTCAGGTAACTTGTCTAGGGCCAGTACTGTTGACTTTAACATAACATTTTATAATTTTTTTAAAATAAAAGTTCTTTTTAGTATGCTTTCCTATCCCATGCACAAAATGAAACTAATGTTAAAACAATTTATTTGTTTTATTTAAGCTTGCCATGAAAATTTCTTTAAACCTTTGTTGGGAAACGATTCCTGCTCTCCGTGTCCTAATGGCTCCAACACTCAGGGAATGAAAACAGCCACTCAGTGTTTTTGTGAGAATGGTCAACATAGGATTGTAAACAATATTTGCACAGGTTATTCACAAGTTATTTCATTATGTATTAGTTGAGTTGATTAGTTATTTTAAAATGTTACTACTGCCAGTTTTACAGCTGACATTTCCAGCTACTGAACTATAAATTTCAGATGCCACAACAGCAACTACAGTTGTAACAACATCAGCTGAGTTCAGGCAGGATGACAACAAAGAGCTGACAACTCTGGAGCCTTTTGTTGAAACTACAGAGTTGCTGCCAGGTAAATAAACATGTTTCAAACATTTAAGGGGAAAATGTCATTTTGAGCATCCATACAAAATATAGTTCAAAATATGGATTTATCTATTTGTGTGTGTCAAAGCTTCCTGCATGCAATAAATTCATTCTATCAAGCTAGCAGAGAAAATAACCACCAAAGCAACGAAATAATGTTTAGAAAAGTGGACAAAATGTATGTACGAGGGCTTACATGTAAATGTTTTAACTTAACAAACAATATTCGTAAATTAAGATCTTGGACCATATTTAATACAATTACAATACATTATGCTGTGTGGATGTATTACAATGATGTAAAGGAGTTATGATTACAAAATGTTTATTCAAGTTTGAACATCTTGTAGCCCCACCATATTTTGATGAGTGTCCCTATGGCGAAACAATTGTTTTGAAACTTCCTGAAACAAGTAATCGCATTTGGCTGCCCATCACCTGGAAAGCCCATGATGCACATGGAAAAGAACTTGTATTAAAGTCCAATATGAACATGTCTGAAAACAAAATTCTCATATCCTGGGTAGCTAATGGGGACGTTGGTCAGCAGACTGTTGTCCTAGAGGCTAAGGATTTATGGGGACAAACAGCTACATGTCAGTTTCAGATCAAGCTTGAAGGTAATTTATTCTTCTATATATTCTCTTCATCTTTTGTTTAAAAATGAGCTTTGAAAAGATGAAATAGATAACTATCTGTAGGTTCTTAGATCCCATTGTTAAAATGTTTATTTTGTAATTAACAAATCATTAAAGCTAATTGTGACACTTCTACAAAAGCATTTTAATTTTTTAAAAAAATTAATGAACTACAAGTTATGGGCATTTTTTAAATTAATGTTTTCAAAAGCTTTACATTGCTGAGTGATTGGACTCAATATTTAAAAAAAAATATGTAAATAACAACTTTATAAAAGTAGAAAACTATTTTTGTTAGCACTAGATTTTCAATGCTGAAGTAACTTGTTTTTTATCTTTTAGATTTTACTTCTCCGAAGTTCACCAGTTGTCCTTCTAATATTGTAAAGAAAACTCAAATGAATAGTGAACCCATTAGCTGGGTATTGCCTGCAGTTGTTGACAATTTAGGGGATCCAAAGATAACTGGCACACATGAACCAAAGAGTGAATTTCTAATTGGAACCACCCTGGTCACCTACTATGCTGCAGACTTGGCTGGAAACACCGCCAATTGCACATTTAATGTGACACTTATTTATGGTCAGATATAAACAACTTTCTTTACACATTTAAAATTTAGAAGTTACATTATTTTTTTTCAATGTTAGGCAGGGAGTGGTAGGTAGATATGTTAGGCAGGGAGTGGTAGATAGATATGTTAGGCAGGGAGTGGTAGGTAGATATGTTAGGCAGGGAGTGGTAGGTAGATATGTTAGGCAGGGAGTGGTAGGTAGATATGTTAGGCAGGGAGTGGTAGGTAGATATGTTAGGCAGGGAGTGGTAGGTAGATATGTTAGGCAGGGAGTGGTAGGTAGATATGTTAGGCAGGGAGTGGTAGGTAGATATGTTAGGCAGGGAGTGGTAGGTAGATATGTTAGGCAGGGAGTGGTAGGTAGATATGTTAGGCAGGGAGTGGTAGGTAGATATGTTAGGCAGGGAGTGGTAGGTAGATATGTTAGGCAGGGAGTGGTAGGTAGATATGTTAGGCAGGGAGTGGTAGGTAGATATGTTAGGCAGGGAGTGGTAGGTAGATATGTTAGGCAGGGAGTGGTAGGTAGATATGTTAGGCAGGGAGTGGTAGGTAGATATGTTAGGCAGGGAGTGGTAGGTAGATATGTTAGGCAGGGAGTGGTAGGTAGATATGTTAGGCAGGGAGTGGTAGGTAGATATGTTAGGCAGGGAGTGGTAGGTAGATATGTTAGGCAGGGAGTGGTAGGTAGATATGTTAGGCAGGGAGTGGTAGGTAGATATGTTAGGCAGGGAGTGGTAGGTAGATATGTTAGGCAGGGAGTGGTAGGTAGATATGTTAGGCAGGGAGTGGTAGGTAGATATGTTAGGCAGGGAGTGGTAGGTAGATATGTTAGGCAGGGAGTGGTAGGTAGATATGTTAGGCAGGGAGTGGTAGGTAGATATGTTAGGCAGGGAGTGGTAGGTAGATATGTTAGGCAGGGAGTGGTAGGTAGATATGTTAGGCAGGGAGTGGTAGGTAGATATGTTAGGCAGGGAGTGGTAGGTAGATATGTTAGGCAGGGAGTGGTAGGTAGATATGTAAGAACCCAACAGGTGGACTAGCTCGCTGGTCTACCACAATAAATCCTAGTCTGCCCCAAGGAAAAAATCCCACGTTGCTGTAATAGTCTTAGTAATGCTGTGATTTTAAAGAAAAATTAATTTGTTGATATTTCTCCATTTTACCATTTCCATTCCTTCATATCAATGTGTAAAATTCAGACTTTGAAAAATTAATGCACGAGGAAAATTTCAATCAGGTGTTTGGGGCTCCATTAAAAATGTCCTGGGCCTCTTGGAAACAATAGGAATCTCCCTGCCTTTACCCCACATTGATGACAGTGTATTCATGTCACATTATGTTTACATTCACCAAAACATAGGATGTCATAGAAACAACGATGTTATATTCCTTATATCATTATGATATATATATATATATATATATATATATATATATATATATATATATATATATATATATATATTTATTTATTTATATATATATATATATATATATATATATATATATATATATATACATTTATATATATATATAGTTAAATAAAATTAATATAATATCCTACCAAATTGCATTGGATGTAAAAAAATTCAACATGCATATTAGCCTATAAGATGTGTTATTATTTGTAGAGGTTTTTGTTTTTTAAGTAAATTGGTTTTTAATAGTTTTCTTTTTTCTACCATTTCTTTTCCTTACAGAGCAACCATGCAATTTACCAGAAATTAAAAATGGAGTTTTAGACTGTGGTGGGGATGACCATGAACAATGCAACATCAACTGCAATGATGGCTACATACCAAATCCATTAGACTTCTTTCCCAGAACCTTCAACTGTTTAATGGAAAGAAATGTTGAAGAAATCATTAAAATCATGAAGAAACGGGAACCATGTTTAAGTAAGTGGTAGATTAATTTTTTTTTTTATTATTTAGAGAACTTAAGTTAATAAAACATTCTTTTATATTGAAAATATTAAAAGTACACAAATGGAAATGTCTTTGAGAAATGTTTATTAAAATTAGACTATTCATTAAATTTTTCCATTTAGAATTACGCCGCCCAACAATTGCTCTTCAAGAATTTAGTTTGACCTTTAGTGGACCATGTCACCCTAACAACACCAAGATTAAGGAGATTTTCAAGGAAAATGTAGGATAAAGATATTTAAATATAATAAAATGTTTAAAGATAAATGCATGTGTAGTTTTTCTATCATAGTATAGAAAAGTGAAATGATTTTATACTGATATATGTAAGTCCGTTTTTGTATTGATTCATATTACAAACATTAAAAAAAACATTTTCAGTATAAATTATTGACAAACTGGTGGTGTTACAGCCAAGGTATAAAATTTCAAATATTTTAATCCCACAGGTAATTTCAAAGTTGGATGATAAAATACTTTGTATGGGTGCTAACTGTTCTCACGGTGATGTGGCCATTGTTTGTGGACCGGTCATCAAGAAAAGGCGCTATGCTGAAGAAAAATTTAATATTACTTGGAATCTGACAATTAGTTATATCTCACCATCATTTGTCACTGTGTAAGGGTTTTCTCTTGATTTTACGAGTGTATTTTTATCTCTAAAATATTGATTTATTTTATTGAAGTCTTCTTCCATTGTCCTTTGTCTCTAACTATTAAGCATTTTTTTTATGAAAGTGAGCACTTAATGGTTAGATATTAAGATACCTTTTTACAGTGATAATCAATATCCATATTTTTGCTCAAATCTATTGAGTTACAATGTACTTAAATGTACCATGTTTAATATAGTAAATTAAAGATACTAACCTACACAAAACTTAGCTATCACAAACCCAGACATTAAATTGTATCTCAATATTCAAAATTTGCCTAAAAGAATCAGCTAAAAAACAGCTGAATCAATTTTTTCCCTTCTATTCTAGAAGCAGTGATGGTTTTAGTGCAGGGCAAGTTAAAAGAATTGTGGAAGACATGAAGCTTGAACTCAGAAAACTGCATGGTCACCTACAGTTCTTTTTTGAGAAAGAAAGATTTAACATTGTTCCTACTAGTGTCATATACAAAGAATTTCAATGGCTTTGTTTTCCTGGAGAAATGAAAATAATGGATGGCTGTGGTAAATTCTTATGTAAAGCTTGATTTAACATATGACATCAGACAATTGTTATGTAAAGCTTGATTTAACATATGACATCAGATGATTTTTATGTAAAGCTTGATTTAACATATGACATCAGACGATGCAACTGAAAACTTATCTTCTATACTATTTTATCAATTGTTTGCTTATCAATCACTCCACAATGTTACCAAATGCTAGACCCATCTCCCTTTCCAGAAAATCTTACCTCTGACCAACCATAATCTTTATTCTAACGGTTATCAATATGTTTTTCATTAATGAGGATTTTAAAATAATTGCTCAATGTGCTGCTTCACATTTCTTAACAGGAAGCCCCCCCCCCTTTCTTTACATGATTCCATTGTCACAAAAAACTCATTACTCCCTCTTTTAATAGCTTGTTCTTAATAAATTATGGAGTGTCCATGTTTGATGTCATAGCTTTTATATAAAAAATAAGTTAATTTATAAACATTTTTATTATTTACGCCAGTTGAGTGTAATGTAAATAAAGTGTTGATTTATGTTCTCAATACAAATATTATTGATTGACAAACCCAAAGTCAGGATTTTTATAAGTATCACTAAAATATTTTTAAAATAATGTGTTCTTTGAGCAATTTTCAAGTCAAACCACTAACAATATTTTACAGTATTAATCAAAAAGATTATTCCAACAACATTGACCTCAGTATAGTCAAGTTATGCTTACTTTGTGCATATGCTAAACAAATTTTATTTTTACAGTCCCATGCCCGTCTGGCTCTTATATGAATGAAACGCAGGAGAAATGTGTTTTATGTGCAGAAGGATTTCACCAAAACACATCCAGCAGTATAAAATGCATAGTGTGTACAGAAGGAACTACACTGGAAGCTGGTGCTCAAAGTGAGGCAGAATGTAAGAAAATAAGTTTTTATCAAAACCTGTTTATACTTACTTTAAGTTTAAAGTTGAGCAAAAAGAACTATATCATATTTAACTGACAATAATTATATTTATCTACAATCAAAAGCCAACAATTTTACCTTACTTACATTGTAAGTTACAATCTTGATAACAGTATTTTTAAGTAATGAAATTTTTTTTATGCTTTCCTTTCACAGGTGTTACATTCCCATCAATCAATGAAATGAGTAAATTTTTAATGATTACTGCATGTTCTTTTGGATTCATCTTCTTATGTATGGTCATCTTCATCTACCTGCAATACAGCCACAATCGTAAAAAACCAAAGGAAGAGAAAAACTTAACAAACAACCCTCGTTACTTGACACCTAATGTATATGCCCAAGCTCCAGTTCCTAATCAGAAATGCCCTGATTATATACGTGCTTCATCGCGTGAATTTTACGTTGGCTCCCACGATTATGAGGATATTGATGGTCAGCATAAATCAACTTTTGAGACATTCTCCCGCCGCCCACCTGGCTGTAGAGATTCATACGCCTCCTTCAAGGCACCAACTGAAATGACCTTCTTACAGACTGGCTCTCCTAATTCCAATTCACTGAGAACATCTGATGAAACATTAATGCCCAATTCTCCTAGAGAAAGTGCTAAATCTTTTAACCTATATGGTGACAACTTCCAATATCCCATTTCCCCCAATGGCACTTTAGGATCCTTTAAGAGTTCTCCACCCCCATCTCCATACAGAAGCTTGCACCTGACCACCAACACCCCAGTACTTAGAGGCTCTAGAGACTCACCTACACCTAACGCACAAACCTTGAGCTCACTGCTGGGAGATGAAAGCCCCTACACCAGCAGACTCATTCGTGACCGACTCATCGACCCAGATAGCCCTTACAGGATTATTACTCATGACAGAAGAACAGGAAGTGAAAGTCCCTTTTTGATGAACAGAAGATTAGAATCTGAAAGTCCCCATAATATATTGTCACTAGACACAGGTAACATTCAAGATTCACATTACAGAATGGTGAACAAAGAATCTCCATACAGAAGTCCAGCTTTACAAAGAGAACTAGCCCAGTCATTAAGCAGAGCAACTCATGATGCAAGTGGGAGAAGTCCATCTTATCCCCATGTCATAGATACTCAAGGCTCACTCAGATCATTGAGAGAAAATACAAATTCCAAACAGGCAACACTACCTAGAGAGGAGACTAGTGCATTTATGCCAGTGGGAGACTTTCTCTATAAACGGCCACCTTCCCCACTGTCACCCCCAATTTCAAGCAGAAAATCAAATGATTCTCTTCAAAGATCACCATCAACACCTAGAGCTTCTCCTGGTATGTCTAGAAAACGTATAGATAATCCTTATAAAACACCACCTATGAATCAACGTCGAAAGCCTAAAAATGAATTTGGAATTTATGAATATGAATATGATTAAAATACTTCATAATTATCAGGGAAAAATTTTATCATAATTATCAAGGAAAAAAAATTTGCTGATTTTGAATAAACTTTGCTTGCTGTTTCTGATATAGGACTTGAGAAAGGGCTATTGCAACACAAATTTGAAAATATTAAAAAATAATAAATGATCTCAAATTTTGTTGACCTAACATGTTAACATTTTAAAATATATATTGTCAAATGTTAAAAAAATTCTAACAACTAAATAAGCTTGATATTTGCATCAATAGATGGAGGGTCTATCAAAATTTTTCACTTTGAATGTGTAGAAAAATAGTGCTAAGAGAATATATGTATTTGACCAATTATTTTAAAAGCTTTTTTAAAATTAAATGCAGACATGACTTGACTGTCATTGAACATTATTTCTGCACAAAAAACCAGAGAGAATTTAAGTATAATATATTCACTATAAAAAGTTGTTTTGTTCTTAAAAAGAATATAATCTAATGTAATTGTAATTAGCTATGAAGTAGTTGTGTTTTATTTTGTCCATCATGTTTTCTAGTTCACCAGCCTAGATATGAAACAAAAACTAATTTAGTAAGTTGTCTAGCACTAAATGGTGTGCTGATAGAAATAAAACATTAATTTATTTTTCATTCATTCCATGAATTAAAAAATTACTTGTAACATAAACTAATGTATATATTGATCAAAATACTTATTATATGTAGATATTGTTGGCTCTTTATTAAAATACACTCATTTTGTATGGTTAAGGCAAGTGATAAATGAAAACAAATCATGTTAAGAGTTTCCATAATTTTTTAAATGGCGTATTTTATTGTAGGATATTTTAGTGTTCATTATAAAATGAGTGTTTAGTAATCTGAATGTAACAAAGGGCTTTAACCACTAATTGTATTTTGTAATATATTGTATTTGCATGAAAAAAAAATCATTTTCTTAAACATACTTAAACAAAAATAAATGATGCTAATGTGCCAATCATATCACATTCATTAGAAATTTAATTTTACATAAAATTTATAAAATTTCATATTTTTTGCTCAAGTTTAAATTTTTCATTTGTTTCACTGTCCAGGATTGTTGTAGGGTTTTAATCTGTACTGGTAAATATTTGCACAAATTTTTTTTCAATATTAGTTTTATGTTATATTTGTAATAAAGTATTTCTATTTGTTGGCTAAATCGAAATAATGTAGTCATTAGAATAAGAACTAAGTCTAGGTGTGTGAAAACAACAAGTGAAGCTTCAAACACAAATTCAAAGAAAAATGTTAAAAAAAGAAAAACTGAATAGATCTATTTTTATTTAAAATTTTATTTCAATCTTCACCATTTGTATTTTGATAAGATGTTTTTAATGTTTCTAAAAACTTTCAACACTAGCCTGTGGTGTCTTTAGTAAATACTTGTAAATACTATAAATATCATAAAAGCATTTTTCACTTATCTTTCAAGTGATTTTGTTCTCTGAGCCTTTGAACAATATATCATATGTTTGCAAATTCTAATTTTGTGTCTTAATATTGTTAATATTTGTATTTTTAAGGAATAAATCACTTGTTTAGTTGGGTTTTTAAAAAATTCAACTCATAAATGCTACTTAGATTATTCTCAATTTCATAGGCTTCTTTGAATTCTTCCTAACAATGTATTCTAATGAAAGTACCTAGACTTTTAGTAGTCTCCAACATCAGCTGTGTATGTGTATGTAAATGTTTGAAATATATCCATTGTTTATAAATATTGAATTATACAATACATTAAATTGCTTTAGAATTACACAAATAAATGTTAGCCATTGTTGCAAGACATTATTACCTGTCAACCCCTCCGTTATAAACTTCCCCTCCCCCTTGTTAAAAAACTGCAGTAGAACTACCCCTCTGTTTATAAATTGACCATCCTAACATTTAGCATAATCCTGAAGGAAAGGTAACGTTAGTGTTAGAGCTAATGTGAGGGTTAGTGAAGGACTATTTATTTCATATTGTCAACCCATTTCAGCCTTTTTTTTAGAATATCAGGTTTCTCTCTACACTAATACTATATAACAAGTATGCTTGAGAGATTGTATTCACCATGGCAAGGGAAGTAATTGAAAGTAGTCAAAGGGAGGTAACTGAGAGGGTTAATGACTGAGGGAACTGACCAGGGGGGGGTGATGTCCAAGACCATTAAAATATATCAGGTATCCTTAACTGTTTAAACAATTCTCTACTGCTGGTGGGTCTGTTCTTCCAACATGACTCAATCAATAAGTAACTACCTAATTTGTGAGCAGTATTCTGACAATGAGATGTGCCTAATTATAATTGGAAGATGTTTCTATTTGAAAGCTCCACTCATATTAAGTGAAAATACCTACACGTATTTAAGACATTTAAATAAATGTTTGGGGAATAAATGCACCAATTTTAGAAAATGATCAGGAGAATCTGTAGCTTTAGTAAGTTCTTTCTCAAAAAGTTTTTAAAACTGAAAGAAAATATCGATTGTTATTATTTTAGTATTTGGTGAGTAAATATTTGGTGAGTCTAATCTAAACTAATTTTCCTTTTAGCAAATGTACATATTGGGTTAAGTTAAATATATACATTATTTATGAGGAGGACATAGGGGAGTTTGGCAGAAGATTGAAAAAAAGCAATATCTTTATGTGAATTTTCAATGTAATTAACAAAAAATTATTTTCTTTTAAAAAGTAGTACATTTCATTTCCTTAACTCAAACATGTTAAACATAATATGACCCAGTAGAAAGTATACTAGCCTCACAAATGTCTTGCTATCATAAATAAACAAAGCTTGTCATCAAGTACTCGATTTATGCATTGTCAACTTTTGCAAATTTGGTTGCCTTATATAAATAAGCACTATATTCACACTTGATATAATTTCTATGCAAAGTAATTGCTAGATTTGGTTTTGTAAACAGAGTAACTGTACTAAAGTGATAGTTATAACTAACAGAGCCCTAGATTCTGATTTAGTCCAGTAAATTATTTATTTTACAATTCAATATGTTGCCTGTTTTTTTTATTTAATCCCCATTCAAATTTTTATTTAAGGAGTATATTTTATTTTTGAAAAATTTAGGATATTGATTTAGTAATTACTATTTTAAAACATTATGTCATTGCCAAAAATAGGTAATTGAAATTATGATGCAACTGATATTTTAAATGATTTAAATAACTTTATTAAGCATTTACAAAATTTAGAAAATACAATCTATAAATAATAATGCTTATGTATAATCTGTCTTTTTTTTAACCTGCTTTAGTAGCATTGAACAAATTATGTATACACTTAATGATGTTTACATTGTTGCTTATATAAATATGAGTCATTTCTTCCACTAAATATTAATACAAAGATGGCATTTATATCAACTGTTTACATTATTTATTTCCCTAATATTTCACTTTAGGTTTTTTTAAGAAGCCCATGTATAATTCTAACAATACAATTATTATTAATTTAGTTTTTAAAAATTTAGTATTCATTATTTTGCTGGCCCATAGCTGTACTTGTGTAAAGAACTCTTATATTGACCTTTTTTTTAATAGGTAAAGGAGTGAGTGGTCATGTATCTATTCCTCTATGGAGAGGAAACCATTTCTGCTATTCATACTGAGATGTCAGTGTCTATTTGATAAAGTATGTTTAGCTAATTTACTTCATCACTCAAAAAATAAAAAGCCACATAACTCTTTTAAAGTTAAAACACATTACCTTCCGTGTTAGTGGTCAGATAATGTGTGACCACACTGTGTATTTACAATCACAATAGTTTCTTGTCTTGGAGTTTCAGCATTAAATCATGCACCCCACCAAACATGCACCCCACCAAACATACATCCCACCAAACATGCACCCCACCAAACATACACCCCACCAAACATACACCCCACCAAACATACACCCCACCAAACATACACCCCACCAAACATACACCCCACCAAACATACACCCCACCAAACATGCACCCCACCAAACATACACCCCACCAAACATGCACCCCACCAAACACTACAATAAACATGACCCAACTAAACACACACCACACTAAATATGCACAAGACCAAACATGCACCAAACCATACACACAATCTTTTCAATGTCACATATTATGATAGTAGTGAAGTTCTTGTGAATATAAAATGTCAATTTTTCATTATGGTCAATTTTGTTACATTTATTACTATGATTATTTGACATAGTTCAGTGTTCCTTCCTGATTCATTAAATAAAAACCAAAAATTAAACATAATTTTTTCCATTATTAAATGACTTGCTATGTACTTTTATGTATAGGTTTAAGACTATTAATAGGACCACACATGTTGTGCTTAATAGAGTTGGTGTTTGCTATATAATATTGTAGATGTCCAGTGTTGTTGTATCATAACAGATATCAAGAAATGTCTGGCTAACTTTCATGAGCAGCTGTCATCTTTATACACTTCACATGCTAAAAACATTCTATAGACAGATGTCACATGTAAGATGAACACATTACAGTATTTCTCAAGTTTTAATAGAAGTGGGCTATTTTATTTAAAACATAATGATTTAAACTTGTAAAAATGTGAATTCCAACAACTTCAATGTTATATGATTATAAAATACAAAGGAAATGTTGAGAATTTTATATACCAAAATTTATATCCCAAAAATAAATAATGACAAGTGTAGATGATGAAAATTCTAAATAACTTAGTAAATGTTCTCAAATATATATATATATATATATATATATATATATATATATATATATATATATATATATATATATATATATATATATATATATATATATATATATATATATATATATATATATATATATATATATATATATATATATATATATATATATATACACACATTTGTTTTTACATTTCTGATGAAAATATATGTTGTGAATAATAAATATTGTTTTTAATATGGTTGATAATAGTGCTAAAATATAGTCTATTTAAAATGTAACAAAAAAATAATTTAATTACCCAAGGGACAAGATAAGCTTATACAACAAAACCTTACAAAAAATAAGCTACATAGGTGCCTGCATATGTCTGGGTGGGAGATGCCTCTTGTTAAAATAGCTAGTAACTTGCTTGGGTATTTCTGCTAGTACATGGTTGGAAAGCTCAGCTCCACCACTCTAATGCATGAAAATATCACACCTTGTTATACGATGTAGGCAATATGGCAGTACAACTAAACCAGTTTAGTTTTTGTAGCAATCATAAAATAATTCTTTTAAAAATGTAATTAAAAAAAACAAAAGATAATACAATCAAAATAAACAACTATATATAGATATAACTGTAAAGTAAACTTACATTTTGAAAGTTCCTCATGGGTACAAACTGAACAATATCTCTTTCAGTGGGCACACCTTTAGTTGACTTAAGTACACCATCATCACCATCCAACTTCTCCATTAGACGAAAATCTGCCTGACCAATCCCTACTATAATTATTGACATTGGCAAAGAAGAGGCGCGCACTATTTCATTTTTAACATCATCCATGTCAGTCAAATCTCCATCAGTTAGTAACAGCAAGATAAAATACATCTGTTATGAAAGTAATAAATCAAATGAATGAAAATGGATGTTAGTGATATTTTTAGCTGTTTTTATGCCACTAAATGACAAGCACCCTCCCCACCCCTTTTTAAAAATTTAAATACATTCTAATAAAAAAGCTTATCATTATTTTTACTTCCTAAGAAACACAAAAGGTGTTAAGTCTTTTTCCCTTACCCCCACCCCAATGTGCTGTCACATTGCATTGCAGAATTTCTTCCCCCCCCCCCCCTCCAATCTCAACAGTGTGATGTCATTTATAAACAGCATGTTCCTTAACAAATCATGATCCCTATAAAAGATTAAAGCTTGTATGTATAAATCACACTAACTGTGGCCCCATCTCTTTCTGTTTCTTTGGCTTGAGAATCTTCAGCAAATCTGGCCACATGTTTAATAATTGGGGCAACATTGGTTGGTCCTCTCAGCTGAACCTGTCTAATACAACTGAGATAAGCATCTATGACACCATCAATTCCTGGCGATTAAATTCAAATAGCAGATGAGAATTTATTATTTAAGCAATAAGTTAATTGAAACATATTTCTTTAAAAAATCATCAAGATAATTTTATTCCATAATTGAAATAAAAATTGTCTAACTCTGCAATAAAAAGAATTGTGTACATACCTGCACAGTAAGGATTTTGGGGGTTGAGGTTTAAGGGAAATTCAAAAGAAACATCATCTGATGGGGGGACAACTGCTCCAAAGCCCAGTGCTGGAAACATTTTATCCCTGGATTTTTAAAACTCCATTAATATTAATTAGCAAGAAGCTAATTAAGCTTAAATTATTGATTTGTATTTCACTTAATTATGAAAAAATGTAAAACATTTTTCAAAATTAACTTTTTAACTGAGCCCAATTACCAGTCATAATCTTGAAGGACTGTCCCCACAGATCGAATAGCTTTCATGTACTCATTGGGATACTCAGGGTCAAGGAAATGAAGAGAGCCTCGCATATGTGGGAAGCCATTGGAAGCAGTAAAATCAACTCCAATCTAAAAGAGTGTCTTTCTTTTAATGTTAACTAATGCAATGTAATAAACTGGTTAAAAAGAAAATAGTAGGATGTGTGATAACAAGTTTTTGTTTTTTGTTGCAAGACATTAATCCCAAGTATAGAAATGTTTAGACCTACCGTCAAATTTATTTGCAAACCTCCAAAAATATAATCTAGAAAAGTGTGTTCTCTATAAATCTGGAAAGACATTGTGCATTGAGGTAAGCTAAAATGTTATGACAGCTGACTTGAAAGTGGATCATAATGAACACATTGAAAACAAAAGATAGCCTACAACTATAAAATCCAGTGTTTTTGTCAAACATTTTTCTCTAGCAGGGCGGCACATGAATCTTTTGGTAGGTGGAGGAGAATTAAGTTTTCAGGGTGTGGGGCAGATACAAATTAAAGTATATTTTGTATATAAATTATATTTTGTTCAAGGGGAGTTAGATGTGCATTAGAGGGGGGGGGGGGGTGGTTGAAAAAAACTGATATTAATACTACCTAACTCACTTTTAAAGTGTTGAGGACCACTGTGCCAGAATCTGTATAACCTTTTTTCTTCCCTCTCTTGCTCTCATTAACACAAGGCCAGGAGACCTAAAATTCAGATAAAAGTATGTACGATGGGTGTATCAGTTGACAAAATGATTTCAAATGCTCAGAGAATGTAAACAATTCATACTTTAAAAAAAAGGCTTTATCATAAGTATCTCTGCAATAACACAGAATTCCAAGATACTTTCAAAAACCTACTGCATGGTCTTTAGCTTTGATTATCTCACTCAAGGTTGACTCAAAACTTCCAATCAGATCATGAGAGCCATTTTTATCAAAGTCAAAGACAGTGAACTGTATGTTTAAATAAAAACAACCAAAAAAGTAATTAATCTAAAAGCTTATTTATATCTATGAGTAAGTCAAGCTAAAAATAAAACTGTTTAAGATTTTAATTAACAAAACAACATACTCGGATTGGTCTTGTCATATCACCATTACAAATAGACTTCATTCGTAAAGTAAATGGACGCCATTCAGGGTTCAGGTTATTTTTTATCACTTCTGTGCGGTGAGCAATTTGCCAACTTCCATCAGAAACAGGTTGAGAAATTTCCAGAAATGGATCGGACTTGCTCAATAGGTCCTATATGGTTAGAGAGAAGTCTTTTGGGAATGGTACAAAGTCAGTTAAATAACCCCTCACAAAGAAATATTTTCAGAAAGGCAATTTATGTATAATTAAAATATAAATAAAAATTAATAAAATATACCCATTTAATGTACATCTATTTGTGTTAGGTAAAATTAAAAACAACATAAGAAAACTGAGATGGCCAAGCAACTCATGCTACACTAATATAACCTGAACATCAAGTTTTATAACCTAAACCATCAAGTTTAGAGCCTAAACATCAAGTTTCATAGCCTAAACCAAGTTTTATAACCTAAACCATCAAGTTTAGAGCCTAAACATAAAGTTTCATAGCCTAAACATCAAGTTTTATAGCCTAAACATCAAGTTTCATAGCCTAAACATCAAGCTTTATAGCCTAAACCATCAAGCTATATAGCTTAAACCATCAAGTTTTATAGCTTTAATGTAATAATAGCATTAGAGTTTTCTATTACATTCCACCAAATTGAAAAGAAAATGTAACTAAGTTAGGTGATATAAAAAGTGGATCATGAGCTGGTTACATTATCTATTAAAAATTAAGATATCTGAATTGAATTATGAATTATATGATCTAACCTTATTTGAAAGTTTCTTTGCTGAGAATTGAAACATCAATAAATCATCCCCTTCTTTGATTTCAAAAGCATTTATCTAAATTAGAATTAATAATACATTACTCACTTTAATAATGGCATCAACATTTTAAAACAAAATGTATTTGTCTTGAATTTATTTTCAATCTTGTTTGCAACAGTATTGTTAATCAAGAGTGGAAACTTTCACAAAAAGTGAAAACCAAAATAAAGTGAACAGATATGTCCATGTTAGGGGTCACCCATAAATGATGACTTATTTATGAATCAGATTCAACCATGGTCCTCTTATATTAAACCGTCTGTAACACATATCATAGTTTTATTTGATTGATGTCAACCAGGGCAGTATTTTGCTTTGATTATAATCTCATTCCTTTGTTGAAACTGATAATTCTCATTTATACATTATATAATTATAAAATACAGACAAAGGAAATTTTGAGAATTTTATATACCAAAATGTATATCCCAAAAATAATAAGAATTCACAAATAGGTTCACATATATATATATATATATATTATATATATATATATATATATATAATATATATATATATATATATATATATATATATATATATATATATATAATATATATAGTATAATATATATATAATATATATATATATATATATATATATATATATATATATATATATATATATATATATATATATATATATTATATATATATATATATACATTTATTTATTTATTTCTATTTATATGTATTTTCTGTAAATGATTTCAAATTTAATACTATTCTGTTATTAAATTATCAAATTATTTATCAAATATAAAGTTCTTTATTATTATTTCAAGATCCAAATTGTTAACAAAAATACTTGCACTAATAGTACAGTTGGGAATTTCTTTTCCATGTTTTCGAAGCATTATTTTTGTAAAAGGGCTTTTAGTTACAATCTGAAATAAAAAGGCATATTAAGCCTGTAATTTAGAATTATTACTTTTTCATTGTTTTTTTTTCCATTAAATATTGTTTCATATTGAAACAAATCACATACCAAATAGAATAAAAAAATTATAGTCATAGTGATTTACAATTTATAAGTACAATTGTTCTAGAGGTGGTAATGTAATACTGTACTAAAATATTCCTTTTAAGTTAAATTATTTAAATGTTTTACATTTCTGTATAATTTTATCCACAGCTTGATAACAAAAAATATACAGCTTTCTAAATGTTACCATTTAGATCTAGCCTATGTTCATTTTGCAGTTAAGCCTTATAATTTTATATTTGTAAAAAGAAAAAAATTGCCACAATATTATTTAACTTTTCTGTGAGGTGGTTTACTTAAAAAAAAAAACTAAGCAGAATTCTTTACTCTTTACAAACCTGGCCCAGCGTACATTCTATCTGTCCAAGAAAATCATCATCATCAACTTTTTTGGAAGAATTATCTAAATCATAAATCCTCACTCTTACGTACTGTACCATTTCAAAGAAATAGTCTATGGTAATAGGTTTTGAAAACTTTGGATCCAGTGTATTTTTAGCTTGCTCTGTTCTGTCATACTGCAAGTTACTGCAAGTACAAATATAGAATTATTGCTAGATCTAGATGATAATGATATTACAAGGGATATTTTTTTTTTTAAATTTCTTAAGTTTAACTTAGATTCTAAATGTAAAAAAATATTTTGTCAAAAATATTATCTTTAATAAGATTGACAAGTATTTATATTTATGATATTTTATGTCATAGATGTTATCAGTGGCCTAACGAGGCCGGGTGTCACCCGTTGCGGCACTTAATGGTGTCCCTTCCCCCGTAAAAAAATTATATAGGCCTACATATATATATATATATATATATATATATATATAGTCTTATATATATATATATATATATATATATATATATATATATATATATATATATATATATATATATATATTTATTTATACATATATATATATATACATACATATATTATATACATACATATATATATATACACATACACATACACGTAGACGTAGATGTAGACGTAGAAGTAGACGTAGACGTAGACGTAGACATAGACGTAGACATAGACATAGATATATTAAATTCACTTTAACAATTAATTTGTACAATTTCAGTACAATACATAATAGAATTTAATTTTATTACGAAATATTTATTTAAATGAATGCTATACTTGTGATTTTTGTTTTTCTTTTAAGGGTTCATCCATAAATGACGTCACGTTTTTACCCCCCCCCCCCCACATCGTCACAAAAAGCAAGACCCCCCCCCCCCCCTAAAATGACGTCACACCTCAGCCTACAACCCCCTCCTTCAAAATTGCAGTTGAATTTTTTTTTAAACATCGATATTTTTCCAAATTGTTGTCTGCACATCTGTCAAAACAGAGCATTTTAATTAATTCCTATTACAATTGATTAAAACAGTTTTCTAAAACGCAAAATGACGTCTAAAATTCGTTTTCAAGCATTGCCTTTTTATAATGCAAAAATGTGACGTCGCACCATCTGACCCCTCCCCCTCATCACACACCGTCACAAAATTACGGACCCCCCTCCGCCCTACGAGTGTGACGTCATTTATGGACGATCCCTAAATAGTAAAAAAATTATTTTTAAATTATTACTTTAAAAGTTACCTCCCCTGTACATATACCAAATGACGTAGTCTTTGTTTACTTTTTTTAGAAACAATTGTTTATATAATAAATATAATAAAAAAACAACTGCCATGCTAAATTGTAATATTAAGTCTATAAATCACATAGTTGTAATTTATTAGGCTTTTCGACAACGGTGTTTGTTTCATAAAGATTAATTTGTTTCGTAGTTTTTTGCTGAATATTGCAATTTAACTCCGAGCTATTTCACCAAGTTCATTCATGCTCACTTTTCTAATCTCGATGTGTGTGTGTAGCCCTCTACCCATGCCCCCCCCCCCCCCCCGTAAGATCCTACTAGATTATCTTCTGCTTGTCAGTAACGTCATATGGCAGAAGTGGGGGTGTGGACAGCAGAGGCGTAGCGAGGGGGGGGGGGGGGCGGGGGGGGGACATATGTCCCCGGGCGCCGACCTTAGGTGGGCGCCAAAATGGGTTGGAAAAACAAATTGAAAGTTTGAGAAGGTGCAAATCAAATCGAAAGTTTGTCCCCGGGCGCCGGGAAGGGTCGCTACGCCTCTGGTGGACAGCACCGGTTATACAGTTTGAAATAGGGCAAAATGCAAATGAAATTAATTACGCTTGACTGATTGTGTGCTGCATTGAAACTAACAGTAAGCTTATCGTGTTTTACCTCCTTGTATTTATCTTTGTGTTTCACGTAGAAGACTGCACATGGGTCGGATAGAGAAGTCAAATCCCTGTTGGGTAGATTCATGCAGGAGATTCTTAATTCAATCTTCTGAACAAGTTGTGTTGGTCCTGTTCCAGGTATGGTAAGTGCCATTCCGATATCAGAAGTAAATCTGGTAATATCTTTTTTGTTGCCGCTCTTTCTCTTAATCGTGCGTGTGTCTTGACCTGGATTAACAATATATCAAATATAGGGCCTATATGTTACCGGTAAAGTATGAAAGCCAGACATTCTATATAATGCCTAGGCAATGTATACAATCGCTGGGGTTTTCACTCTTTTCCAAGGCCTTGTGTAAAATGCCTAGGCGTTGTATAGAATTGTTTTAAACGGATTTTTCTTACCTTTCTTTACACGTAAGGGAGCTCCATACAACAAAGAGGTGAGATGATATCTGTCAACTCGAGCGTCTTTTAATTTGCAGTTCACGTTTTTAATGCACATCGTCCTAGTTTGGGACCTGTGTTTCTTCCAGACTATTTTCTCCTGGGGGGGGGGGGGGGACCTTAATATTTTCGGGAGGGGGGGCGGTCAACATTTTTCAGGGGGGGCGGACACTGGTAACAGTATTATATTTTCTATATGTAAATGCCATTTCGTTCGGGGGGGGGGGGTGGTAGACTTTCTTCGGGGGGGGGGGGGGGGGTCTGTCCCCCCCCCCCACCCCGAAAAGATGCCTGGAAGAAACTCTGGGACGCGTTAACTACTAATTCCTACTATCATTGGATAATCTCTCCAGCTAATTCCAACTTTTATTTCTCGTGTCACCCTCAAATTTGTCTTGCCATCTGCTATTGGGCAGCACATTTGCCCTTGTTGCTTCAAGCTTAGTGCCAGTCTAATAAAGTAGCTTGACCGTTTAGTGTACCCCCATAGAGACCCATTGTTTCTATTATTTCCTTTCAGGCTAATAATCAAAGATATACAACATCTCTAGAGAGATGTTGTGTATTGTTGCTATTTCTCTAATAAAATTGGTGCATTTAATCCTTATGAACTTTATGTTAAATATAACTATCCAAATAATTTAAAACATTTTTTTTTATTTTAAAAGATCAGACTATGTATAATGGTAAGCTGTGTATATAACTTTAACAAGAGGAGACAGTGACGGAACTAGAAAAAAAGCCACCCTCACCCCATGCAAAAAAAAAAAAAAAGAATATTACTTTTATGGCCTATAATACGAACATAATCCTTTTTTATATGGAACTTTTCAATGGACGTGAATTATGAGTACAAATAGAATAACAAAGGAAGGAATGCAGGAAAAATCTTTTCCTGTGACCTTAAGTGCAGTGTTTCGTCCAGACTTTTTTCTCCCGGGGGGGAGGGCACTTGAAATTTTCGGGGGGGCGGTAAACTTTCTTCGGGGGAGCGGACATTGTTAAAAGTATATATTATCTATATAAATTATATAAATTTCGTTCGGGGAGGGGGTGGGGAGTACATCAGTGCGTGTCGTTATATCAGAACTAGAAATATTAGACCAAAGTTTGAGGTCTACCTCCTTTTAATTGTACTTTTGATTTGAAACACGTAGGCGGACTGGCGTTAAGGTACCATAAGGGATATACAACTCTACCGCCACTACTTGTTCTTCTATAGAGGTTTAAATATAGCTTATATCAGTGAACTGAATGAAATCCAAGCACCCCTCCCTCAACTCAGCAAATTTGTTTAAGAGTCCCTCGATGACTAATAAAAGCCATTTATAAAATACCCACACTATGAAGTTTACCACAATCTATTAGATTTTTTCTTTGAGCGCAACATTAACACCAATACAAAAACCACATGTCGGTGTTGGAAAAGTTAGTCAAAACTTGACAGTAAGGAATTCCCAGAGGCGTAGCTGGGGGGGGGGGGGAGGAGGAGGAAGGGAGGGCGGCCGCCCCGGGCGCCGACCCTAGGGGCGCCAAAAGGGGTAGAAAAAATATTTAAGAGCTTATTTTAAGCTGCAGTTTTGAATTATAAACAGTCAAAGTAAAGAAATTTAACGGCTAAGAGCCTTTGCATACTGATTTAACTGTTTTTTGCCTTGATTTTGTAACTGTAAAACATATACCCTTAAGAAATAGTAACCGCAAAAAAAAAAACACGCTTTCCAGCTTTCCTAGACGAGGGGGGAGGCGCCAAACTGAAAGTTCTCCCCGGGCGCCGAGAAGGGTCGCTATGCTTCTGTGTATTCCTTAAATGGCGGAATTATTAGATTGTATATCCCAGTAGCGTAGCGAGGGAGGGGGCGGGGGGGGACATATGTCCCCAAGCGCCGAGCTTAGGGGGCGCCAAAATGGGTTGGAAAAATAAATTGAAAGGTTGAGGGGGGGGGTGCAAATCAAAATCTCGAGGGGGGGGTGCAAATCGAAAGTTTGAGGGGGGAGGGGGGTGCAATCAAAAACTCGAGGGGGGTGCAAATCGAAAAGTTTGTCCCCGGGCGCCGGGAAGGGTCGCTACGCCTCTGGTATATCCCATTGATAAAAAAAAATAATTAAGAAGTATGTGTGTAAAGGCCGAGTTAGATAAAGGAAGTAAGTGTGTAAAGGCCGAGTTAGATAAAGTAGTAAGTTGGCATAGAGTATGTGAAACACTGTTTCTGTGATCACATAGTATTACGTCGAATGTAGTCACGCCTAAATGAGAATTACATTGAACAAATTCCGCGACTTGTACTGGTTAGGTTGACGTTTTTATAAGATGCCATGAACCCTTCGTCACTAATGTCGAAATCTCTTTGACGTTATTTATGAAATCCCATAAATTAGACCATTTTAAATTAGGTTTGATAGTAAAGATTAGAGCTACCCTTTTGGTGCTTTTGATAGATGTATGCCTACTGTTTAATTAAAACTTGTTTGTCCAATCCTTGAGTTTATTGGTGTCAATAACTACCCTGGAGTTATAGCTGTCATTCACTAATCCTGGAGTCTATGTGTGTCTAAAGATAATGAGCTACTATTACCCTGAAAGAAATTAGCCTTGAAGAGATTATTGAAAAAGTAAATAGGGGCCTACCTTTTCTCAGCCACTTGTCTAATGCAATTTTGCCAAGGTTTGTGGAACGAACACACTTGAACAACCTGAGTTCTGCTGAAGCTTTTAACTGACAGAATGAATAAAAGACCAAACGACTGGGTATTTACGGGGCATCTCGTACAGCGAGGTTAAACACGCATCAAGCCGGGTAGGGAGGACGCTAGTTATTTACTCTATTAGGCGGGGTTGGAGTTCAGCAAACAAAAGGAATAAGAAACGCGTTAAGGGCAAAAGGGGCACATCAGATCCAAAACATTGGGCTCACTGGGGTAGGTGTCACCAGTGGTGTCACTGGGGTAGGTGTCACCAGTGGCGTCACTGGGGTAGGAGTCACCAGTGGTGTCACTGGGGTAGGTGCCACCAGTGGCGTCACTGGGGTAGGTGTCACCAGTGGCGTCACTGGGGTAGGAGTCACCAGTGGCGTCACTGGGGTAGGAGTCACCAGTGGTGTCACTGGGGTAGGTGTCACCAGTGGCGTCACTGGGGTAGGTGTCACCAGTGGCGTCACTGGGGTAGGTGTCACCAGTGGCGTCACTGGGGTAGGTGTCACCAGTGGCGTCACTGGGGTAGGTGTCACCAGTGGCGTCACTGGGGTAGGTGTCACCAGTGGCGTCACTGGGGTAGGAGTCACCAGTGGCGTCACTGGGGTAGGTGTCACCAGTGGCGTCACTGGGGTAGGAGTCACCAGTGGCGTCACTGGGGTAGGTGCCACCAGTGGCGTCACTGGGGTAGGTGTCACCAGTGGCGTCACTGGAGTAGGTGTCATCAGTGGCGTCACTGGAGTAGGTGTCACCAGTGGCGTCACTGGGGTAGGTGTCATCAGTGGCGTCACTGGGGTAGGTGTCACCAGTGGCGTCACTGGGGTAGGAGTCACCAGTGGCGTCACTGGGGTAGGTGTCATCAGTGGCGTCACTGGGGTAGGTGTCACCAGTGGCGTCACTGGGGTAGGAGTCACCAGTGGCGTCACTGGGGTAGGTGTCATCAGTGGCGTCACTGGGGTAGGAGTCACCAGTGGCGTCACTGGGGTAGGAGTCACCAGTGGCGTCACTGGGGTAGGTGTCACCAGTGGCGTCACTGGGGTAGGAGTCACCAGTGGCGTCACTGGGGTAGGTGTCATCAGTGGCGTCACTGGGGTAGGTGTCACCAGTGGCGTCACTGGGGTAGGTGTCATCAGTGGCGTCACTGGGGTAGGTGTCACCAGTGGCGTCACTGGGGTAGGTGTCACCAGCGGTGCCGTGTATGACCCAATCCAACAAATATAAAACACACCACATACACGTTTTAAAGATGTAGGCTATTTTTAAAAATGCAATGTGACGCAGCTATGCATAATCAATGTTTAGGCTACACACACGCGCGCACATATATATATATATATATATATATATATATATATATATATATATATATATATATATATATATATATATAATAGCACTGAGTATTTTCTATATCAGTTATAGAATTAAGATAGAGTCTATAGTAGTTTATCATCAGTGGCGTAGCTACCGTAAAGCTGGCGTAAGCAAGGCATAGGGGCCCATGGAAAATAGGGGCCCTTTTCCCTCTTTAAATTTTTAAAAACTTTTACATTGGAATTTTAAAAAGAAAACGGAAATTTAGTTTCTTTTCTACTGTAGAAGTAGTCAAAAGTTACAAAAAAGGCCCCCACACCTTTCTTACTGTGGAGAGGTTGTACAGGGCCCATCAGTATTAATAACACTATAGGCATTGTTGCATTGTCGGGCAAGCTGTAGAGATAATTAGCCAATAAATAAACTTGAACATTGACTCTTTTGTGAAAATGGCAATGGCACCCGCAAATTTATACGCATCGCTAAAAACTCTCTACCCCACCTCCACAAACCTGCACCCCCCTCCCCTTTCAACTCTCTGTCCTCACCGAAATTCCATCCATCCAATGATTACAATTGAGCCATTTTTGGATAACAGCCGTGGACAGTGTTTTCACGACAAGCTGAGTCGAAAATGTGTCAATGTTTTTCTGTTAGTTTTAACCTTAATCACAATTTGTTTGTTAATCTAATTTATCTCTAATCAATATGCCACTACTTAAAGATTTTTGTTTGTGTCTCCTTGTCCTTTATGTATTATTACAAAAATGATCCAATCACCAAGACACATTGGGAAGTCGTTCAGAATAATTCAGACAAACCTCTACTGACCGTGAAATTTCCTACCACAACCCCACACACGGGGAGCAGTGCCTTCCCCTCGAAGAGAGGCCAGAAAGCAACTTTGACTCCTGTAAAGTTGTCTACCATTAAATAATTTTTTTTTACGTTCGGAGAGCGGTTCCGTTTGCAAACCAGATTTTCCCAAAATATTTCTTAGTGCCTGGGGTCAGTTATTGGAGAGTCCTGCACAATGGGTCAGGATTACTGCTAAATTCAAAGGTCAAACTGCACAGGTTTATCAGCCGTTGCCCCAGGCTCCCCCCGTGAGCACAACGGCGCATACACTTGTTTTAATGAGCGCCATGCCCTAGGGATACGGAGAAAGAAAAAAAGGGTGTCCTTCAGCCGCCTCGGCAGTAGTATACGATTAGGCGCCCCGAGTCTCTCCATTATTATGATGTTATGAAACAAGTTGTAGATATGCCCTTTGGGTCAGCGACTTCCATCCTAAGTGTCGAACATACAGAAGCAACTAAAATGAACTTCAAGGAACATATTAATCGTTTTGCAAACTTAAAAGAAAAGAAAAAACAAATCTAAATAAATCATGAGCTACTTTTTAAAATTTGTAATTTGGTTAGTGGCGTCACAAGGTTCGATATCACCCCGTCCAACAATTGTGTATTTCCGGTGGAGTGTTACCTCCCAGAGGCGTAGCGAGGGGGGGGGGGGGGGGGGGGCGGGGGGACATATGTCCCCGGGCGCCGACCCTAGGGGGGCGCCAAACAGTGTTTCTTCCAGACTTTTTTCTCCGGGGGGGCACTTGAAATCTTCGGGGGGGCGGTAAACTTTCTTCGGGGGGGCGGACACTGTTAAAAGTATATATTTTCTATATAAATTATATAAATTTCATTTCGTTCGGGGGGGCGGTAAAAATTTTTCGGGGGGGCGAAGCCCCCCCGAAGAGATGCCTGGAAGAAACTCTGGCGCCAAATTGAAAGTTTGAGGGGGGGGGGGTGCAAATGAAAAATTCGAGGGGGTGCAAATGAAAAGTTCGAGGGGGGGGGGGGGTGCTAATCGAAAGTTTGTCCCCGGGCGCCGGTAAGGGTCGCTACGCCTCTGTTACTTCCTCTCCTTAATATATTATTATTTTAACTGAATAAAATATAGTTTTGACAATTTTCGTCATGGTATCACACCTAAATTTTGAGGCCCCTGTCCTGTGACGCTACTGTATTAGGTTACTTAAATGTTGCAGGCTTACAGTTAATTTGTTGTTTTGTTTTTACATAAAAATGATATAAAATCAAAGGTATTTTACGCTACGGGGGTACTAGTTAATAATACCATATAAACACAAAATTAGGACGTATAAAATACACAATTTACTGATTTACGTAGGGCCCAATTATGATTTTTGCATAGGGGCCCGAAAATCCTAGCTACGCCATTGGACGGATGTCGCTGAAATTTGCGAGACCAGCAAGTCGATTTGGATCTGGGTGAGTAGTAGGAACATAATTTAGACCCCCAAGTAAGTCTATAACTATAACCAACAGTGGCGGATTAAGGGGGGTGCTGAAAGGGCTGCAGCTACGGGCCCCCGATTTTTAGGGGCCCCCAAATTTACCATCTAATTGTAACTAGTAAAGGCATAAAAAAACAATAAAAAAAAACCAAAAAAAAAACCCATCTACATTGGTCAGAATACAATAGGATATCACATTACGTTTTTCCCCCAAATTTACATACCAGGTACAAGGGGGTGGAGGCGGAGGGAGGGGGGGAGGGCTCACTTAATCGACCCATCGCCATCCACCTCAGGTAAAACAATCTCCAGGCGACCGTAGTTCTCTTCCCTGCACATAACAACTAGGTGTGAAACTAATGTCTTCCTATAAAATACAGCATTGTTCAAGTTGAGATGGGGAAGGGGGGGGGGGGTAACTCACTAGGCCTACCATCAACCGTGGCCTCAGTTGTAACAATAAACAATGGCGAACTTTGACCTTTAAGTTTTTTTCCAATTTAATTAAACTGTGAACTCTGACGACCCGTTAGGGTAATGGAAACTGGAACCTCTTTTGTTGAGCTAGGCATATCACCCCCCCCCCCCTCACTTCCGGCATGTCCCTAAACTATATCTTCCTCCCCGAAATCCCATTCGGAATTACATTTGTTGAGTCAGTCATTCTTTTGTATTTATTCGCACGGAGTCTACTCAAGAGTTCAAAATTTTTCTTGATTTCCAACCCTCCACCATTATCCAGGCTTCAGACTTTTCAGATAGACAAAGTAATCCTAAAGGCTCGTTCATCAGACCTATATGTCAAAAAATGGCTTGCTGGAGAAAAAACGACAATTTGCAATTTCAGCAAAGAGCTGGACTTTTAATTAGATTCAGCCTTGTTTTTTTTTTAAATTCTATTGAATATGTCTCGTTACTATCCTAGTGGAGCAAAAAAACGCGCATTATCGGTGAAAAAAAGAAAGATCGAAGCTGAGCTTGCTGAAAAAACTACAAAACTGCTCTCCTTTTTCAAACCAACTTCGAGTACCAAGGAAAATAGCCACGTAGAAAAGGGATCTGCAATTGAATCAGACACCGCCGGGGTAAAAGATGTAGAGCAGGCTCCTACTTTAAAACAATGTGATTTGAAAGATGATACAGCAAAACCCCTTGAAGATAGTCATGCTATATACGACCTTCATTTTTGGCCAGAGCGGGAAAAGATGTCAGAGGCATTTAGAAACTATTGGATTCAACGTGGTACCACACCATGCCAAAACAAAAACGGGGACTTTAAAGAATCGGTCATACAGTTAGAAAGAGAGTCACAACGTCGGTTCTGCACCATTTCTTTATTCACACGTGTCCATGCACGAACAGGAGAAAAATTTGAAAGAAATTGGTTGTGTTATTCCAAAACAAGCGGGTGTGTTTATTGTTTTTTATGTAAGCTGATGTCACCTATAACTAACAAAATGACATCATGGTTCAAACAATGGAAAAGTGCCCATGAAGTGCTATCTAGGCATGAAAATTCCAAACAACACATTGATTCATTGGCAGCGCTGTGTTCACGAAAATCTACTGGTCAGATTGACATGAAACTTGTAACGCAATATGAAAGTGAAATTCAGTATTGGAGACAAGTACTTCACAGAATCGTGAGTGTGGTACAGTTTCTTTGTATTCGTGGTCTTCCGTTTCGGGGCAGAACTGAAGAGGTTGGCTCTCCAAACAATGGGAATTATCTCGGGTTGCTGGAGCTGTTAAGTCAGTACGATACCTTTCTCGCAGAACATATGCGGATACACGCCAACAAAGGACGTGGACATACATCCTACATATCTTCAACAATATGTGAGGAGATGATTGAACTTATGGGTCAAAAGGTTTTGTCTGTAATTGTAGATGAAATAAAGACAGCGAAATATTTTTCTATATCTGTAGATTCGACTCCAGATGTTTCACATGTTGATCAACTCACAATCGTTATTCGCTATGTACAAGACACAGGACCTATTGAGCGCTTCTTAAAATTTGTACCAATGTTTTCACACACTGGTTCGGAAATAGCTAATTTAATACTAACATTTTTGGAAGAAAATGGAATTGACATAAAAAATTGTCGCGGTCAATCATATGACAACGCGTCCAACATGAGCGGCAAGTATAACGGCGTTCAGGCTAAAATCCGGGAGAAGTGTGACATAGCATTGTATGTACCGTGCACAGCACATTCACTCAATTTAGTTGGGAGCTGCGCAGCTGAGTGCTGCCCCACGTCAGTTGGGTTTTTTAATCTCCTTCAGGGCCTTTACTCTTGGCTTTCTGCATCTACCCATCGTTGGCATATACACAACAAGCACATGAATGGATTGCCTGTTGCTAAAGCTTTGTCGGAAACCAGATGGTCCGCTCGACATGATGCTGTTAAGGCTTTAAATAGAGGGTATAAGGAAAATATATCGGCTTTGGAGGAGTTAGCAGCTGATGAAAATCAACCTCTTAAATGTAGAGCTGAAGCTGAAGGATATCTTAAAAGTTTACAAAAACTAGAAACAGTAATATTATTGGAGGTATGGGATACAATTTTAGAGAGATTGCATAAAACAAATGTATCTCTTCAAGAAAAAGGTTTATCTCTTAATACAGCAGTTAATTTGTTAAAATCTGTTCTCCTTTATATTGAAAGTCAACGTAATGAATTCGCTAGCTTCGAATCAAAAGGAAAAATTAAATGTGAAGTCAAAGACTACACATATTCCAACAGACGACCACTAAAGAGGAAGCGACAATTTGACGAAAGCAAAGTTTCAGAAATGCAACTTTCTCCTAGAGAAAAATTTAAGACTGAAGTATTCATCTGTGTGATCGACCACCTAACTACAGCTCTACATCATCGCTTAGATTCCTATAAAACTGTTCAAAAAATGTTCGATTTCTTCAGTGACCTGACCAACCTTAGCACTGGTGACATTACAGGAGCAGCTACAAAACTAATCAACAAATATCCAGATGATTTTGAAGAATGTTTTTCATCGGAGTTGATTCAATTCGCCGAGCTGTTTAAATCAATTCATGGGGGAAAAGAGCAAAACGGATACAATGATAGCATTGAATTAGAAATGTTGATGTTTTTAAATAGATTCAAGTGCATTCAGAGCTTTCCAAATGTGCACATTGCTCTTCGAATTTATCTGTGTATGATGACGTCTAACTGCAGTGGAGAGCGCTCATTTTCCAAAATGAAAAAGATTAAAAGCGATCTTAGAAGCACTATGGGACAGCAGAGACTTAGTATGCTCTCACTTATGAGCATAGAAAATGACATTGTAAGCGCACTAAATTATACAAAACTAATAGAAGAGTTTGCTATCAGGAAAGCTCGAAAATGTTCCCTATAAAAGTTACTTGGTCTTTAGTTCTAAATAAAAATAACTGTAATAAATGTAAGTATTCATAATTTCTTTTGCATTAGTAAATAAATAATTGTCACTTTAAATGCTCTTAAGTCTCAATGTAATTTAACATTACATTTAATGTAACATTTTTTGTATATGCCATGGCTTCTGTTAACATTTAGCTTATTCCATTCAACCTTTATTTTTTGGAAAGGCCTCTGTTTTGTTATGTCATTATATAAACTATATATATATATATATATATATATATATATATATATATATATATATATATATATATATATATATATATATATATATATATATATATATATATATAGTTTAGGGGGCCCCGGAAAAAGTTTCAGCCAGGGGCCCCGCAGAAGCTTAATCCGCCCCTGATAACCAACTGTTTTAGATTTCCTGACCTGCAAATGAACTGTCAATGTCTTGCTAGAAAGGTAACACTGTGAGAGGGAAGAAAAATTGGGGATTTATTTGACACAGATGACTGACATTGTTACGTAAAGTCGCTTCGTTTTTCCCCCGCCTTTTTTATGTGGTGATGATGTGTTAGGATCTGTGTGACAAATGCCTGATCATCTGAATCAGGTGTCTCCAAACTTTTCAGTCCGAGGGCCGCATTAACTATCAAATTTCAGTTCGGGGGCCAGTTAGTTCCAGGCATGTCTTTGATTTTTCTGGGCAAAGTTCCCCAGCCATCACCAACAAACGTTTTTTCCGACGACAAAAACATCGCCAGGGGCCGGATGAGAGGACCTCGCGGGCAGCATTCGGCCCGCGGGCCGTAGTTTGGAGACCCCGGACTGAATGATAATCATCCTCATCGTTCCTGCGGAGCAAAGGGACGCAAGCACACCTCTCCATAGCGCACTGGTTTTTCGTTTCGTGGGAAATAAAAATAAATAAATAAACCAAAACAGGCTAACAATTTCAAATTACTATTTAAATTGGAAAAGTTTAATGTAATATATATTTAACCTTCCCCCTCCTCGCGTTTCAAGCGAGTGTTAAAACTGCGTAACACGACAATGGTGAAACACAAGAGGAGGAAAGCAGTAGGTCTAGGCTAGGTCGGCCTAGGATTAACTTTTTAAAATAAAGTTGAATGGCAATGGCAGACTAAAGGTGAAAAGGTTATTTCCGCTTTGAGAAATGTTTACATCTAACGACCACTTTGGATAACAACAGAAGCTGAACTCTGAAACATTGTCATTTTATCATGATCATCATATCTCAGAAATACTATAGGCCACTAGATCTATTGGTTTATCATTAGATCTAGATCTAGCTACTTGTTTGCGTATGTCATGTTCGACTTAATGTTGCGACACGAATAATCTAGATTCTAGATCCAGCAGCTTTCGATTCCTACTCAATAGGCTTACTGAGGCTTACTCAATAAAATAAATTTCAATAAATCATGGCACTTTTTACCCGTCGAAGAATATTTATGTTTTTAACTGTTTTATTAGCGGTTATTTTTGGGGAAATAATCACCATAAAGCGAAGCAGTTATGAAACTAAAGCAGTGATTATACGTGTCAACTTTATTGTCGTGTTGGAAATTATTATATTTGCATTTTCCTGTATGATTTGGAATAGACTTGAACCATTAATCACTAGAGGAACTACAGGTGCTATTGAAAGCAACAACACACAAACTACAGAATCTACTACAACTACTGGTTTGAGAAAATGCAAAAACTCTGAACTTGACCTGTCTGATGATACCAATAGAAATCCTAATGTTACCAATGAGGGCAATGACACTTCAAGAAATTCTGAGTTAACCAACTCAAAGAAATGGTCTATTTGGCACGTGGTATTATTAACCTATCTAGGAACCTGTCATTTAAGTTATCTTACAAATGTATTTCTTATTTCTTCAGAACCACACTGGATTAGTTTATTTGCATATGCTTGCCTAGGATCATTTATTCAACTGAATACTGGATTAGTCAGTTTTAAGCTAATATCAGTTCTGTTAAACATTTTAAATAGAGCTTTTGCGTTACGTTGTAGAATTTCAAAAAAAAGTGGTGCCTTTCTTGCACTCATCTACACATTATTGATCTCAGTTTTTGGATTATACACGGCTTCACAATTACCTGCAATAAAAAATGTTGCAATTCCTGTAAAGGATTTACCTTCTGCTTTAGAAAAATTGACAATTGTTCAACTTAGTGATATTCACTTGGGACCCACTGTAGGGCTTTCTAAATTGAGAAAGATTCAAGAGCTTGTTAATCAACAAAATCCTGGTAATCACTTGTATATATAAATATGAATGTATGTCTGCTTGTGGGTTTGTTTGTATGTTTGTTTATGCGTTAGTACATACACCTTTCATTCATCCGTTTACCATGAAATTTTTGGAAGTTGTAGAGAATACTTCGGGGTAGGTTTCTGTGATTAATAAAATTTAAATATTGGCCCTCAAAGACCCCAAAATCTTTTGATTAATAAAAGGAATAAGCCAAGCTTAGATTATTTTACAAATAATATTAACTTGCTTGTTTCCCTTTCTCCATAAAAATGTCTGGAATAAAAAAACTTACCTAAATATGGGATGGGCTGTAACTTGCTGAAGGGGGGGCTCTTAAAACTTTTGGGAGGAGTGATGCACTTAAAATTTGCATGGAATGGATGGGGCGGGTGTTGGTTAAAGTATCTATTTTCTATCTAAATTATATATATTTTCATTGCTTTCAGGAGGTAGACATGCACTCTTAAATTTCTCATACACAAACTCTTTTGGTCACTTTAATTTACTTACTCTTTACGCTCTAAATGTGTGTTTGTATGTATAATATACGTGTATATGTATGTATTTAATCATACTTCAGTTTTTCTTATTACTTAGATGTTGTAGTTTTAACTGGCGACTTGGTTGATTCACCTGTTTACAAACTAAAAGAAGCAGTAGAGCCCTTGTCTGCCATCAACTCAAAGTATGGAAAATATTTTGTTACAGGTGTGTGACTTTTGCACGTACTTGTATATAATTACACTTAAACTTAAAATAAATCTTTAGAGCTGTTGAAAGCAACATTTCCTAATGAAGGTAATGCATTTTAAAAAAATAATGTATTTTACATAGGTAACCACGAATATTATACCGGGGATGTTGATAATTGGTTTTCTGTCCTTGAATCTCATGGATTCAGAGTACTTCATAACAGCCATGTTCTAATCCCTGAGGAAGCCTCAGACAAAGAAGGCCAGATTTGTCTAGCAGGGACTGATGATGTTCAAGCAGAAAGACTTGGGTCAGTGGAAAGATAATTTTGTTCTTTTGTTTTTAGTTTCTACTTTTTAATATCTTAAACCTACAATTATGCTTGAATTAAAAATGTTTTTTCTAAGATATGGTGACCATAAGTTTGATTTGGATAAAGCCGTTAGTAGCTGCAATACAGCTAGACCTGTGATTCTGCTAGCTCATCAGCCAATAGCAGCTAAAAGAGCTGTGGACTCTGATTATAGAATTGATCTTGTTTTGTCAGGTAAGTCAATGGGGAACAATTATAATAGATTTAAGTTGTAAACATTATGTTCTGTCTTTTTTTTAAAAAATTAACTTACTAAATGTTATCAACCTTAAGACACTAGGCTATCTATTGAATATTTCAGGTCATACTCATGGTGGCCAGTTGTTTCCCTTGAACATCCCAGCATACCTGCTCAACCCATACTTTGCTGGCCTCTATCAGGATCAAAGAAGAGGAAGTTTTGTCTATGTCTCACAAGGAACTCAGTACTGGGGTATTCCAATGAGAATATTTACATCAATGGAAATAACAAAGTTAACATTATATTCTATTCATTGATTCGATTCATTTTAGACTGCATTTGTTTTCATTTTTTTTTTATTTTATACATTCAGCATTCAAAGTTTGGTATAGATTAGTTAATATTACTACAATTTGATTAGACAAGGGTTATTTGTTTTGCTGACCTTGTTGTCCTAAGTTGCTTTAAATTAAAGAAAATTTTAATTTTAAAAAATTGATACATTTTGGAACTTTAAAAATTCTAAATATGGAAAATAAACATATTAAAATTCTGTGATGTGACTGTTTTATTTTCTATATATAATTATAAATAAATATTTTTTGTCTTCTTATGTATATTGTTATAATTGTTAATAATAAATCAGCAAACATTGGTTTTAAAAAAAAATGAATTTATTCCTTGCAGTGATCACAGTCTCTCCAAGGTCTTAAGTTTAATATAAATTAAGACACAAAGCCATTAAGCAAGATGTGTTTGAATAAATACAACCATATTAAACTTTTACATTGCTTTTTACAATTAAAAACACTCTTGAACACATTTAAGTAAAAATAAATGATGTAAGATAAATATGAAATGAATGTATTAAATAAATCATAAGCACGTTGTTTGAAGACTGAAGTTGCTACAATCATGTAAAAAATTATGTGGCTGAAAACCACCTGAGAATAACATTTATTTTAAAAGTTGGTCTAATTTAATTATTTCCAAATTTCAGTTAATTGGATCTCTTTTTACTACTACAGTTACACATGTATTAAATTATTGTATTTATGTTTCGCTGTTTGGAAAAAAATTATGGCAGATCTGCGACCAAAAATAACATTTTGATGTTGGACTGACACTGCAAATTTGTTTGACTCAATTAGGCCAATGAATGAGTCTTTTGAACACCTGTATTGAGTAATTTTATGTCTCAAGATAGATGTCAATATTGTCAAATGATGTTTACAAATCTATAATCTATTGCCTGGAGAGATGGTTCAAAATTTGACAGCTGGGTCAAAATGTGATGTTTTGCAAATTCCTTACGACAGACCAAAATGTACAAAACAAGAGAACATTTTCAAGCAGTATTTGCCATGAAGCATATAAAAAAAAATTCTTTCATGACACATGATATTCAAACCACTAACTGCAGTAAAAAAAAAAAGATATAATACTCTGGTCTTTTTGTACAAAGTATTTAAAGTATTTCTGGATTGGAACAAATTAAAGGATTGGAAGAAACACAAATTTAATATATCTAAAACTCAAAGGCACTAAAAATCAACACTGTTTGCATACTGTATATTAAGGCTTAACTATTCATTTAAAAAAATTACAAATAACAAACAACTGTGGTTAATTGAAATTTAAACACAACACATAACTAACAACAAATAGAAAATCAATTCTTCATGAGAGCTAATTATAATATTAAAGGGTGAAAGAAACAACTATAATAAAAGATTAGTTTTTCAGATCTCTACTCTTAATGTAATATTAAATATTTAAAGAACATTCAGGTGTTAAATGGCATTTTGCAGAAAGAAAAGAGCACCATGCTTGACTGAAATATTTTGAAAATAAAAAGCAAACTTACATTACATTTTATGACTCAACTAAATTACTGTCCAGCATATTTTTTCATTAAAAACTTGTAAAACAATCTTTTGAAGAAACAGCTCCAAGATAACTTACTAACACATGCATCAGTATTTCCAAATTAACTTTTGCTATGTGAGAGAGGGTATTTCTAAAAATATTAACTTTACGATTGTAAGTAGTTTTGCTTTTAAATGACATGAGTTGCAGCAGTCAGCCAGTGCTAAGGTGGTTTTAGATAGCTTGTGAGCATCAAGCAGATCCAGCTAAATTAGCTTTTGAAAAAAAAAACAATGCTTACAAAAAAACATAAATTACAATCTTAAGGAGAATAATATATTCTAGGAGTAAAAACAAATAAGGCAACAATGTATTGAAGACATTAATTTTCAAATCTTTGGTCATTAAATCAATATTTTTAACAAACTGCGTAAGACAAGGATTCCAAAAACGATTCAACATTCAACTGTAAAAAAGTGGGTTTTTACAAATATTACTTTAAAAAAAGTATTACATTGATCCCAATACATCCTGAGAAGCTTAACGGAACAAGATTTTAATACAAGTTATCAGCTTGTGAAAAATGTGGAACATTTTTAGCATTTGGGAAAAATATACTGAAAAAAAAATCAATTCACCATAAACATGTATATATGCAGTTTAAAATATTAAGTATCATGAACACCACAGTTTATATAAAAATGATGTGTATAAGTATAAGCAATAAAAATGGATAGGCGCTGCTTAGTTCTACATCATGTTTTAAACACATGTTATCTTATATAATTAAGCTATTCAAATTGTTATATAATCAAAAACAGATTCCTTCACAAATTCGTTATAGATGTTATTCTTAATTACAGTAAAAAAACTATATAAATTATTTGGTAACGTAATGTTTGATTTTTAAAAGGCCTTTTCTCGCATCACACCAGTTTAACATGAGTCTTAAACTTACAGTTTTCTCTGGATATGGGGGTAGTTTTTTAACGTACAAAGCAACTACAAAACATATACTATGAAGATATTAAGTACAAAAGAATGGTATGGCTTGTCTTGAACTAGACCAGCCAACCTTGACTCAGCAATAACGGGTGCCAGCAGGGCCAAAGCAATTAGATTGGTTTCAGTGATAACTTTTAATGGTGCTGCGACTACTAGAATCTACATCAATACTGTTTTTGTACTGATCTGAGCTTGATGAATGAATAGCATGTCAAATTTTAGAAGTTCAAATCAATTGTCTGAACATTGTGGTGAATTCAGAGGGGGGGCGGGGGGTGCGGACCGCACCCGGTGACACTATTTAGGGGGGGGGTGACACCAAGGCAAAAAATAGCAAAATTTAGAGAGAAAACTTGAGGGGGGTGCAAATCAAAAGTTTGAGTGGGGGGGGGGGTGCAAATCAAAAGTTTGAGGGGGGGGGGTGCAAATCGAAAACTTGAAAGTTTGTCCCCGGGAAGGGTCGCTACGCCTCTGGGGGGTGACACCATTAAGTGCCGCACCGGGTGACACCCGACCTCGCTACGCCACTGGGTAAATTCCATTTCTACAGCACTTAAAAAAGGATATGATCTGACATGTAAACCAAGAGCTACCGTTATTTAATTTACATGAAAAAAATCTATTAAATGACAGGTTTGTCAATATAAACCAAGTGCTGCCAACCATTCAATCAACATAAAAAACTATTATTTAAGAGGTTATTCTTGGAAACTTTAAAAAAATATTTTAAAAGTAAATTAAGAAAATGAGGTTTTCCACAACAAATAATTTGAAGAAAGTGTAAGATCAAAAGTAACTGATGGTATTTCATCTCAACCGATTGCACATTCCAAATAAAAATAACAAAAGAAAATAGGTAGGTAAAGATTGTTGAAACATTTTTTTAAAGTTTCTTTTGTGTAAATTGATTAAGACATGAAAAATTGGACAACTTAAAAGAAAATTAAAAGACAGTATATTATAATTATTATAAGTAAAAATGTAAATCAGCTTGATTCAACTTCATCAGAGATAGAACTGCATAAACAGTTTTTGATATTATTTTCTTGATGTTAAGTAATATGAGATTTAAGAAATAATTGAAAAAAAAAATCAAATCTATAACATTGGAGATATATGTATTGTAGTGAAATAAAGATAAATGTAATCAATATGTAATACTTAAATATTGTATGAATGTTTGATTATCTTGCATTTTTAGCAATTTAAAGAAAGACATAACTGTAACAGCATTTGATTTCACTTAACATCAACGAAGAATAAATGTAACATTATGACCATCTGATTGCTACTTTCTTCATCAAGTGAAACCTTCCATATATTTATTTCCCTTCAAGTAAAAGAAAAATCAGCAAATATTGTGCATAATAATACTTTTAAAATTGCCCAACATTTTAATCCCTTGTACTAAATCAGAGACAGGTATGACCACAAGCATGTATAAATTAAATTTAAATCAAGTATTTTAATGCTTTCTTCAATACTAATTTGTTTAAAAATACACTCACATGTGATGTTACATTCAACAGCTACCTATAAATAGAACTGTCACATTTTCTACTACTCTGAAGGAGCTGTACCTTTAGGATGCATTTATTGTATTTATCTACACCATGATTTCATCATCTTGCTCTGTAGATATCACTGGTTTTATTTCCTCTTTCTTCTCTTCATCTGTCAGTGTGCTCCCATCTGATGGTATTATATCCTCTTTTAAAACATGCTCTATTAAAGGCATGTCCTCTTTTGGATCTGGAGATGTGAAAACACTTTGTTTGAAACAAAATCTCAATTAGAATAAAGGAATCATTTTCTATGTGAACTATATAAGTAAGCATTCATCAATGGATGAATAGATAGAAAAGATAAACTAATAGAAATGGATTTAGATTACCCAAAACATTTTTCTAAACATTTTTTCTACATATTTCCTTATTATACTAAACTATGAAGCAAAAACAGCATTAAACTATTTTAGCCAAAGTGTGAAAAATATTGTTAAGATAATGGAATTGTTTAAATTACTTTAAAAAATAAATAATATAAAACCAAGTTCCTATCCATTTTCTTTTTTTTTGTTTTAGGAAATTTTCTAATTCTTTTTTCCTGTTTAATAGAAATTAAAATCTATTGACAATACATAAATATCTATATATATATGATAGGTTATTATATATATATATATATATATATATATATATATATATATATATATATATATATATTATATTATATTATTATTATATTATATATTATAATATGGTGGTCTATGATCCAAATATAACGGTGATGGATGAAAATACAAGAAAAAGGGGTTTGGAAGCTTTCAGATAATACTCAAAGTTAAATACATTTCATGGTTATAAGAGATACAACATTTGAAAGCCCAGTAAACTTAGAATGTTTGATATTTAATTAGGTGTGTCCACATAGTATAAAGAAATAGTAATAAAGAAATATCATTTGCATGTAATTCATTTAAAACTATGGCAATTAGCCTCAACTACTAATGTAAAGAATTATTTATAGAATTTAAAATTTAAACTTTTACAAGTAGTATGTTTGAAATCACTGTAACATTAAAGAATATTCAAGACAGGGAAACCACACTAAAACTCACAAAGAATATCAAGCAAGTTGAACAAAATCAAATGTCACAAAAACAATACAAATCCTTGCAAAATGCTATTTGACAGATGTTATCTGTTTCTGTGTTTTAAAATTTAAGATGACATGGAAAAGCCATGTTACTTTAAATTTTTTAAAATTAGAACTGTTTTATTCAATTTGAAAATAATAATTATGTTATTATATAAAGTAAGTTGTGTAAACCATTAAATCAAGATTGTACTGTTATTAGCATTGCTATCTTAGGCTGGAGGAGATGGCACATGCTTACCTCTAACTTTCTTCCAAGGCTAACAGAAAAGAAAAAACTAAAGTAACATGCAGGCTGTTCACAATAGACATAAATAACTGATCTAATAACTAGATGAGAATCTAGTGCTCTCAAGTGCTCATCATACACTTACATGCTTAAATGAAGTTTTTTTTAATGATACAATTGATATCATTCTGAGTTACTCTTGTCTATGAAAACATTTAATCTCTCTAACTGTGGTGACCAAATTGTAGTAGCCTTGTTTGATTAATTTTATTGATCTAAACAATCAAAATATTTTTGGGATATAAGATGACTTTTTTACCCAGGAAATTCTTATATTGAGTATATTTTCATAAATTTTAAAATTTGAAAAGTTCATGTCATCTTATATGCTAGTTGTTGTATTATGGGGTAAGTAAACAGCAGTACTGGTAGAATGGAGACATCCTAAACATGAATGTGTTTGAATGATCTCGAGGTAGGACATTATATGTACAATCATGGAAAATGGGTGAGGGTCTGGGGAAATGGGGGAAAAAATGTTAACTTAAAATAATAATAAATTGTCTGGTTATAATCAGCTACAGGAAAATAAGCAGGAAAAATGTCAGATAAATAAACTGATTCAAAAGCTTTCAACATTTTTATTTTTATTTTGGAAAAGGATGGAAAATGTTAGATTATTTTAAACAGATAACTATCATAATTTTAAGGGACTGAAAAATATGGATCACAAAAATATATTTAATAAAAGTTGAATTAATATTATAATAGAAAAAAAAACATGAGAATTCCTTCCTTTCCCACTTAGATATCTTATTAAACAGATATTCAACAAATTAAAACATAATTTTTCGTTTTTAGAATGTTCTACAATTGAAAATGAACATGTCAAACACATGAAAATTTTGTGACTCATATAACTGAAACAAAGGGTTGAAACTAAATACATCAGTTTTTTTAAAAGTTTGATTATTTCCATCAATCAATAACCAGTAAATGTAGTTTTACACACTGCTAAGGTACACTTCTTATTAGAATCAGTAAATATTGAATGCAGACCTTCTACAATAATTAAAAGAAAATTATTTAAAAGTTTTGTCCCCACACTGTGTAGAACAGTACAATTTAGCATCTTAAATTTTGATAAACACTTTAATTTTCTGTGTAATGGGAGAAATTTAAAAAATATGCACATATTAAATGCGCAAAAAATTAATAAAAGAGCATACAATGAGACAAGACTGTAGCTAAATATTAATCTGAACGTAATTAATTTCTATCATATGAAATTGATGTATTGTTTAACATGTGTATAAATATGTACCCTTACAAATAGCAAGAAACTTTCTAAGGCTTCTAATCCTTTGTACCAAAGCACAGTGCTGGTGTGTAACAACTTTAACCAAGCTATCACGCTGTGTGTACATATATATTGACATAAATATATAAGTGACGAAGTTGTATATCACTTAATTAGATAAACTTAAAATAACTAGTGTATTGAGATTATAGTGTTTATCATAAGAATATGTCTTAAATTTGATTACCTTTTAAAACCAACATTTGTTTTTACATTTCTTTTAATTATTAGATTAACACCAAAATAGTAACAAGTGTAACTCTAAAGAACATAGAACAAGGCAAAAGAATTACAGGGAAAGGGCAACAGTGATTTTTTCAGATTGAACAGTTATGTTTAGTTCTTTGTGCATGCAGTCCAACAGGTATAGCTGGACTGGTTGTGTGGCATAATTATTAATATAATGAATTTCTATTTAATGAGCATTATTAGTATCTTTTATTAATAGGTCTGTTACTTCTACATTCTATTAATTGGAAAACAAAAATATTAAGTAGGAATATTTTAACAATATGTGTTCTTTGATTTAGTAGGTAAGTGGTGTGTTAAGGAGAGGTTAGTTGGGAGTTAGGGTGTGAAGAAGGGATGGAGTCGGGTGGGGAGTGGACAGGTGAGTGGGTTATAATGATATAATGATTTGCTAAGTTTCTCTATCTGTATGAAACACAATATAAATAAACCATTAAAATAAATTAAAACATTTTCAATGATACTATTGTATTATTTTACAATTCCAAGTTGCTTCTATGCAATTGTATCCATAGGAACTGACCTAGACAAGTTAAAATTTAACAAAACACATTTTTTTCTAAATTGCTTTCCCCTGTCTTCCAACAGCCTTAAAAGCTAGTTTATTTATATACAGAGAGAGATACTTTGGGCTATATTAATAAATAATGGCTTTATACTGAAATTAATATAATCATCATTAGAGAGGAATGCGATGTTCACAATTTGATACATAAAGCAGAGATTAATTACAAATTAACGATTAGAAATTAATGCTGAAAACTAAAGCTGGTCTCCCTCTAAAAAAATTGTAACAAATAATTTAATTTTTAAAATGTACCAATAAGAAAGCCAATAATTTACTATTCCTATTAATCTAATTTTTTCAATTATTAATTAGTAAGTGATTAGTTGTGCCACCATGAAAATGCTAATATGAAGTAGCACTTGTCATTGACTAGATGTGCTGTTAGCATTGGTTAAAGTGGTGAATATAAATCCTTTCCCTCCTCACCTTTGGGGTGTGTTTCTTTCAGCTGATCATCATCTTTTTGTACAGCAGTTGGGTTTAAGTTAGAGGGGAGAATACTCTGTGAGTCACTTTTCTGACTTATTCTCTTTATTTTGTCCTTGACAGACAGCCTGAGAGTGGCTGAATCATAGACAACCCCTGAGTCACTGGCAGGACGTAGACACTCTGATGTGTCTACCTGATTAGCTGCTGATGGGGCAACTGGAGTTGTGGGGCTTGAAACTTCTGTATCACACAGTGACAGAAAAGAAAGATTTAACCATGCAACTACACATGACAGCATCTCTGATGGAAACAGCAATCACTACCTCTAATGGTATATTTGGCTTTAACTTCATTTTTTCCCGGAATGTTTCTGGGATTAAGTGGTCTGCCTCCCTATCTATATTATTTGAATCACATGCCTCAATATCTCAATGTCAGTCTAAATTTCTTGAAAAATTTCAATAAGCACATTTAAAATTTCAGAGTAACAAGAAAATCTAGATCAACAACATACAAGCAAACACTTATTGAGCATGTCATCTTTAAAAAAAACTGGATGCAAAACTAAAAAAACACAACTAGAAAACTAACAGGAATGCATGGAGTAGATCCAATCTACACTAAAGTATATCAAAAGTTCAAATCATTCAAACATGTATTCAAATAAAACCAAACAATACACATGCCATAGAGTCAACAAATATTCACTGGGTGCCAATACTCACAAACATCATTCTATCAACTAGGCACATTCTTTAGGCTATTTTTTTGAAAATATATCTGAAGAAGTGAAGCACAAGTTTATACAACGTGAAGGTTCAAGGTGAAGGTTCATTTTAAAAGTTGTGTGGAGCAGCGAGCCAGGCAATAAGATGGTGTGAAGAAATTGTTATTACAACATTCCCCGTAGGAGACTGTCAAATTTAAGCTGTGAGGGCAACCTTTTACTTTCAAGTGTGTTAGGAAGGTTTATAAATAGACCACATTGCTGTTTCTATCAATCAGATAACCAAGTGTTCATGTCAAAAACACATACAGTACAAGGTTTATACGCTACAGTTCAAATCTTATTTAATACACTACTAAAACATTTATTTTGATTTCTTTTAGTGCATATAAAAGTTATATAATTTTAAATATTTACAGCTAATTCTGATTAATGAGACTACATCAGGAGATCACAATTATTCGTCCTAATAATCAGCAGTTCAGATTACAAGAACTTATCCTTGTTACAATTTGTCTTGAGCAACTAGCTCAAGGCTTACTGCCTGTAAGCTAATTGTCCATTGCCAGAAAAGTTTGGCATTTTCCCAAGGTAAACCACATTAGGAGTAGTTCACTGGAAAAATTCTTCTGATACAACCTTGTATTTACATTTAGATACATATATAATAGATATGTATCTAAATGTAATTACCAAGAAATTGGCTATGTAAAAGTTTATTAAAACTTGCACTAAAATCTTGCCATTAATACTAAACAAGGCCTTAACACTGTAATTACCTCTCCTTTGCTAATACCCCCCCCCCCCCCCTCACCAAGAATAATTTCACTTAGAGCAACTTAATGATCACTCGCCCTAGTGATCTGTTAGTTTATTAATGTATGTAGTAATCTTTAAATTTTGCTTTTAAAAGTAATATTTGGATAAGCTAAATGTATGGGTTATTGCACTGTTACCTAATAGAAACATTTGTTCAAATATTTTTGACTACAAATATGATAATTTTTGTTTTGTCAAGCCGTAGTAATCTGTAACCAACTAGTTCGGAGTTTCTTAAATATCTGACCTGTATTATCATCAGAACTAGAGAGTCCTTTCTTCAGTCTTGGCAGCACTGCTGGTCTTGGCTTTGTTGGAGGTTTTGGTTTACTACCAGATGCTTCAAGTAAAGGAAATTATAGATATTCAAATTCATTTCACATATAAGTAATTTATTTTTACAATGTATCCAATGTTAATAAATAAATATAAGGGTATATAATTTTTCTGTTGTTATGAATAAATTTTTACCATCAGAAAAAAACACCTCAGGTGTAGATACTGTCATGCAGGTAGGAATGTCTGTCACAAATTCAGCTTCTTCAACTGTGGATACAGGCCTCCTGGAGCCACTGGTCACTCTAGGGTGGGGTGGCTGTAGCTTGCTTGTAGAACTGAAAGCTTCAGCGGGCCGGGCTGCAACTGCTGTATCAACATGTTCTGCTTCATTCTTGTGTAACTCAGATGTGGATGTTGTCAACTGATGACTGTGTTTAGATAATGAAAGTCTCTCCTCTTCTCCCTCATCTGTCCTCTCTTTCTCATTGTTATTTGTTTCATTCAATGAATTGCTGCTCTTTTTACTCTCCTGTAAGCAAACATTAACACATCAAATTGTCTACATTTTATTATTTTTCTTTGTTTTTGAGGTTAGTTCATATAAAAATAGGTATTTTCAAGTTTTCAACATTTTTTATTATGTGAAACATCTTTAACTAAACACTAGGTGTGAAACAGAAAACTTCAACATGTGAATAATTAAAGCTTACTTAAGAAAACAATGTTTTCATCTTATATAAAGACAGAGTACAAAACCAGATTAAAGGAAATTCTTACATCGAGTGAAGGCATGTATTTAGAAAAGCGTTGGTTTTCTTTCATCTCTTGAAACAAGGTTGATCCACCTAGAGCAACATGCACTTTGGCCAAGCTTTGGGGATGTTTGGAGTTATCTTCTTTCATTTCTGTACCTCTAGGTTTGTCTATTATAAAAATTAATGAGATATTAGCTCAACTCAAAAATGTTTTACCCATAAAAATTACTTTCATGTATTTGAATGTAGTTTGAAACAACTACCTTTTTTAACTTCATCAACTCCTGAAGATGAGTCACCTTCTGTCACTGAAGTTGTACGCTGGGATACAGTTACACCAACTGGTGGCAAGATGGCCACTCTATCTACTGGAATCTTGATTTTGGGTGTTTTGGGTGTAGGGGGAGGTAAGATCTCATTTTCTGGCTTTGATGGAGCTTCTATCAAACCTTCATCAGCTTTAGTGTCTATTGTCTGGAAAAAAATGTGTTGGACTTAAGATGATTTCTAGTTAAATGTTACAAAAAGTTGGACCAATTCTTATTTCACCAGTTAAAAACATGAAAGTTTGGTTTGTAGTAGATGGTAGTGGCCAGTGTGACCCTTTCAATACACAGTTGTGTTCAATTTGTTTTTCTTCAAGTTACATGTCACAGTAAGCAGTTTCTTTCAGGCGTCTCTCCCAGTAGATGGGGGTAAACACCCCCCCCCCCCCTCTAAGAATGTATACCGCCCATCCAAGACAAAATATATAAATTAAACGTGAAATATTTACTTTAACCAGTGCTAGTCCATGCTTCCCCCCCCCCCCCACCCCCCCACTGAAGAAAAATGTTTGAAAGAAACCCTGATAATATATCACAACATAAATTCCTGAGAATCGAAACAGATCTAAAGCAAAATAATGCTGGTGAATTAGCAAATAATAGACTTTGCCAATCTATTTGTTTTTCCATGTCATTCACTTGTTAAATAAAGGTTAAGCTAATTTTATCATGTTGCATTGTATGAATAACACCAGCCACAGAAAGAATGTTTAACTACGCCCAACTCAAATCAATCTAAATGTATTATAAATCAAAGAGTACCAATTCAGTTTTCTTGCCAGGTTTAGCATCAGCTGAGGTAGTGTTAGCTGGTGCTGCAGGAACTGCTGCCTTTTTTTTAAACATGTTAAAGATGCTGGAAATAGAAATATTTTTTAAACATGTTAAAGATGCTGGTAATAGAAATATTTTTTAAACATGTTAAAGATGCTGGAAATAGAAATATTTTTTAAACATGTTAAAGATGCTGGAAATAGAAATATTTTTTAAACATGTTAAAGATGCTGGAAATAGAAATATTTTTTAAACATGTTAAAGATGCTGGAAATAGAATTTTTTTTTAAACATGTTAAAGATGCTGGAAATAGAAATATTTTTTAAACATGTTAAAGATGCTGGAAATAGAAATATTTTTTAAACATGTTAAAGATGCTGGAAATAGAAATATTTTTTAAACATGTTAAAGATGCTGGAAATAGAAATATTTTTTATATATTTTTTGGCAGTTACATACCATAAGACATACATTATATTACATTCTGTTTTTATTGACTAAACTAAATAGACAATGCTGATTACTATGATTTTGATGTAGCACTACTCAAGTAAGACTAGACAACATAGTTTGATGTAGCACTACTCAAGTAAGACTAGACAACATATTTTGATTGATGTAGCACTACTCAAGTAAGACTAGACAACATAGTTTGATTGATGTAGCACTACTCAAGTAAGACTAGACAACATAGTTTGATTGATGTAGCACTACTCAAGTAAGACTGAACAACATAGTTTGATTGATGTAGCACTACTCAACTAAGACTAGACAACATAGTTTGATTGATGTAGCACTACTCAAGTAAGACTAAACAACATAGGTTGATTTACCTTTTCTTGCCATCTTTTGTATCTTTTTCTTTAGCTACTTTTTTGGGCCCACTCTTATCAGATTTACTGGCAAAAGAAGACAATATTTAAAGCAGCAGTACTTTAAAAACTGAATTTTTTTTAAATTTTAATCTCCTAAAAAAATATAAAAATTAAAATGTTAGTGAGAGCAAATAGAATACCTTGGAGGATCTTGCTGTTTGGTCTTTGATTGTGAAATTCCTTGATCATTTGAAGTTGAGCTGTCTTGTGCTGCTTCTGGTACAAAACCATTCATAGGAAATTCCTCTAACTCTGTAGAGCCTAGAAGCAGAAGGTAGCTAGTGTCTTGATTGTGTAGTTTTAAATTATCTTTTTATTATATATAATACTTGCTAAGAACACAACATATTCACAATTTTATTTGACATAATGATGCCATAATGATACAACTCTAAGCTCTTGAAAGTACTGTGAAGATGTAGACATTGATCACACTATGACCTACCTATATGAACAACTGGTCTGGTTGGCCTATGAGCTTTTTCTCTTCTAGGTCTTGCTTTAGTAATATGTTGCAATGTTTGTGGGGTTGGCTCATCTAGAAAAAGTTTAAGAAATATTACAAATCTTGGATGAGGTTATGTCTATTATTTTAAATAAAAGAACTCTTGGAAATCTCGATTCAAATATCAGGGTTACCTGGTGAGGGTGTTGGTGCTAATAGCAGCGGTGAAGGTTTATCATGTACTGAAATAGAAATAGAATATGAATCAAGTAAGTAGATTAATTCGTAGAAACTAATGCTATACTAAAAAAAACTTATAGGCTATAAAATTTAAAGGTACAGAATAAATATTTTTACGGTTCTTTAGAGAGAATCATTTATTTTTTAGTTTTAAATATATTACTAAAAGATTTAAATATACAATGCCAACACAAAAACATACAATTTTTAAAAAAAATCAAATTAAAAAAGTATTTATGGAAGCAAAAATAGCACATGAATGAAATGTACTTTTCTTCTCATGCACTGCTCTACAAATATTTGAGCACTAGCAGTGAACAGCAATGCTTTCTACGTTAAGTCAAATAAATATCTTCAGTGCCAAACAAATGGAGCACATAAAAATGAACAAAACACTCTATTCTTGTTTATTGTGTTTGTTAAAAAAAACATAATGCCACACCATAATTTAACTAAATTTAAAAGATTAGAAAAATAAAATAATAGAGAAAAATTTACATTGAAATGATTGTCTGTTTGTCAGTTACTTACTACATACGTTTAAGCTTTATCAGTTTAGAAAATATTGTTATGTGTGTAGGACTGAAAATTTCATCAATGTGTATTAACTTATTTTTTTTTAAATATAGGCACACGAAATGTTGAAAAAACATACTAAACTTTAGTAAACTGTAAAAGACATTTAAAATATTTAACTTGCTTTTGAAATATAAATAAATTTTTAAAAACTTGAAGAACATAGTAATTCTAGTAAGTAATTTTAAATAAACACTAACAAATGTAGCACAAAAAGTAACACCATTAACATTTGTATTCAACCCTGTTCGCTTATTATTTTATTAATTAACAGAAAAACTTTGGTTCTTCTAAGGTTACTATTGGTGTAAGTAAAGTATTTGGAAATAAAAATTCTTGTCTTAGGCTAAAAAGTTTATAAGCTTGTTACAATATGTTGGTTGAGGCCTTTTTTTAAACCACATTTATAAATTAGTATCTTAAAATATAATGGTAGCACTTTTAGTAGTTATACAAGTTGAATGTTATCCTGTAGAAAATTAAACAGGCTAGCAGAAAAAGAGATAATTAGCCTTGTGTTTCTTTTCTTCAAATTTTTAGGTTGAGAGAAATTTTTCTTTCAATGAAAACAACTTAAGAATAAAATAAAAGAAGCCATTCCCACAAAAGTTACCTGATACGAGTAAGATGGGAATGCTTTGATATGAAGGCCCATCATATCTTTCAGCATCTTCCAGCTTATTTAAAACTCTGCTGTAATGATCTGGCACCAGATGAGTTTTAAAAACTATTTTTTGTGCACATGACAGCCTAGATCTATTCTAAGTACATCTGTTACATCCACTGGGTAAACATTACCATTTCTAAACTGTTTAAAATATACTTCATATTTTTTTAGATTAATTTAAAAAAAAATATAACATATTAACCCACTGCTGTCCAATCTAATTCTTATTTCTATAGCCTAGGAAATAAAACATAGATCTGATAATAACATCTTTTACAAAAGTAGGAATTATATTTTACAATTTCAGTTAATTACAAATATAAAAAATGAAAAACTTTGAAAGAGAAGCTTACAAAAAAAGTAACACCTCCTTATCTATATTCCTGAGAATTTATCATTTTATGGCATTGGTTATTTTCTATAAAACATAGTTGTTTAAGACATCAGGTTTTTAATACAAATAGTATCATCCTTCTATAAATACTGTAAGCTCTTGCAGTCAAAATACTGCAGTTTTGTTACTTAGCAACACAAACTGTCCCCATTCTAATAGTGAAACTCATGTTAGCAGTTATTTATACACAGACTGTCCCCATTCTAATAGTGAAACTCATGTTAGCAGTTATTTATACACAGACTGTCCCCATTCTAATAGAGAAACTCATGTTAGCAGTTATTGATTTCAAGCACGTGTTCCTTGTTCTAAGAATGGTTAATGCATTATAAATTTATTCTTGATTTATAGTAATAAGAGTATCTTAAAGAGAACTATATCATTGGGTTCATTTGTTGAAATGTGGCTAGAGTTGACCCAGAGTCCACCCAGCTCAGATGCGTGTTAGGTCAGGAAAGTGCATACTGCTGACAACACAATCTCTTTATATAACCATGGTCAAAAATACAGATGACTTCACCTGCCCTTGAGAAAATCATGTGTATAAAAAAGACAAAAAAATCCTTACCTATAACTGATGGAGGACGTGTTTTCAATTTTAAAACTGTTTGCCTTCTGCCTTCAATTACTGGAACATCCTTTTTAGAAATAAAATAAAATGGATTACATTAATCACATAAATTAGCTGCTAAAATAACATAAATAATCATAATTATAATGCATAAGTAAAAAACTGAAACACTGACATGTTTACCCTTTAATGCCTCAATTATGTCCCAAATTGTATGGAGAAAATATGTATTGGGTTTATCTTCTTTATATGACAGGTTAATAACAAATAATTAAAATAAGTTTTTAAAAAACTATGTTTCTTTTTAATCATATTCGCTTTACAGTGCATAAGATCATTTTATTTAAAAAAATATAACCAGATTGTCTCGTATAAGAGTATGAATGACTGATGGTAAAATCGCCATCTCTTTTTAAAAAAACTTAATTCAAAATAGAAATATGTCATTATACTAAAATGACTAATGATAATGTTGCAGGTAAAAACGCAGAAAGTTTACTAAACATTAAAAAATATTAGGTTAAATATACCATTCTGATAGAACAAAAAATGTTCTAACTTATATGACAGTAATAAATATTCCATCACAATATAGTTTAGACAGAAAAAAAAATTACCAAATGTTTAGACAAAAAAAAAGTGAAATTTACTAATTGATTACTAAAAAATGATTAACTAAATAAACAAAAATGATTATACAGAAAAAAATTCATCCAATCAATTCATTAAAAAAATAACATTTAAATTCAATCTTTACCAAATGATTAGACTCTCTTTGATTTTCTTCTGGGTAGATGCCACTTATTCTCAGACCAAGATGTTTGCTCTAAAACAGATTTATCACATTTTAAGACGAGTATTTTTCTGGCATTTGTTTAAAAATGAAAATCTTATTAAACATAAGTAAACAAATGTTGAACTCTTCAATGCTGTTTGTGTATCAATCAGATGAACCCATGATAGAATGGACAAAAATAGGAGGAAATGGAAACTGTTAAAAAACTTTTCAGATGTCTGCAAATTTGTAAAACTTGAACATTAAAAAATAGCATTGAAATTCTCCTGCCATTTCTAGATGCTTTATCTGATTCACAGACACATCCATTTAGGACAACTTGCAATCAGCTGAGGTGTGCATAGTCCAGTAATAGAATAAACAATTTAAATAAAAAAGATAAAAGTTCATAAATGTGTTCTTCATTTGGTATCAAATTTAGACCTAGAGTTGAGTTTAGTACATACTAAATGTTAATCAAAAATTTTTATAATGGCGCAATAAAAAGCAACATAATGTTAGAGGAAGTGAACCTCAGCAATTCAGGAATCAAAAGTTCTAACATTCACTTTTGTTATGGCAGCAATAGATGGGAACACAACATTGATACACAATTTTTTTAATTGTCAGTAATTTTTTTTTACAAAACTTTAATAATGTTTCACTTTTCTTTAATGAAACATTTTAAATTAAAACTATTAATTGTGAAAAAAAAAACAGACTAACAAGCTTACCAGAGATTTGAGGCTTTCTGCTAATGAACTAATAACTTCTTCAACAACCCTGTCAGACATCAGGGCAGCCACGGATAGGTTCATCTCACTGAGTACATGACAACAAAAAAAACTTTAACAGCACACAGATAATTTTACCCTGAGAATCACATAAATATTATGTTTAAAAAACACTTTTAAAACAACAATTATTACGTCAAAATTGCTTAGTCTTATTTCATGGTAAAAATTACAATTACAAGTTACCATTAAAAATAAAACGCAAAACTAAAAAGTTTGGGAATTATCTTACAAATTCAATTACAAATGACATGAAATTATTATTGCTACTTTATTTAAGATGATCGAATGTTTTATTTGTTACCCAATTAGATTGAATACGTCAGCACTTGCTCCTTCCAAAACACCTTTTGTAAAATCTTTGGGAAGCAAAATTTTAGACAAACATGCCTCTTTAATTTCAGCTTGTAAGGACTGCAAAAAAATTTTTTTAGAACACCTTTTGTAAAATCTTTAAGCAACAAAATTTTAGACAAACATGCCTCTTTAATTTCAGCTTGTAAGGACTGCAAAAAAATTTTTTTAGAACACCTTTTGTAAAATCTTTAAGCAACAAAATTGTAGACAAACATGACTCTTTAATTTCAGCTTGTAAGGACTGCAAAAAATTTTTTTTAGAACACCTTTTGTAAAATCTTTAAGCAACAAAATTGTAGACAAACATGACTCTTTAATTTCAGCTTGTAAGGACTGCAAAAAATTTTTTTAGAACACCTTTTGTAAAATCTTTAAGCAACAAAATTGTAGACAAACATGACTCTTTAATTTCAGCTTGTAAGGACTGCAAAAAAATTTTTTTAGAACACCTTTTGTAAAATCTTTAAGCAACAAAATTGTAGACAAACATGACTCTTTAATTTCAGCTTGTAAGGACTGCAAAAAATTTTTTTTAGAACACCTTTTGTAAAATCTTTAAGCAACAAAATTGTAGACAAACATGACTCTTTAATTTCAGCTTGTAAGGACTGCAAAAAATTTTTTTAGAACACCTTTTGTAAAATCTTTAAGCAACAAAATTGTAGACAAACATGACTCTTTAATTTCAGCTTGTAAGGACTGCAAAAAAATTTTTTTAGAACACCTTTTGTAAAATCTTTAAGCAACAAAATTGTAGACAAACATGACTCTTTAATTTCAGCTTGTAAGGACCAAAATGTTTTTAAAAAGTACATTACTTAATATATTACACAGGTATTAAAATGTCTGATTACTACTCACCTGATTTTGCATAACACTTGGGCAGTTATTAAATGTACATTTAAACATCTCTTCTATGGTTGACTTGAATATTTTAAAAATGAATTAAAAAATTGGAAATGGTTAATTTACATATTTAAAATATTTTTGCATATAATCAAGTTGCTAACACTTATAAATCACAAAATGAATTTTAAGGATAAATTTTTAATATTTGCTAAAAATGAATTTTTCAATGCATCAAAATAATCTTAAAAGGTACATATTTTTATTTTCAAGTTTTAGTATTTTGTAGTTTAGCAGTTGAATCGTTGACACAACCAGACTAATTGTACTGGCAGGACATTACTATGACAGATGGAACTGTCAATATATTATAGAAAGTTACATATTTGCTTAATTCATTATGTTTTTATTAATTTTCTTTTTAACCAAACTGTTGTAAATCATGGCAATTTTTTTATCTACCTGCATATGCTTTTCAATGATCATCTTGAGATTATCAGCCATTGATTTAAATTCAGTGTCGATAGGATTACCCACAGCTTGGGATTTAAGTCCAATATCTTGCAATCCAGGAAATAGCTAAAAAAGAATATAAAAAATATCTTGAGTCTTGAATAAATGGTGATGGCAGGAATAAAATGATACTTTAAAACTTGCATACATTGATCTATATCAGTTTTTTTCTCACTCTTTTTATGTTCGCTTAAGTGTAACAATACTAACATGGTGTAAGTTATTATTGAAATCCTTTAGAGAAGAAAGACAACACGTCTAAAATAGCTTACCCCTCTTGATCTATTGGCCTCAACAACCAGTTTCTCTGCTGTTTGAACATCCTTAGCGTAGACATCCAATGTGCTGTATCCCTTCAGTGCTTTTGTTGTATCCTCAACTTGGACCACAAGACTATCAACCATCTAAACACACAATTTGAACAATTAAAGATCAGAGGATTTTGAGATGAAAACATGTTTATCAATGTTCACTAAGATGACAGTAAACAGCTGGTTGTTAATGTTCACTATATTCAGTTGTAGTAAAAGGTTACCTGTTGAGTTGAATTTATAAGAAATCCTTGCTGTAGTCTATAAGCTTGATCTGATGCAAACCTTCTTGGACTGTGGTTCCTCTGCAAGTATGCTTCAATCTGATAGACAATTTATAAACAGAATATAAGATCAAGGGGAGGGCAAGGTTGGATGGCATACAACTGCTAACCCAAAAATCTTTGAGTTCAAATCCTAGGTTCAAATTCGTATAACACCCCTGTCCACACAGCTCTGATAGGTACCTTAAAGTAAAGGCGGCTGACCACACTATCCCTTCATATGCTGTGGTTACTGAAACAACTGAACTCTACTTTACCTGCCCCATGGACCGTGAGGTTCAAAAGGTATTTTACTTTTTATTTTCTTGTATACAAAGTGACTGTAGAAGTCAAGATGACACAACCACAGCCATTATTTTTAAAAACTTACATGTCATTTAATGTTTGAAAATAAAATAGAATATTATAATCGAGCAAAAAATTGAAAACCATATTTTTGACAAATTTTGATGTTTTACATCTCCCTGAGTCTGGAAAACTTAGTATTGCAATTTTGTCTAAATGAATGTGAACATCATCATTTGAGAACCTTTTCAGTCATGTTGACTAAGTTTCATATATAGGTATTGTATCAAATTAGTAATTTACTATTGGTTTTTTATCAATTTCCAGAAAATTAGTTCTTTATAATGGGGTGTTTCCAATTTCTCATAGACCTTCAGAAGTTGATAATTTTATATAAGTTTCTCATTCAAATTTTAGCTAATGTAGCTAATGAAGTTAATAGCACATGACATAAAGATTACAGTGTATAAATTACTATAAAAATTTAAAAACTACCTTTTGCAAAGCAATTTCTGTTTTCTCAGGATATAAGCGTAATGATATCGCTGCATCATTAACTGGGAAGGGCATTTTTTTTAAAGTCATATTTCTGTGAAAGGAAAAAAATGTTATAGATGCACAATTAAAATGAAACAATTACTTTAGACTGTAATATTGATCTCAGTGTTCAATTGACTGATTTGCTGTACTGTAACATTAATCTTAGTGTTCAATGATATTTTCTCTATTTAATCAGTTGTTTTGTAGAATCAAAGTTATAAATCATCATGATTTAGCTAGAGCAGCCATTTTCCATTGCACTTTCTTGTTGTAATTTTTCATTAAGTGTCATATATTGTAAACCTTTAATATTGAATATACAGTAATTTATTTTTTTGCATTATATGATAAGAGTAATAAAAACAAAAAGTCTGATGTACCTCCTTAAAGCTTCTGCAACATCTTCAAATCCTTGAGCAGATATATTATTTTTGTCCCAAACAACTTTTTGTAGTTTTGTGTTGATTAGCAGAGCTTTTGCCAGCATCCTTGCACCAAGGTCACCAATAGCATTGCCACTAGAGATACACATGACATATTCAAATGAAAATATTGGCTGAAAGAAAGTATAACAAAACAATGTCTAGTTGTTTTTATACCATTGCAATTCAAGCTCACGCAAATATTGATAAAAATATTGTGTGCATGTACGGGTTTAAATCTATGTATTTTATAATGCTTGATTGTTCTAAAATCAGTTAGCTCAACTCACCTAATGTCAATTTCCAAAAGAGAAACATTGCTGCCCAGGGCATTAATAACATATGTGGCATCTGCCTTTAGCTTAGATTCTGACAAGGACAAGTACTCTAAAACCTGGAAGAAATAATACAATTTTGAAAAATATCTATTCTAACTTGTGACTTAGTAAATCTAACTCGGCTCAGTAAAAACACTTTAAAATGTCTATTTAAAATAAAAATCTCACTGAGTCATCTTGTAAAAGACTGGTCAAGGCTGTCATTACTTCAGGCATAAACCTTAAACATGAAAAAATTAAATCAAGATAAATCATTGGATAATGAATTTTTTAAAAAATGTTTAATTATCTTAACACTACATTGTAATTTCTACATTCGACATTACTATTACAAATGCATTGCTGTATTTGTATTCATAATTAGACTTACTTGGGTTTTATGTTTGAAAAATTTCTACCAACTGATAAATTCTTAATGTGGGAATTCTTAGAAAGTTCTAAAAGTAACACTTTTAAATCAGCATCAAAACCTGAAAAGGAAAATCCTTTGTATATGATCTAGTTTATTTCTGGTGTCATGTGTAGCATAGCACAATAATTTTTTTATTTTGTTTCAAATTAGTTTCAAATGTATTAACTGCAGTCCAATATAGACATTACAACAAGTCAACTACAACCACCAAACACCTCAGGTGCTTCGAATTCATTGGACAAACATACCATTGTTGCTGATATCTAGGCCTTGAATAGCTTTGACAGATCCAATATACGAGTTTAGGACACTAGCACCTGCCGAGCCAAGTTCATTGCTGCTTATGTCTAAATAAAGCTCCTTAAGGATTTTATTGCTTGATACACCAGCTAGTAGATCTCTAAATAATGTTTCAAAAAGGCAAAATCAAATTCACTTACATTATTATGAATATCTTTATATGTATTAACCATTTATTTCCTCTAGATATCAATAATTAGACCAACAACAAAAGGAATGCAATTTAACATAAATACTGAACTATTCGCCTAAGATTTTTTAAAAATAAGTGCTTAAGTGCACCAGCTAATTTTGTCAATTAAAAAGAGTTTGGAATTTTTACCTACCTTATAGATTCCGGTGGCAATTTACAATATGAAAAATCCACATATTCTAGGCAGCAAGTTGTGGCAAAGAATTGTTTCCAGGATTGTGGAACAATAACTTCACGTGATTTTTTGTGAGTGAATGTTGTTTTAGATGCTTTCAGTGTTTTTAAATTGGGACAACCTCTTAAGAGTGGATCACATAGCTAAATTATTAAAAAAAAATATTTTAAATATACATGAAATGTATTGCTATTGGTATGTGTAGTCATCACTAAGCCAAATAATCTTTACTTTCCACAAGTCCAATCAGGTACCCAATAGAGCTGGGTAGACTTAAAATCTTACTGATATGACTCAGGGGACTTAACTCTAGAGATATCTCCCCCCCCTGACCAACCACACCATACTGTCATAAGTCAATGGGCAGGTGACTGGGAAAGGGAAGGCCCATACAATAAATCAAAGGAAAACAAATTGAATATGCTACTCTAAGAATCAGCTAGCTGCAAACATATTCAGATCTGATCCAAGTAATAAAAAGATTGTAATTTTGTTTGTTGTTGTTGCATAGCAAAAGTTGTAACAAAATACTTTGGCAACACTGGGCCAACAGGAAAACTAGTGGAGAAAATTCTTGCAAATCACTTACTGTATCTAGAGCACAGTCTGTGTTTGACACATCCAAATAGCTGAGGGTATTTGGTTGAGCCAAAAAGTTGTATAACATCTATCAGAAGAAAAAGTTAATCATTCTTCAGAAATATCTTCAAATTAGCATACAAAAATTACATCCAAGGAGAATGGAATACAATATTTATGAAATTCTCAACCAATGTATTAAGGCCAGTTTGGATAAGAAAACTTACTGGAAAATCCTCTCCCTTCAATCCATTATCACTGAGCTTGAGAGACTTGAGACCAGCAACAATTTTAGGAGACTGGGACAACATTTCACCAACTTTATTCAAACATTTGGTGCTCACTCCCGTTTTGGAAATATCAAATGAGGTCAAACCATCAGGTAGAATTTTGATTGCTCCCAAAAGGTGATTGACAGCTAGCAATAAATGTTAAATATTTCAGAACAAAATAAAATTGTGTACAATGCCAATATCATTGTTTAACTCTATCCCCTAGAATACCTTTGTCATCCAGAATATTATTGGACAAGTCTAGAGATGTCAGCTGTGTATCTTTGTTTGAGATTATGGCCAGGGAAAACTTTTGGAGAAACTCGCTAAAATGTTTTTAAAAAAGGAAAACATAATTAACATTACATTATTTTTTAATTATGACTAACAATTTAAAAAGTTGTACAGAAATCTATTGCTGCCATAACAAAAGGTGAATGTTAGAACTCACGGTTTGATTCCTGTATTGCTGAGGTTCACTTCTTCCAATACATTATTTCTTTTTATCACTTTTATAAGCTCATTTAAGGCTTCAACAGACTTGATTATGAAAATAATTACAAACACTATTTTAAAACAGAATGCGAAAAACTTTGGAAAAGTCATCAAATACATTAGTACCTAATATAAGCTTCAAAGTCTAAACATTATGTTTGTTAATTATTTTAAGTTTATTGCATCCTACATACACTATAAGATAAAATTCTTTATATGATAAACAAAGGAAACCTACACTGATTTAAAAAAGGGGGTTTCAAGCCAAGCTAACCAAATATAATTTGTCAGACTAAATTTTTTTAGATTATATAATAATGACTCACCAATTTAACATTGCTAGCATTTATACATTTAAACCAGGAATTATGCACTAGAGCACCAATAATTGGAACTAAATCTCTGAAATTGAAATAATATATCTATTTAATTAAGATATTTTGTTAAGTGCCAAGTGATTTTCAATAACTGAGTCACAGCTGTTTTTATATTTACATATTTAAGAATTATTTTGTATGAAACAAAATTAACAAACTTGTTCCTGTTTATTTTCAATTTAAAAATTTTAAAAGTGTTTTTATAAATATTAAAATAAGTTTATTGAAAAATCTAAACATGTCAAACTTACTTTCCTACTAAATGATCAAAATCCTGAAGTCTGAGCTCTCTACAATCATGAGATAAGTAAATTGTGTCCACATCCTATAGTAAAGAAATGAAAACTACAGCTCTTCATTTATTAGTTTGTTGCAACTTGTAAATATTTGTCCATGGTTGTTTATAACATATCAGCTTCTAAGTACAACTTACCCATGCAACTTCCTCTCTGAATGGCAAACCATGAAAATCACACATACATTGATACATAGTGGTAAAACCTCCACATGGTCCTATTTCTTTGTTTTCTAAGCCTTTGATCAACCTGTTCATTGTTTCTAAACGTTCGACTGGTTGAACATCAATTTTCAGTATTAGACGACTGAAAACCAAGATAGAATGTATCAAAGATTGCACATTTCAACATGTACTTACAATTTAAACAAATGTTTTTAAAGTCAACTTATACTTTAGTATTCTATAGACAAGCTACATACTCCAGTTGGAATGTTGGAAAAATCTGCTTCAGACTGATGCCTATGTGTGTTATAATGTGATCAATATCTTCAGTTTCTCCATCAGACAGGAAAAAATTGGTTTTGTTTTCAACAGCCAGGGTCAACTACCAACAAAAACAGAAACAGTTACAATGTAAAATTGTTACAATGACTATTGACTGTTGATACACATAAAAGGAACAGTCAAATAAAAATTTTGGTATGTAGACAGAAAAAAAAATGTTAACAGATAAATGTAAAAAGTAAAAATAATCAATTCACCTGATTTGGTTTTTTGCTTTCAATGCTCTGGAACTCCAAAAAATGGTAACTGTTTTCCAGCTGCATGTTCAAAAAACGACAGTACAAGAAAATAAACATTCTATACAAACTAATAAAACATAGGTATTAAATAAAAGAGCATGAAAGACCAATCATTAATCATTTCTAATCTAGGCGTATCTAAGCAATAAATGCTTTATTTATATCCAGTGAAACACACATTTCTTGTTTTAAATAAAAAAAGTAGGCTACTTTTTAAAACATAACATCATATGATTTATTCAGTTGGCAAAAACTCAATTACACACTTAGAAACTGATATAACTCAGATACATACAGACACAACCTCAAATACACATTTTCAGATACAACTCAGATACACATTTCCAGACACAACCTCAAATACACATTTCCAGACACAACTCAGATACACATTTCCAGACACAACTCAGATACACATTTACAGACACAACCTCAAATACACATTTCCAGACACAACTCAGATACACATTTCCAGACACAACTCAGATACACATTTACAGACACAACCTCAAATACACATTTCCAGACACAACTCAGATACACATTTCCAGACACAACCTCAAATACACATTTCCAGACACAACTCAGATACACATTTCCAGACACAACCTCAAATACACATTTCCAGACACAACCTCAAATACTCACCTCAAATACACATTTCCAGACACAACTCAGATACACATTTCCAGACACAACTCAGATACACATTTCCAGACACAACTCAGATACACATTTCCAGACACAACTCAGATACACATTTCCAGACACAACCTCAAATACACATTTCCAGACACAACTCAGATACACATTTCCAGACACAACCTCAAATACACATTTCCAGACACAAAGATACACATTTCCAGACACAACCTCAAATACACATTTCCAGACACAACCTCATATACTCACCTCAAATACACATTTCCAGACACAACTCAGATACACATTTCCAGACACAACTCTGACACACATTTACAGACAACTCAGATACACATTTACAGACAACTCACATATACATTCCCAGACACAACTCAGATACACATTTCCAGACACAACCTCAAATACACATTTACAGACACAACTAAGATACACATTTACAAACACACAACTCAGATACACATTTCCAGACAACTCAGATACACATTTACAGACACAACTCAGATACACATTTACAGACAATTCAGATACACATTTCCAGACACAACTCAGATACACATTTACAAACATACACACCTCAGTTATACATTTAGAGACACTTCTCAGATAAACATTTACAGACAGACAAAATTCAGAAACAAATTTACTAACAGACACATTTCAGATAAATATTTACAAACAGACACAACTCAGATACACATTTCCAGACACAACTCAGATACACATTTACAAACTCCTATTGTAGATCATGTACTCATCTATATATTTAAAAATGGAAGTATATTTATGGGTTTGTATGTTTTTTGTGGGTTTGTCCTACGTGTATTACTAGACCTTTCATCCTATCACCATGAGATTATGGGAAGTTGTTGAGAATACTCCTGGAGTAATCTTACCCATGACATTTTCTTAAATCATTTTTTATTTACTTAACTGTAGCAAATATGTTATTCACATATACATATTAAATATGCATATGAGACTTTAAAAACTTGTTACTGAGGTGGAAGAAGGATTTCATAGAGCCAATTATAAATCTCACTATTTTGAGCTATATTAAGAAATTTTGAAAAATGAAATCATTGTTATACACTACTGAACTGTGGCTCCTATCTATAATAACAAAATGATAAACCTCCCACCCCCTCCCACTTGCTAGTTGTTAAATAACATGTGCAATCTCCCTCATGTGACTATGCTAGAATTGTACAGAGTAATACATTTTGCTACATTTATAGAACCAAAAAGAGGTTATTAAAGAAGTAATTAATTGAAATAAAGCACAGGTGAGGATCTCTCCCAGCCCTTAAACACAACAGAATTTACTTCCTTGTGGTTAAAGAATTTTTTTTGGCAAAACCTGAAACAATCCTATGAATGCAGTGGAAAAGTTTTTTAAACTTCCTTGTTCGACAAGCCTGGAGATATCTATGACACCTATGTATTCAAGTGTATTATCAAGATTTAATATTAGCTTTCAGGTTAAAAAAAGAGAGTAATAAAATCAACTCAAGAAAATCAATTCAAGATAGATGATTATAACATAGTTCTTTAAATATACTTTTGACATCAATAACAACTCATTTTGATTCTTGAACTTTTATTATTTTACAGTGAAAAGAATTGATAATAATTACAATGTTTACCTAATATATGCTTATAAAGATGGAGGACATCAAGGTATGGACTCAGCTACCAGTGGCAGAATTACTAAAAGCAGCAAAAAACAGAGAATTCGTCCATCCCCCCCCCCTCCATATATTGTTAATTGAATTGATAAAGACAACTAGCTCTTTTAACAGGGAACTTACCTTTGAAGGCACTTTTGCTGATAAAATGAATAGTCTGCAGCTTGATAATGCCTTGATAAAATATATGAAACTCACTTTTTAATACATTTTAAGAGAAGTATAGATAACCAGATATTTTTTTTTTTGAGTAAATGGTAAAAAATTAATAAATCTAATGATTTGGTTAATCCATAAATGCTATTACATAATTAGAGCATTTTTTTTTTTACACCATACTTCTATAACCCCACATCCTAACAAAAAAACCAAGCTTTCTCTCCCCCCCCCCCCCCCCCCCATTTCTCGCCATTTTTTATCTTTAAGAAATATAAAATGTATGCTACATCACACTTCTCAACTCCCACTCTCCATTGTCACTGGTCTGAACCCTAACCTTAGGTTTGTGATGTCATTTATGGACTACTCTCTAGTGCAACGTTTTACTTTTTATTATGCCAATAAAATAAACACTGACCAATACTCTGTGTTCCAGTCTTTCTCTAACCTCCATTTTGACCCATTTCTTAAGAGTAATCTTCACATGTTTCTCAAGAAGCTCTTTCACACTATCTAATCAGAGGATAAAGTAAAAATGCTTTAGATGATCATTTTTATGTATACAGTTTGATGCAGAAAAAAATTATTTCATCCCCAAGTCTCATGGAAGTGTAAAATAAAAACATGGACTCCAAACACTAAGTTAGTTATACGCTTAACTTGAAGGTGAGGATCATGATCCAATGTCTAGGTATGGTTGTCTAGCTCAGAGGCGTAGCGAAGGGGGCGCGGGGGGGGGGGGGGGTACATATGTTCCCGGGTGCAGACCTTTGGGGGGGCGCCAAAATGGGTTTGAAAAACAAATTAAAATCTCATTTTAGCTGCATTTTTGCATTATAAATATAAAAAAATATATGGGGGAGGGGGTGCAAATTGAAAGTTTGAAGGGGGGGTGCAAATCAAAAGTTTGGGGGGGGGGGGGGGGGGAAATCGAAAGTTTGAGGGGGGTGCAAATTGAAAGTTTGTCCCCAGGTGTCGGGAAGGGTCGCTACGCCTCTGGTCTAGCTTGATGGTCTGGATCATTATTCAACAATACAGTTAGTCATTTTTTAAGTCAGAAGACATTAATAACCTACATAATACTAAGTTTGTACTTATATGTTCTATGTTGCAGGGCAATAAAGTTATAGTATAAATTATTAATACAATTTAAGTGTTGGGTCTCAAGGTATTTTTTCTGCAGTGTCACTATTAAGGTTAAGGCCCTGGTAGCAATAACACAACAAAAGAAGTAGGCTACAAATAGAGTGAGAGAAGAACACAGCAAAAGAAGTTGGATACAATTTGAGTGAGAGAATCACTATGAAAATTATACTCTTTATTAGTCCATCTCATTACCGAAACCAGAAATTAGAATCTTACCCTGAAATGTCACGCTCCGTTTTAATCTTTTTTATCATTATTTTAATGCGAGACTAATACCAATATAACCTACTAATGTTATCAGCAACAATACCACTAAACGAAGTCAGATTACTTCTTTTACCAATAATGGACTCTTCCAAAAAGAAGTTACTATAAGTAACTATAAAAAGTAGTCAGCACTATGCCCAGCCACTTTTACTTGGGATTTGAATTCGAGACTTTTGGGTTAGCAGTCTAGGCCGTGACGACCCCTACATATAACTGAGTACCCTTTCATAAGAAGATCGCATTATTACAGCATTATCAGAAAGTGTGTGACTCTAAAGTTATTGCTAGTAAACTACAAACAAATACAGTAATAGGCATTATAACTTGCTAATGTCAATATTTACCCCATATTAAACCCTGTTAAAGAGTCATAACATACTAGATTCTATATTTAGTAGCTTTACTATTTAACAGTAGCACTAAATCAGGAGTTGGTAAAATGCAAGAAGGATGCAAAAAACCAGTCAAAACAGATTAACCACATTGCATTGTATTAGTCTACATTATCTAAACTCATCATGACTTCATGACATAGGCCTGTAGGCATAATAATAAATTAATAATTCTTGCTAAAAAGTGGTAAAGTAGACAGATTATTTAAAACTAATTATCTTATTAAGCAAAATGCATTCGCCTCAATTACCCTTAAAACCCTCGTAATGATAGCCCTAATCATAGGCTAATCTAGTCTAGATAGATCTAGCCTATGGGCCTAGATCTTTAATCTTTGTATTTTTAACTATTATTTTGTCATATTGTTGTAATTAGGTAAAGGTACCAAACTGATAATTATAAAAATGAAATAGGGCCTACTTGTTAGTGTTTAACTGTTAAGTGTTAGTCAAGTAAAGTTACACGTTACGGTACGGTACTGTTATTAGTCTAATTATTAGATCTAGATTCTACAATTTCTAGCTACTGTAATATTAACAGTGTTAAGTTTCTGAGTTTCTGTTTCTAGTGTTAACTGTTAACTACTGAGTACAGACAGTACGGTCACAGGTTAACTGATTAACTCACAACTGTTAAGTTAATAAGTAGTGTTAAGTCAGTGTTTGAGACTGTTGACTGTAGACCTAGTGACAGACTTAATATAGATCTAGATCTAGAGATTTAATCTAGATCTACAATCTAGAATATAACTTAATATATAATCTAAATATATTAATATAAGACAGAATAATAGAATAAGATAAGAAGTAGATTAGTAGAAGAGAAGAGGAGACTACCAACCTTGAATATCCTGAGGTATAAGCTTGGTGTTTGCTGTCGCCATAATAATATAAATAACATGTAGGCTGACGATGCAACAATTTGTTTTCAACCTTAAACTTTACAGCTATGCAGTGAAAGTGTTTTAAAAAATCTCAGTGTCCAACACTACGACTCCCAAAGTTTACAAACAGCGGTTCGCCATCTTCCTCATTGAAGTAATTACGTCACTTCTTCCGTGTTATTCAGCCTTGACATAGAAATCTAGATTCGAAGAAGACTGTAAATGTGAATTTCCCTTACGTGAGACTCGAAAAAAAAAATCACAAATAATTACCAAGACAAATAGGCTACACATCTAAAATAAATAATAGATCTAGAATCTATATATAATATGTATCTTTTGTATCAAGAATTTACAATATAAACGCAGCATACACAGAATTACGTAAAACAGATCTAGACTAGAAATAGATTAGACTTGACTACTTGGCCAAAAAATATGCTATGGCATGCTATTTATTTTCTTCGATGTCGGCTTACCATTGTGTATAAAATCACAATACAATTTACTTTATTCTTAAACATATAGAACCTAGATTTGGATACAATGGGGTTATAGAGTTTATTTCAGTCTTCTCTTCGGGGTGGGGGGTTGGGGGGAGTGGGAGGGACCAGTGTTTCTTCCAGACTTATTTCTCCGGGTGGGGCACTTGAAATTTTCGGAGGGGGGGTAGACTTTCTTCGGGGGACGACGACACTGTTAAAAGTATATATTTTCTATATAAATTATATAAATTTCATTTCGTTCGGGGGGGGGGGCGGTAGAAACGTTTCGGGGGGGGGGGGGGGGGTTCGACCCCCCCCCCCCCCCCCCCCCGAAGAGATGCCTGGAAGAAACTCTGGGAGGGACACCCATCCGAAGGTGTCCATGACTCCATAGTACAAAGCGCTCCGGGTCACCCCCCGCCCAACCCCTCTCGTTACGCCTCTGTGCAGGACACTCAATCAACGGATCAAATGAGCTCATGTAGCCATCGATTTTTAGTGTATGGCGTTCTTTAAAACGCATGTAGGATCCATATTGCTCATGGGGGAGCCCAGGTTCTCCGGATCACCCAACCGCCGGGGTGCCGGCAGATGCGCCTCTGTGCTGTTTGACCATTGAATCAAATAGTACCCTGACCCCTGGCGTTCAATCTAAGGACCTCATGAGGTGCTAAGACAGCCGCTGTGGAACTTTGGGCGCCAAGTCGCAGCTTTTAATGGAGCACACACGCGATATATATATATATATATATATATATATATATATATATATATATATATATATATATATATATATATATATATATTACGGTCAAAGCCCGAAGTGCGGCCAAAGCGCGGATTGGCCGGCCAATGCGCGCATTGCCCGGCTCTCTTGGCCAAAGCCCGAAGAACTTAGTACTAAGATCGTATTTTGTACATTGGCCGGCCAATGCGCGCACTGGTCGGGATGTCCTAAGTTGTGATCGCGTTTTCATTATTCTGGGTGCGGTTTCATTGTGAGTAACGTATTGTTTAGCTCTTGTTTGTGTAGCATTCTATAAGCAAGGCGACATGGGCCGTCAGACCATGAGATAGACATAGCAGATGGCTGTCAAAAGAAAAAAATGTAAATCCATGTTAGTTTCCATATATGGGCTACAACTGTATGTGACAGCCTCCTCCATGAAGGCGAGGTGAGACAATCATCAAAGAACAAACAAAATCAAAGACAGTCGGCGTCACCGACCACGTGCAACAAGACGGAACGTTCAAAAGACTTTGCCGCGTTCCTTGTAAGTTGAACAATAGTGTCCAAGCGACTTAAGATGGCGAGGGCGTCAGAAACCATATTTCCCCAACAAAAGGGGAATACCAAATGAAGCAGACCCATCACCGCGCCTTGACTAGACTGCATGATAAATACCGACAGAATTGCATTCCAGATTTCTTTGCACTGCGGATTACTTGACTGTTTAACACTACGTTTGCTTGATTGTGGAGTCATGTCTGCCAGGATCTTTGATTATTATAATACAGACAGTGATGTTTTTTTTACTATAGTATAACCTGTCTGTAATTAGATTTTTTTTTAACTTCTCGTATATAAAGCCGCTCCCCCTCTGGCCATTTTCAGCAAAGTGGCGCCTTTTTGGAAACTTTTTAAACTCAAAGTTTTAAACAATGATATTTGATAAAAAAGTATTTTTGGTCAGCACATCTATGTAAATCACAAGATTTCTTTTCATGCAGCAATTAAGCCTTATTGTACTAGTCTAGCAGTGTCTACGTTTACAACACGTATTAACAGCTGCATCAGTTTGACATTATAAAAAAAACCATTACGATGCATTGCAATGTTTAAAAAACCTCTAAGGCAGTAGGCCCTACCACTTGGCAAAAGGGGTGAGGTTTAAGGCAACTGTATAATGTATTTGCTTACGAATAATTGAATTAGAAAATGTTATACATAAAACTTCACACATAATTACTTTGTATATACAGTTTGAATCGTGTGATTATTTTTTTTTTAAATTACAATACAGAAACAAATACAACTGATGTGGCACCTCTATTTAAATTTACTTATGAGCAAACTGCGTTGTGGTGGGGACATTTTGACAAGGTCAACAACGTCATCACGATGAAGTAGTAGTATTCTTACAGTTTGGGCGCTAGTGATTACAAATTAAAATGAAACAGTTACAACCCCACCCCCTCCCACATGGACCTCTCTGTAAAAAATATTGTCATAATACCACTGCTACTTATTTAAATCTGTTTCTGTAATATATATTTGTGTAATATATATTTGTGTAATATATATGTATGTTTAGAACAGTCATGTAAAAACTGACGCTATGTCCACTCTGAGTTGGTTATCTCCCCCCCCCCCCCCGCCCCCACACCTCTCCACCACAATTGTGTAGAGCGACATTAATGTCACATCTAGGTATACACTGGGTTGGATAATTGACCTAAAGTGAACGGACAGTGGTGAATGAAGTTGAACCCACCCCGCCCCCAAAACCCACCCACCCCCCCCAACCCACCCCGAACTGATCTGTTAAGTACCAGTAGAAAAACGCGTAATGATGTACCAAAGTACTATGCCGCCAGAAAATTAGCATTTTAAAAGTAAAACTCTGTGAATATTGCAATTACCAGTAAAAAGGGGTGTGAGCAATACAGTGATCTAACCCACACCTGTTAAAAAATTATCTATAAAGAACACAAAAAAGCAGTATTTAAATAAAAGATACGATCTGAACTAAAATACCGATTATTAGTTAAATGTCGGCAGTTAATCCGCATGTTTTTCTCTAATCGCGAAAAGCGTGGTTTTATACCAACTCTGATTTTAAAAACTTTCATTATGCCTTAAGCATTTATGATGACGATATATTAAATTTTAACTATAGACAAAAACATTTTGTAAACACGAATAGTGTTAAAAACAATTTCATTATATTCTAAAGTAATTATTTTTTTTGACAGTTATAATTAAATGTGTAGATATATACATATTTATATTAAGAGAATGATTATTTCCCCTATTTCACTTGTCTTAAATAATTTCCCAGGAATTATTATGAAAGAAATTTTTTTTTACAAGAATTACAAAACAGATTGTGTTACGTTGTTTTTGGTTGTAGTGTGTGCATATAGATCTATATATTTTTTGTTTAGATTGATACAATTTTTGTTTTGTCGGCCTACATTGTGTGTTTTTTCTTATTTCTTCAGAGTGCTACTTTCAATTTATTTTACATCATAGCGAAGTAATGACATACAGCTAGTAATTATATATATATATATATATATATATATATATATATATATATATATATATATATATATATATATATATATATATATATATAGAATGTGTTAACAATTCGGCGCCTTTTTTTGCTCTTTTCGCTCCCCCTACAACGAAAACCTGGATACGCCTCTGATAAAACCATTTATATTATGTAAGCAACTAAAAAGAAAAGGGTAGCTTCTTTAATTTCCGTAAAGTGAGGGAATCAATAATATAGTGTCCCACTCTTTGTTTAAATATTATTTTAAAGAAAATTAATTGTTATCTACTTTTTGTGCATAATCATACAAAACTACGAAAACAAGTTAAATAAAAAGCTTGTAAAAAAGAAGATATTTACATGTGGTGCGTATGCCTAGCAGGTGCAAAAGTACATGTTTTATCCTTTTTTGTCGTATGCATAGAGAAATCTCGAATATAGAACCTATATTAGATCTATATGATGGATAATAGATTTTATAAGTAATTTTCTATTTTTCTTAAATTCGAAGGTATAATTTAATAATCAGCTCTAAATACGTTTTTTAATATTTTCCCCTAGGCTATTTCTTTTAGCGCACGGGGCGCCGCCACCAGGATAAGCCTCAGAATCACGCTTGGTGACATTTATGGTGAAAGAGCATCTGGTCTTCATTACGCTTCTTAATTATAAAGCCGCTACATTATTTTAAAAAAAAATTAATAATAATGTGACGAACAGTGTTTCTTCCAGACTTTTTTCTCCGGGGGTGCACTTGAGATTTTCGGGGGGGGGGGGAGGGGGCAGACACTGTCAAAAGTATATATTTTCTATATAAATTCCATTTCGTTCGGGGGGGGGGGGGGCTGGAAGAAACTCTGGTGACGAAGAAGACAATCCGAAGTAGATAGATCTATTAGGCCATTATTTAACCTACCCTTTTATATTTTTTGTTTTGGTCTGTTTCACGAAAACTAAAATTAAATAGTGTGTCTCGGTAAAGAAAATGACCAAATCCATGTTTTCCTCTGTTTTTAACTTGAGCTGCTATGAGAAGATCTAGAATCTAGATCTAGATCTAGGTATGAGTTTGATTTGTAGAGAACTTAACACTCTGGGGTGTTTAATTATTAATTAACAATTAGATCTAGATCTAGAATCAAATCAATAACTTGTTGTTAGATCTAGATTCTAGATCTATATTCTTATGATGTAGAATAGATCTAGATCTAGAATCTAGGTGACAAAGCTTAGGCTTAGGCTTAGGCTTAGGCTTATCCAATATCCATCCACTTAAAAATTAATCAGTAGGCCCCTAGATCTATATAGTATAGTCACTATACTAAATAGTATAGTGCCTATAGGCCAGAGCAGAAATCAACTTTAAACAGCAGTGTTTAAGAACAAGATTTTCGGTTATCTATCGTTTTAGGTAGGCCTACTTAAAATCGCCAGCGGCTAGTAATGTACGTAAAAGTTACCTCATTGTCAAGGCTTTAATTAATAATTATAGAAGTATACTGAATACTGTGATATATTTGTGTCAAATATTATGGATAAATGAATAATAAACCAAAATCAATGGCTAAACATATATCAATATATAGTAGGCCTACATAGGCCTAGGCCACAAATTAAATTTAAAGAGCAGTTTTTGCTAGCAAGATTTGCTATATAAACAACAGCCATTTGTAAAATAGAGTGCAGGGTTCGTGCGGCCTCCTGAAATTCCAGGAGGTCCTGGAAAACTCCTGGAATCTTAAAAAACGTAAAAACCTCCTGGAATTCTCCTGGAATTTAAAAAAATATAAAAACTTCCTGGAATTCTCCTGAAATTTTAATGTTGATGTTTAATGTTTTTGATGTTGTGTAACACCCATACGGTACCCGAGCAGCCCGTGGTGGTTTCATACCCCACCTCTCTTCCCCCTTCACTTTGTGGAGTTGATGTGTTACTAATCCTCGGGCATAGATCAAGAAATCTTGCAAGGCTTTTGTCTCTGAAATTACATAATATTCGTCTGACACGTTCATCGGGTTGGCAAACTAGCCTAGCATCATTGGATTTGGCATCCAAAAATCAATAAAATGTCACGAAATGATATTAATTGGTGAAGTCTGCTTGCATTTATACCTCTTTTATAGTGAAAAACTCTTTAAAATTTGGTCCATACCCTCCCAGTATTTATCCTTTTTCAGGGTCTATCCAGGTTCTCTGAAAAAACTGCTATTTTTTTAATGACAAAAAAATCATAACTTTTTTGTTTATGGTCAGATTTTGAAAATTCAAACTGGTCTGTAGTCAGATTGATAACCTCTATCCTAATATGTAACTAATATATTGTTTTACTTTTACTGAAATTAAATTTTTGCATTGGCTTAGCTAATTAAATGTATTATTGAGTACGCTTTTTTTAAAATGTACAAATTGGGTTTCTTTTTGTTTTTAAAATCTCCTTGAATTTTTTTTAAACTCCTGGAAAAGTCCTGGAAAACTCCTGGAATTTTATTTGAACTTTTGAGCATGAACCCTGAGAGTGGCTTCCCCTGAATCTGCTATAAGTTTACATGAAAACAAACTTAAACAAGATGTCTGCTATAGTAAATGAGCATGGTTGCATCTGTTGGAAACATTGCTAGTCTTCATTTATTACTGAAAAGTTTTAATTCAATAGTTTAAAAACAGGTACATAAATGAAACAAGGAAACATTTTTGTATTTTTCAAAACATAAATCCTCCTCAAAATGTGAAATAATTATTAAAATTTAAGGAGGCACCTGTTTTTCACATTACTAGTCGCGGGCGATTTTACGTACCTAAAACAATAGATTACCAGATTTTCTAATATATAGGCCTAAGTCTAAACAGTGTCTATTTGTAAATTAGAGTGGTTTTCTCTGAATCTCTAAGTTAATAAAAATTAAACTTAAACAAGATGGCTGGTAAAGTAAACGAGCTTGGTTGCATCTAATGAAAACATCGTGACGTTAATCCTAATGAAAACTTTTATATGTATCATATTTGAAGATTTGCTTAAAAGAAAACTGTGTGTGCACTAATATCAATTTTTTCCCCTAGATTCATAGTGGTCAACTTTTTAGACTAGCAGAATCATGCATTGCATGTACAAGCAAATCCATCCACCAACTGGAATAGAAAATTGTGTCTATGCACATTTTTTTAACTGGGAAGAAAAAAATCTGATTGTAGCTGGTGTGAACCATTTACATGTCTATAGACTGAATTCAGAGCCTGAGGTTAGTTGTTGTATGAGTGTACTAACCATCATACCATATTACCTTATTTGTGTTTATCTTAGAATGCTACTGAAAAGTCTTTTTCTATCATTATCAACTTATTTGTTAAAGTATGTCAGTTCCATGTTCAAATCTATATTTCAGCTTGTATCTCCAGATGGATTACTTATCACACAAGATGAAAAAGGTTAGCAGATTCAGTCAAAACATAGCAAGACCATGAACTTTGAGTGCAACTTTTTTTTTTTACTTTGCATTATTAAAATTATTCCTAATATCACTACAAAAACATCCATTTATTTAGTCAGATCCCCATATAGTTGATATAGCAATTTGAATCTGGCATAAAACCCAAAATCTGAAGACAAAAGATGTGTAGGCTTTTACTGTGACATACATAATCAAAAATCCATAGTTTTATAAAGATAAAATACTCTTAATTTTAAGCCAAATAAATCATATCTTCAAATATGGAAAATCCTTTAATGATTATAACTATAAAAAATTTGAAAATGAAAGTGCATCATTTTAATTTATTTTATCATTTAAAATACTGTTTTATTTCAGCAGATTTGAAAACACGTCTTGAATGTTTAGCATCTTACAGTGTCCATGGAAATATACAATCCCTTGCTGCAGTTAAGCTGGCAGGGGCAAACAGAGATGTTTTGCTACTCAGCTTTTTAGACGCTAAAGTCAGTTTATTATAGTTTCAAAATATTTTTTTGTAACTAATGCAATCATGCTGTTCTATTTTACTAGTTAATATTAACTTTTCTTCCAAAAGTTGTGGTAAAAAGTAAATTAAAAAAATAGACATTTTTCATGTTATTAAATATAAAAAAATGGTAGCATTCTTCTTCAAAACATTTATGTGATTTAATGAGAAAGTAATTAATATTTTTGTGTATTGAAGATCATTATATAGAAAACTTTCCACCTTCACAATGGCTTATGGCAATGTTTAGGGGTTTGAGTTTATTAAAATGTATTGATGTATATTTTCAGCTGTCTGTAGTTGAATATGATCCCAGCACACATGACTTAAAGACCTGTTCATTACATCAGTTTGAAGAACCTGAATTAAAGGTAAATACTGTTTTTACTATCAGATTCTATTTAAGAAAGGGTACAATTTTGGAATAGAAGTTAGGACTTTTTAATACTAAACTTTGATCAGCATGTATAACTAGAAATTTAAAGAAGTAAAACTTTTAGGCATTTAGTAAAATGTATTTTTACATTTGAATACAATTAATGGTAAGCATTAAAAAACATTGTATTGTAAAGTTTCTGTTAAATGTGGTAACAATAAATTTTGCAAAATAATAAGACAATAAAATAGTTTAACTTGAATTGACTGAATAATTTCTTTAGGGTGGCTATAGCAGCAACACTCATCTACCTCTTGTACGAACTGACCCTGATGGCCGTTGTGCCGGAATGTTAATTTATGGAACACATTTGGTCGTGTTGCCATTTAGAAAAGATGCTTTGTTAGATGATCTTGATTCCGTTTCTGGTCTGGTTGGAAAGTAAGAACAATTTCTCAATTGTATAGTGCTGAAAATATTTAACTACACTGATAACAATTTAAAAACTTTTTATATTAATATATTGTATTCTTTTATTTTTAAGATCCCCAATTATGTCGTCTTATACAATTGACCTACGTAAAATGGATGAAAAGATTATAAATATATTAGACATCCAGTTTCTCCATGGTTACTTTGAGCCAACAGTTTTTATTTTATATGAACCTTTAGCCACGTGGTCAGGGTAAGTTTATAAAATTTATTTACAATTTAAAAGGTATTTCAAACCCCACACAATATTCAGCAGATTCTTCTATTTTAGATTATTTTTGGCCAAACAAAAATTGAGGTTTTTTGTTGAGAAATATTTAACTTCACTTCTACATAAAAATATAAAAGCCTTTTTTTTCTCAATCTTTATAAGATTGATTTCTAAAATATATTAAAAAGATTTCTGAAGTTTCCAATGCTTTTACATTCCTGAATAGAAGCATGATCTTTAGCATCTAGATTCTTTATTTTGTTAATTTAAAGTTATACTTTTAAATTAATGACTATTTAATATCTATTAACGGCATTTAAATAAATTGTATTATAATTGGAGATAACTTATATGCAAAGTTATAAAGATAAGTTCTTAAGTAAAAACAGAACAAAATTGAGTTTCAAAATTGTACCTCAAACGATTACTTATACAATTTTTCACATTACTTTAATATTTGAAATATATTTAAATTTATTACTAATTACCTTTTGTACTTCTTCTGTTTAACCTCAGACGCACAGCAGTAAGAACTGACACTTGTGCCATTGTTGCCATTTCATTAAATATTCAACAAAAAGTGCATCCAATTATTTGGTCTCAATCAAGCTTGCCTTTTGATTGTTTTAGTGTTGCTCCAATACCTAAGCCTATTGGTGAGTTTAAATTTTCTTTACTTCCTTAATGAGAAATTCAAATATTTGTGGTCAGTGTAATGTCAGGTATTTTAAAAAGTTATTTCTCTGGCTCTTGTTACCTTTAAAATTATAATGTGTAAACCTTTTTTCTAGGTGGGGTTTTAATATTTGCTGTAAATTCCCTTCTGTATCTCAATCAAAGTGTTCCACCCTTTGGAGTGTCTTTAAATAGCATTGCAGATGCTTCATCAGCATATCCATTAAGTAAGTATTTCTAAAAGAGTGTGCAATACATAGCATTAGAATTAACAGTCTTTCACTTTTCAAGTACAATTAACATCACTGGTTCAGTGCTTTTGTTAAAATAGAACTAATCTATGTTGTAATGCTATTATTAGTCTGCAATTTTCCAAATAGTTGTAATGCTGGTCTGTTTTCTCTTATTTACTTAATTAAAAAATAATTTTTACAGAGCTTCAAGAAAATGTTTTATGCACGTTAGACTGTGCTCGTTTTGCTCTTATATCCAGTGACAGGCTTGTGTTGTCTCTTAAAGGTGGAGAATTGTAAGTAAAAAAACTCACAGTTATAGTCTGCTTCTTGCTTAATAAATGGATATTTCACATGACAACCTACCTTTCTCCTCTCAGTTCTGTTGCCTAAAGCTTTAATTACCAATATTGTTTAACAGGTATGTTCTTACTCTTGTTGTGGACGGCATGAGATGTGTGAGAGAATTCCACTTTGACCGTGCTGCCTCTAGTGTTTTAACCACATGTGTCAGTAGCTTCCACATTTTACGAATTTCAAAGATGTCATTTAAATCATTTTAAAATCTTTTTTCTGCTTACCTTAAACTTTAATAATAAAAAAATAGCAGAATTTGTGTCAGTTAATCTTAAATATAAGTTACAAGTGCATTAAAATATAAGTTGTATAATATTATTTGCAGTAAATGTAAGCAGTGTATAGCTACAAATTTTTTTTATTCAGATGTGTGTTTGTGGAGATGGGTACTTGTTTTTAGGATCCCGACTAGGAAATTCTCTCCTATTGAAGTACACAGAAAAGTCTTCTGGGACTGTGATTCAAGCAGATGAGAAAAGATCAGGTGTTTCAGCAATAAAAAAGAGGAGGGTTGAGGGTCTGGAACAATTAGGTACCTTTTTGTATAGAATCATTAGTAAAAGTTCCTCTTTAGACCTAGTGATACATTGGGCAGATAGAGTTCATATGTTTCTTGACCTCGGCATATGAAGGGATATTGTGATCAACACTATGCTCAGCCACCTGGGTGGACTCTGGGGCGTCCTACTGTCACAAGTCCAACCCGAGATTCGAACTCGAGACCTTTTGGCAAGCAGTCAAGCGCTTTACTACACGGCCATGCTATCCCATATAGAATCATTAGCGAGATTACATTTTGTTAAAACAAAGTCATTCTGTTAAGATTTAATTGCATTTCTTAAACAAATTTATATCTTCAGCTTCAGACGTGTCAGAAATTGAAAATGTTGATGAACTTGAAGTTTATGGAGCTACAGATAACCAACCTGGTACTATGATAGCATCCTACTCCTTTGAGGTAGGAAAAGCATTAAAGTAAAAGTTTCAGACTTCTATTCTACACTTTTCCTAACTTGAGTCAGGTATCTATCAGAAATGTCTGACTCGGTAGTGATGTTCTTTAAAATTTTCTTCCATGTCATTGAATAATCAATGACAATGGGGGTTCTGAGAACCCAAATAATGGTGAATAGGCTTTATGTTATCAAACTTAATGTAGCTATTTAAAAACCAAAAGAGCCATTTTAAATTTTCAAAAGGTGTGTGACAATATCTGGAATATTGCCCCATGTGGACAAGTTGCAATGGGAGAGCCTGCTTTTTTATCAGAAGAATACAGTTCACACTCAGACCCTGACTTGGAGTTGGTCACTACCTCTGGTCATGGTAAAAATGGAGCCATTTCTGTACTTCAGGTAAAACAACTTAAGGTTTTGAACAATTTTCCCAGGTCCAGTTCTATATTTGAGTAGAGCAGCCTAGAACACAAGCCTACAGTTTCTGGAGAAACTTTTTATCATGCAAGCTTTAAGTGTTACACAAAAAGATACTCTAACCAAAAAACAACATTGCATGATTTTCTTATATTTTGATAACACGATTTGATAAAAAAAACCTAATTGTCATATTTAATAATTGATGTATTATTGACCATTACTTCTCTCAACCTGAAGTGCATTGTTTTATCATCTCAACCATATCAGCACAGTATTCGCCCTCAAGTTGTAACAACATTTTCCTTGTCTGGATGCATTGACATGTGGACAGTCCATTCTCAACCAGAAGCCACAGAAGATGAGGAGGAAGGTGCAGAGTCTAAAGCTACAGAGAATGAAAGTAGCAGCATTGTAGGAGGACATGCCTTTCTGGTGCTCAGTAGGCGAGAGTCTAGCATGGCAAGTACAAATACTAAGACTATATTATCTATAATTAATAATAAAATATTAAGAAATCTAAGAGCGTTTTTAATTTTTTTCATTAGATTTACTTTTTTTTTTAAATCAAACTTCAGCAATGTAATGTAAATATAGAAGAATTAAACTCTGACTTTTGAGATTTTAACATTTGTGTATTTGAATGCAGGTTCTACAGACAGGTTCAGAGATCAATGAACTTGACCACAGTGGTTTCAGCACTCAAACAGCTACAGTTTTTGTTGGCAACATTGGGAACAAACGTTACATCTTACAAGTTTCCCCAGCTTCCATAAGGTTGCTTGAAGGAAGTAAGTTTCATTCTGATAACATTCATCTTTGTAACTGTACATAGCTCGTCATTCAACAACTTGGTAAAAGGTTCATTCAATGATCTGGGTGCTTCTACTACTTAATGTGTTAATGGTCTATACACTGAGCTCTGTAATAGTACTACTAACTGTACAAATGGTCTTTCCGATTACTTAAAGTAACATTGATTACTTTCAGCGAAACAAATCCAGCACATTCCTGTTGATCTTGGCTCTTCCATACAAAGTTGCTCTGTGTGTGATCCTCACGTTGTCATAATGGGTGTAGAAGGACAGCTCATGATGTTTACTTTAAAAGATGACCGTCTGGTAGCTGGTGCTAGATTGTCAGCTAGCAAATTGAATGTTTCGTTGGTCAGTTTAAGCTTAATTATTTTTTTAAAATTAACTTTATAGTGACAATTTGTGTGCGTCTATTGCTGATTTTATCAACTGGAATATTGGTGCTTGTTTGTTTTTTGTTTCCAGAAACCTCGTATACTAGCCATGACAACGTACAAAGATTACAGTGGCTTGTTTACAACTGAAAGTCTGAAGACAGAGGATTTAGCAAACAAGATAGAAAAAGTTAAACCAGCAGAAAAAGCCCCTGTTTTTAAACCTGAGTAAGCAAATGTACCAATGTGCAAGAAGTTATTTTAACAATAGAAAAATATAGTGAAATGAACAAAGTTAATAATATACTTTGGAGTAATTCAGTGCACTTAAGATAATTGTCCAGTTGTTTCCCACAATTTGTTTATAAGTGTTAGGAGTAGATAAAATCCTTACCAAAAGTTACTGTCTGTACATGAATGCTGTTGACTTGCAGTGAAATGGATGATGAAGATGAAATGTTGTATGGGGACATCACTGTGTTAACCACTCCTGAGAAAAAAGAAGAACCAGACACCAGTGAAACGTATGACAAATCTTTTTTTTAATCATTTTAATCTTGATGCATGTTCATTTTTACCATATTTATTTTTTTGTGATGATTGTGTTTTCTTTTAATGTAGCTATGTTTAACTCATTGAACCTGCGGTTCCACTTTTTGGTCATTGTTTTAAATCTGCATGCCCTGGCAGTCTGTACATAAAAATGTAAAATTAAAAAAGGGATATAACTAATACTGTTTGACTTGTGGTAAGTTCCTGTCATGGCTGCGACCACAAACTCATCTTTTTGTTCTGTTTATCATTTGCAATTTATGATGAAAAGATTGAAAATTCCTATATTTTGGCTTTCTACTTATGTCCACACCTAGCTATGTCTGAAAGAAGGGTCTACCTGCTGGAAGGACCAGCATACTGAGTTGTTGGTGATAATTCTTGTACAAATATTCATTAAATTCATGGAATAAACTTTGTTCAAAGAGTTTAACAATTTAATTAGAAAAAGCATTTTGAATTCTTAATTTTATTTCCACAGATATGTAAAGCCCTCCAGAAAAGAAATAAAGATAAGCTGTTGGTTACTGGTGTCTAGAGAAAATGGATCATTGGAGGTAAATTTCTTTGAATCTGCTCTGTAGTTTGTACTTTATTACTAAAGCTATAGTTTTGTACACATGTTCATGTTTTCTCTCAATGGTTCTCAGATATACAGTTTGCCTGAGTGTAAGCTAGTTTACACAGTTAAAAGCTTCCCACTGGGACAAAGAACCCTAGTTGACAGTGGTCCTTCATTTGATCCCACTAAATCAGTGTATGTAGCAACCATTTATAAATCCTTGATATATATACCTAATCAGCTTTACTATAACTTGTTATTAGTAGTCCTTAAAACTGGATAGGTACAACAAAAGTTTTTCCTTTGGATTTATCAAATTATCTCAATGTTATCAATTGTTGTCTTGTTTTACAATATCCTCCCCCTCCCCACTCTATTATAAATGAGTAAAGAACTCAAGCATACAGTGTATTTTGGATATTTTAGTTCTACCTCAGACAAACAACAGAATGCTGGAGAGATGCCCACAGTTAAAGAAATTCAGCTGTTTGGCTTAGGTCATAATAAATCTCGTCCCTATCTTTTTGTAAGTATATGCTTTCACTAATTCAAAGGCTTTTTATACTATTAACTGTAAAAAGTTACCTTTTGGACTTGTAAGGTAAAGAGAGTTGTAAAAAAAACATTCCTACTTTCGAAGTTTTGATTAATCTAGTTTTTTCTTTAGAAATGTTTATTCTGCAGACTTTTAAAGGGAAGAGTAATTGCATTGTTTAGATAGTAGATCTGTCTTGTTAATGAAAGTATTTATTATTATTAATATTATTATTCTTTATCGTTTATAATTTCAGGCAAGAGTGGATGAAGATCTGCTGATTTATGAAGTTTTTCCAAGAGTACCCAGTGCAGCTGATGTACAAATGACTGGTGACCATCTGAAGATAAGATTTAAAAAAGTGGCTCATGACTTAATTCTTAGGGAAAAGCTGCTACATGCCACAAGGAAAGGGGAAGATGAGGAGGAGCCACCTGATGAGAACACACCCCCTGATCACATTCAACAGCTCAGATACTTTGAGGACATCTCAGGCTACACTGGTGTAAGTTATTCCCCTTAATTCAATGTACTCTGGTGTAAGTTATTCCCCTTAATTCAATGTACTCTGGTGTAAGTTATTCCCTTAATTCAATGTACTCTGGTGTAAGTTATTCCCCTTAATTCAATGTACTCTGGTGTAAGTTATTCCCTTAATTCAGTGTACTCTGGTGTAAGTTATTCCCTTAATTCAGTGTACTCTGGTGTAAGTTATTCCCTTAATTCAATGTACTCTGGTGTAAGTTATTCCCTTAATTCAATGTACTCTGGTGTAAGTTATTCCCTTAATTCAATGTACTCTGATGTAAATTATTCCCCTAAATTCAGGGTACTCTGGTTATTCCCCTTAAGTATTCAATGTACTGTGGTGTAAATTGATTCCCTATTCCATGATACTTGGTGTGTTTTTTTTTAAATGAAAGTAATTTATCCTACTATATAGCTTTAATAATTTCCTCACATTTTCACATAAAATTTGGCTATGTTGTTATCCATGTATAATGTTACAATTTTAAAGTTCCCCCTCCTCATGTTTACACTTACGGAAGGTATGGACTAACCTATTTAATGGTTCTTCTTATGTTTTCATTGTCACTTTTTTTAAATTAAAAAGTTACACCATTCTCTAATGATGCTAAAATTAGCAAATACATTTCAACAGGTTTTTATTTGTGGTCCATATCCACATTGGATATTCATGACAAGCAAAGGTTCTTTAAGAATTCATCCGATGGGGATAGACGGTTGGGTTACCTGCTTCACTTCATTTCATAATGTCAACTGTCCAAAAGGTTTTCTCTACTTCAACAGAAAGGTAAACTGTGCGCCTTGTTTTGTGAACTGTACTTAACCTGTACTATGTCAACAAGTTTGACAAAATTAAAACTATTTGTTCTCAAAAAAAAAACAAAACATAGCAACTTAATAATCATAATAAAAAAGTTTTGCTTTTCAGTCTGACATGTGTATTTGTGTCCTACCAACACATGTTACATATGATGCTCCATGGCCCATCCGCAAGGTACCCCTAAGGTGTACGCCCCATTATATCACTTACCACAGTGATAGTAAGGTAAGATCATTATTTTATCCAGATGTTGCCTTCCGCCTTTAAATTTGTATTGTATTTGACAAATAAAACGTTCTGTGGTATATTAGACAAAATTTTAAAATATCAAACATTTATAGTGTTTTTTTTATATTAAACTCGTCTCTAAAACCAACCGATTTACTTCCAGCTGTATGCTGTAGTGACAAGCATAGAAGAAAACACAAATAAATTTCCACGTCTCATGTCAGATGATAGAGAGTGGGACTATGTTGAAAGAAGTGAGTTGTTTTATTCAATATACTGTATACAAGTGTAATGAGCTGTGGACTACTAGTTACAATGTGATGTTTCAGATGAAAGATTTGTCTACCCTAACATGAGCAAATACACAGTGCAGCTCTTCACCCCCAGCACATGGGAGGTTATTCCAGACACCAGGTCAGTTCATTTGCAGAGAGTTTTAACAGCAGGTGGTACCAGACAGAGACCTAGGCTACACACTGATCATTACAATTTTATAATTAAATCTTGTTGAATTTAATGATTTGTTGCATTTAGAGGTTTGTTGAATTAAATAATTTATTGAATTGAAAGATTTGTTGTTAAATGTTCTAGGTATGATTGTGAAGACTGGGAACACATCACCTGTTTAGAAAATGCGCAGCTAAAATCTGAAGGAACCATATCAGGTTTAAAAGGTTTTGTTACCATGGGTACAGCCTACTGTATGGGGGAAGATGTTGTTGCACGAGGAAGAGTAAGTTGAGATGGGCAAAAAATTAAATAAAAAACATTAATACATTAAAATTGTACATTAAATTTACTTTTATCCATTGGATATCCTAAAATTATAAAAAAATGATAAAAAGTAATTTGTGTTTGAATAGTAACTAATTTTCTTTTTTGTTATTGTAGATAATAATTTTGGATGTTATTGAGGTTGTCCCAGAACCTGGACAGCCCCTGACCAAAAATAAAATCAAGGTATTTACTTCTGCTGCACATCTTAGTGACTTGAAATCTTGACAGAATCACACACTCTATAGAAATACTCCGCTGCTTTTGACAGCCATAAAATAGTTGATTTCTGTTTGAAATAGTTTGAAAATCATTTAATAAATTAATGTGCAAACATACGTTAAACAACAATTAATTAAACAGCAACAAATCAAACATTTTAAACTTTCATCTTTATTGTAAACTAAAGACTTATGTATTTGTAATCCGCCATTCTAATCTCAATGTGAATCTAATTTAATCTTCCTCTTATGTGTAGGTTGTTTATGATAAAGAACAGAAGGGTCCAGTGTCAGCCATCTCATACCTCAATGGTCTACTAGTGACAGCTATAGGACAAAAGGTGCCTCTCATTCAGTTTTAGATTGGAAATATTTTTTTACACAGGGGTTATGGTGTAGTTTTTTGCAGTAATCAAAATGGTATTAGTTTAATATTTATTTACAACTTGACATTTTATTTATCATCTACTAAGGTTTTCATTTCAATAATTTCTTATAGATTAATAAGATAACTAATTATAGTATTTTAAACTATTTCTTTGGTTAAGTTCATAATAATAGCATGATTTAACCCAACAAAATCCTCACCAAAGTTTTTTGTGTTCCAGATTTACATATGGTCTTTAAAAGATGATGATCTCTCAGGTGTGGCTTTCATAGACTCCTTGATCTATATTCATTCCCTTCATGTCATTAAAAACATCATCATAGCCGCAGACGTCCTCAAAAGTATTGCTCTCTACAGATTTCAGGAGGACCTCCGTGTTCTGTCTTTTGTCAGCCGGGTTAGTTGGGTCTATCACTTCAGTTTTCTTCACATGTCAGTATCAGATAGCTGTTAGACTTAAACATCTGTTGCAGTGTCCTTTAGTTTTTTTCTTTTGTATTTAGGACATCAAACCACTGGAGACTTATGCTGCAGAGTTTATGGTGGATGGGGAAACTCTCAATTTTGCAGGTTACAATTCAAGCTCATGGCTTGCTTCTGCCGCGTTTTTTTTAAATGTCTGTCATAAATTTAATGCAGTTTAGCCCTGCTATTTAAAAAAAAATAATTAATTACAGAAATGTTATAAAAAACAAACATTTATGCGTTTTAAATATTAGTTGTTATATAAAGAAACAGTATAGTCACAATTTTTAATTTTTCTTAAAATAAATTTGAGTTATTATTTAAAATTTCAGTGACAGATCGCAACAAAAATGTTGTAATTTTGGCATACTTACCCGAAGGTAAGAAAATCTAATTTTGTTTTAGGTTTTATTTTTTAATATTAATTATTTTAAGTAGCATTAACAAAATTGTTGTATTTAAATAAGCAGCTTCTAATTTTCTCTATCATTACAAAAATGTAGTGAGAGAAAGCTATGGTGGCAACCGGTTATTAAGGAGAGCAGATTTTAACATTGGTAGCCATGTCAACACCATGTTTAGGGTCAGATGTAAACTAGAGGACCCATCTTCTAACAAGAAAAATGCTGCAGCTTTAGAACATCGGCATGTCACATATTTTGGTTAGTTGGTTTTTGTGTAATATTCTGGTGTATTTAGGATAGTCTAAAACAGATGAAAAACCAAATAAATTTGACTGAAATCTGTAGACACAGTCTCAGTATTTTGTGTTGATCTGACATTTTTGAATGTTTTTAACAGCAAGTCTTGATGGTAGCATAGGATACTTGTTGCCTATACCAGAGAAAGTGTTCAGACGCCAGCAGATGTTACAGGGGTCAATGATCTCCCAGCTGCCCAGTCCAGCTGGACTCAACCCAAAAGCTTACAGGTAAAGTTTTTCATACCAGTACATGTATTTTGTTACTGAAGCTTACAGGTAAAGTTTTTCATACCAGTACATGTATTTTGTTACTGAAGCTTACAGGTAAAGTTTTTCATACCAGTACATGTATTTTGTTACTGAAGCTTACAGGTAAAGTTTTTCATACCAGTACATGTATTTTGTTACTGAAGCTTACAGGTAAAGTTTTTCATACCAGTACATGTATTTTGTTACTGAAGCTTACAGGTAAAGTTTTTCATACTAGTACATGTATTTTGTTACTGAAGCTTACAGGTAAAGTTTTTCATACCAGTACATGTATTTTGTTACTGAAGCTTACAGGTAAAGTTTTTCATACCAGAACATGTATTTTGTTACTGAAGCTTACAGGTAAAGTTTTTCATACCAGTACATGTATTTTGTTACTGAAGCTTACAGGTAAAGTTTTTCATACCAGAACATGTATTTTGTTACTGAAGCTTACAGGTAAAGTTTTTCATACCAGAACATGTATTTTGTTACTAAAGCTTACAGGTAAAGTTTTTCATACCAGTTTATGTATTTTCCCACGTTTTCTTTAACTTGCTTTCGTCTCTGTTTTTCCAATCAAATCTTGCGATCGAAATTTCTGGCACTTCCCAGTTAGCTAGTGCGCTGAAATTTTCAGGGAAGCTTTGTTTTGGATGACAATAGAATATTCAATTGTTATTATTACTAAATTGATCCATGGAAACATTTTATTCAGCATTTTAGAGCGCTATATAATTGTAGTAAAAACGTGGGGAAAAAGGGACATAACCCAGTAACTGTAATTTGATAAAAACAAGATTCGGTACTCTCCCTCTTTGCTTACTGAGTAGTGTTCACGCGGTGTTTGTGTACAAACAACCGTAACAACTGGTGGCCAGTATGGGGGAGACGATATGGTCAAGTGGTTGGGCACACGATTGCTATCCCACTCGACATGGGTTCAAATCTATGTGTTCTAGTCAGTAACGTATTCACACAACGTGTTTTTTACGAGTTGTCTTTTTACGAGTTGTCTTCGTTTACCCAAAAAAAAAGTGAAAAGATAAAATCGATAGCAAGATTTTAATGCAAACAAACAGACAAAGACTAAAAAGTAGAAAATAATAATCATTAAAAAAGTTAAAAAAAACCCACGTTTTCTGATTGAACAAAAAGTAGAAAATAAATGCTATACATCACAATAATGCAAGCGATCACTCTACTATAAGCGATCAAAAACGTGGGGCGCCGTGATTTTCTTACAGTTTCTAATACTGTTGACTCTCTACAAGCTCCCTAATAAAAATCAATAGTATTATCTAATCAATAGTAATATAACTTTTACTTCGGCGCCCCACGTTTTTCATCGCTTATAGTAGAGTGATCGCTTGCATTATTGTGATGTATAGCATTTATTTTCTACTTTTTGTTCAATCAGAAAACGTGGGTTTTTTTAAACTTTTTTTAATGATTATTATTTTTGTTACTGAAGCTTACAGGTAAAGTTTTTCATACCAGTACATGTACTTTGTTACAAAAGTTTTTCAGCCTTTCTGAAGTCAGTGTTTTTTCTAATTGTAGAACATTTAAAAGTAGCCGAGTGGACACGAGCAATCCTTTAAGAAACATTTTGGATGGTGAGCTTTGTTGGAAATTTTTGTACCTCTCTGCAATGGAGAAAATAGAAGTGGCCAGGAAAATTGGTACAACTGTAGATCAGGTCTGTAACACTTATAAAATGGGTACATTTCAATACATGCTTGTATCAGGTTGTTATTCAGTGAAAAATATCTCTCTATTATTCACAGTACCATCTTTGCCATATTTTGCATTATTTAATAAATTTTCATGCACGTTTTTGCTTGAACAATTTTGTTTTGTTCCCATGGTCAATTTTATAAACTGTTTTTTACTTTCAGTTGACAGATGATCTGATGGAGTTTGACCGTCTGACTGCTCATTTTTAACAGCTGTTCATCACCAGAGAAAGCCCTTGTTGTTTTGTATTGACTGTATTACTTTATGTTATGACTGAGCATGTTGTTCACCTATTCTTCTGCTTGATTTTATGATAAAAATAAATCATTTTATAAAGTTCATTGCACTTTTAGTTTGCCTTATACATGAACAAAATAGTTTTTTTTTGGAAATTATTGGACAATAATTTTATGGTTTAACTGAGGCCTTAATGAAAATATGAAAATATCTCAACACAAAAAGGAAAGTAAATTGTAAAAAAAAAAGGAGCATGCCCGCTTAATATTGAAAGTAATGTAATTTAATAGTAACTAACAAAGGTTCTTATTCAGAGAGCAATATTAGATTTCATCTCACTGACTGGCATTCTCTATCTTGTACTTTCTAATGACAAAATTGGTGTAGCATCTAGCTGTTGGATACAGAGAGGAACAATTTTGATTGGTTGGTAGAGAATTATTTTATTCTGAATAAGAGTTGTACATATAACATAGAATCTGAACATCTGTGCTAGTGGTAACTTGAACATAAGTCAACTTTGAAACAAATGATAGAACAGCACCATTAGTGGCCATTGTTGCTATAGATCAGGGGTCTCCAAAGTTTTCGGTCCGAGGGCCGCATTAACTATCAAATTTCAGTTCGGGGGCCAGTTTCTTCCAGGCATGTCTTTGATTTTTCTTTAGCAAAGTTCCTCAGCCATCACCAACAAACGTTTTTTCCGTGGTAAGAAAGATCTCCGCGGGCCGGATGAGATGACCTCGCGGGCCGCATTTGGCCCACGGGCCGTAGTTTGGAGACCCCTGCTATAGATCAATCCAATAGAACAGCATTAATCATCAATGTTCCTATCAATTTTAACCACAAGTTCTTTTGATACATTAATTAAGGTGCATCAGTTGTAAAAATTTGATTTGGATAAAAAAACAATCTTAATTAATTTACTAGTAACATCAATATAGCATAGTTTACATTAAAATGCTTTAAATTGTAATGGTACATCAACATTTTTATTTATACAACTAGATTCAATATTTATAACAATATTTGTGCATTAGATTCATCATATCTGAACTATCCCATGTTGGTGAATTCTCCATTCCATGCAGACTTGTGCAATTTACTTAGAGGTCAGCTTTGGTTCATCTGTTTTATTAAGTCATATGTTTATAATGTAGGTCAGCAATGGTTCATCTGTTTTATTAAGTCATATGTTTATAATGTATTAAATTTGTGTAGTAGTATTCATTCAGAGATTTCAATTGGCTGAACAAAGTTGACATCTAAAGCATTGTTTGACGGATTCAATCTTTGATGCTGATGTTACTGGATGTCTGAATCTTGTACTTTGGTTTGTAGATATGAATGCAAAGGGAAGCTTTAGACCCCAATAAGATAATATTTCAGTGTGAGTTAAAAAATGCATCAGTAGTAAAATAGTGACAAACATACCTTCTGTAGTGTAATTACACTATTCTACACATTAACAATTAACCAAAATAATGAAATAAAAATATGCATTCACTTGAGAGTGTATCAGGTGGCAGTGGAGATAAGAGAAATTTTTTTTTTTTTTTTAGAACTTTGAAATATGTTACAGGGCTAGAGTTTACCTGCCTGCAGGCAACAGGTGGTAACAGGCTAGAGTTTACCTGCCTGCAGGCAACAGGTGGTAACAGGCTAGAGTTTACCTGCCTGCAGGCAACAGGTGGTAACAGGCTAGAGTTTACCTGCCTGCAGGCAACAGGTGGTAACAGGCTAGAGTTTACCTGCCTGCAGGCAACAGGTGGTAACAGGCTAGAGTTTACCTGCAGACTACAGTTTTACCTGTTGATGAATAAATTGTACATGAATACCATATGGAATGTATAGAAGGAGCATAACAAATCATCATATAAAAAAATTATCATATACCTTGATAAAAACATCTTTTAAAAAGAATGCTAAGGTATTAATTTTGAGTACACAAAGCAAAAGAAAACAGTCAACTTGATGAGTCAAGCTCAAGACATTTGACCTCTTAAACAAATGTAGTGTTGTGCATAACTAGAGATGTCCTAAACACCATTGAGTTGTCTGATGGCCCTGACTACAATGTTTATAAAAAGATTGAATGTCAGTGTTTGAATTGTTCTGGGTCTGCTGGAGACAACTTGTGATTCTTAAGAGAACATTTTCTTGCACTGGACATGAAATCCCTGCTAGTTTAGATCTAGTCTAGATTTACATAACTAAACAGTGATTGTCAATTACTTCAGTATCTGCATGTTTTTTAGGAGAGCCACACAAAATTGTTGACATCTCCAAATCAAACCAGAGTAGAAGGTCACATGATAAACATGGCCAAAATATTTGAGTCAAGACTGAGATTGAATCACAGGATTAAGATTTACTTGTTTTTCCCATTGCAATCTGCAGTGGATCCATAGGGGGGTAGCTCAAAGGATTTTGATTTTTAAAATTTAATATAATTAGAGTTAAAAGTGATTGAAATTTTGAAAAAAAACTAAACAATAGAATAAAAAATATGAAAACTGAAAATTTCCATAACATAGTACATGCAATCTGCTCAAAAGTGAGAATAAAAATAACACTGTTTTAAAAAATTGAATATTTGTATTTAAATTAAAGTCAAATCTCACCTGAACATGTGGGTAGTTTTTTAACAGCTGAACACATTGTCACAATGACAGGAAGACAAGAAAAACAGATCTTTTGATTGTGTTCAGTATTTTTTTTATACATACTGTAATTTTTTTATACCATAATCAAAAACATTTTATTAATTATCTTTCTAAATACTTTAAGGTAATAGTATTAATAAAAATTATATGAATTGTTATTTAAAATTAATCTTTCTACTTTTTAAAAATATCTTTTTAGTTGAAAAATAGTATTTTAAGTTTCAATAAATGCAACATTGATATAATATTTAGGTAAAAATATCAGGCATAAAATAATTTAAAAAACCAACAAAAAAAAGGACTTTCATCACAGATCTCTAATTAAGATAAACAAATAAAACATTAGAAATTTTTAACATCTTTTAGCGATACAATTTAATTAATTTTTTTTTTTTAAATTAAGAAAAAATTTTAAAAACAAATTCCAGGACTTTATAATCAATTAAAAACACAAACTATAGGAAAAAGTGAGCTGTAATAAATACTTTTAAAGCATAAAAGATTTACAACTAATTATATTAACAAAGCTATTTTGTACAAAAAGTTATTCAACATTCTTTTCAGATGGTTCATCCAAACCCTCTGGGTCTTCATTAATGACAGGTGGAGACAAGCAGCTATCATTTCCTGGGAAGGGGCTTGAGTCTAAAACTTTCAGCTTGTCCGTTTTCTTTTCAAATAATTTTGGCTTCTTGTCTCCTCCATTTAAAGAAAATTCTTCTTTAAGATTCTATTTAAAAATAAGAAAAATAATATTTTAAAAACAAATATTAAAAAATTTACAATACCAAGCTTTTAAATAACTGAAAATAAAACAATTAAACTAATTTGCCTTTTTAAATAAAATCTTTGGTTGCTAATGAGATTACTAACATTTTAAATCCTATCCAGTTTAGTAAAATAAAATTAGTATGTACGTTTGTTTCTTGAAATATGTCAACTGAAAGTGTCTGTTTACCTGAAGCTGCTGAATGATTGTTGTGACATGAGTCTTAAGCTCATCTTCCACCTGATTTTTGGATGTCATCTGATTGATCAGGTCATATCTGAAGCTGGAAATGTCCTGTTTGATTTCCTCAAAGTCATCTGGTAACAACACATGGAGACATTTCAATTAGAAATACAATTAGAGCTGATCTAGATATTTCAATTAGAAAGACAACTAGAGCTGATCTAGACATTTCAGTTAGAAAGATAACAATAGCAGATGATCACAGCGGTAGCTAATACAATTTACAATCTTAACAACCAACAGATACTGGAAAATTTGGTTTAACTACTTGAGATGATCGTATTTTAAATCTTACCTTCTGTGACTTCATTTTCACGTTGAATGTCAAAGATGTATCTCTGTATGATTCTTTGCATTGTTTGCTGAAAGCAATAACCATTCCACATTTGAATTTCCTGCTTTGTTGTTAGTCTATATATATATATATATATATATATATATATATATATATATATATATATATATATATATATATATATATATATATATATACATATATATATATATATAAATATCAGGGAAGGGGAGGCTAAGGGCAAGTTGGCACAAGTGCTCTTTTACTACATCACATCACTGCCCATCACCTCTTCTAAGGTATGGGCCACCAACTAAAGATCTCAAGAGTCCCCTGCCCTGCTGGGGTATGGGCCACCAACTAGAGTCCCCTGCCCTGTGCCATATTCTTAACCTGACCCCAGATTCCTGTAGCTATAATTGGTCATTTATTGATAATTTGAAACTATTGTAAAGATTGTGACATGAAAGTTGGGCGTAAATTGAAACTACGCACATATTTTGTTCTTCACCAACCATTAAGCAAGTAGAATTTGAAATTTCAAAGTGGGATTTCAAATTGTTGTAAATTTGGTGAATTAACACTTGTATAAAAGTATTTTTTTTTTATTTTGTCCTGTGCATAGCCCTATCTATTTCTACACACCATCAATACTTTTTATCTTCAGTCACTTATTAATAAAGAAAGAGAAAATCTGTCAAATATGGCTGTGTGGGCTAATTGACACATTGGGTGGGGTTAGAGTTACAATAATATAATCTCATGCATAGCTTTGGGTTACTGGTCCTAGAAAATGTTTATAAAAATAGCACAAAGCACAAGTTACTTGATATGTTAACTTTTCTTCTTCAGCCTCCACTGCCACTGCAGTATTGGCAGGATTTCTTCGTGTTGATTTGGTTGGAGTTCCATCAAAACCTGGGTTCACTCGGCCATTCATCTCTCCATTTTCAACATGTGTAATGTCGTCACCAGGGTGGGCATTCTGTCAATACATTCAACACGGGAAAGTCATATTTATTTTAACAAACATTTGTGTTGCTTTGTAACTCAAGGTTCATGAGGTGTTATGACTACATTTTGGGAAAAGTGACTTAGTCTGAAGATTTAACGATTAATAATTGGAATTAATTTCACGTCGTTTTGGTAACTTGATTGCACTACTATCGTAGCTTTATATCCAATGCATGTGTCAACCTGAACAACCTATACAAACACACACACACAAACAACACACACACATATATTTTTAGAACTACGACTGACCCCAGCCGGACTTTCTATAGAAACTTGTTTATGAGTCGCTGGTCTGTTGGTCTCTCTGGTGTTGGACGCCTTTCCATTACGGGCTGGATACATAGGCGTGTCTGCGGCATCATCTAGATCGTCAAACTGATCTGAAATCAACAAAACCAGCGGTCAGTTGCTTCCCAATCATTTAGTCAAGTGTAGTGTTACGATCCCAAAGGATCTTTACCTGTGTTTGGTCCCATCGAGGAGGGCCAGGTAATTAAAATGAAATGCTTAGGCATGTTAATGCACTGGCCAGTTTAGGCCGTGTGAGTCTGGGGGTTTTGATGGCCACCACGGATTAGATTCCACGCTGTGGGCGTGGCAGAATTGGAGTCTTCGGGACTCGGCTATTAACGTGGCCAACATAGCCCTTGATTTACGCCTGGGAAAACCTTCCAGATCAAACAGGGCCGAGTGGACCGTCATGGACGGATCTGACCTAGGGACAGGCTAATTAAAATTGTTCCCACTGTGAAGAACGGGGGACGAGTACTTTAGGAGGGTAGACCGGACACTCGGAGACACTCTCGATACACACTCACGACACACACGGAGACGGACGGACTCGTCTCGGATAGCTAGGTATAGAGGAGACAGACATGGGGCGTCTCTGTGGACTAGTGGACAGCCAAGAGATGCCTGTACTGTAGTAGACCTAGGCTAGATAGACAGTTAGGGACAAGTAGGGTAGTCGTACTAAAAACTTTAGTTGTTTGTAGCTAGCTGTGTATATTTCTGATTGTTGTACTTTGGTGGCGGGTTAACTTTAAGTGTGTAATTTGTGGCAATAAATAGAGATTACTGAAGTTGGCTTTTATTTATTTTTATTTTCTTCTTCTTGTTTACGATTCCCTGACTAATTCGAAAGGATTAGAGAAGGGGGTCGTAACAGTAGCCACCGTGGCGCTTAGTAACATTTGCGTACCTTCATTATCAGCATGAGTCTTGCCACAGCAACAACAGTTACAGAAAATCATTTGAAAGAGGGCCTTTGGAGCCCCAATGATATTTAATGGTGCTGGTAGAGTACCGCCATTACCGATGTAGTCCATGTAGAGCAGACTGCGGGAAAATTTCCATTCTCTGTCTGAATCTTCCTAAAGATTGGTAAGCATAACATAGGATCTTTAAATTTCCATTCTGTCTGAATATTCCTAAACAATTGCAAACATAACATAGGATCTTTAAATTTCCATTCTCTGTCTGAATCTTCCTAAAGATTGGTAAGCATAACATAGGATCTTTAAATTTCCATTCTCTGTCTTAATCTTCCTAAAGATTGGTAAACATAACATAGGATCAGTTGCAAGAACCTTTGATGGACATTAAAGGACTCTAACAGAATTGGAACCAATCCTACCCGCCAAATTCAGCAAACCAACACAACCCAACCCTATTGAACACATTTTAACGAAACAATGAACCCCACCCCTCTAGCATCGTATACACACTTTCTCGTCTCATTGTAGACTTGTCGATTTTTACCACAAAAAAAAATGTATATCGCATTGTTTAAAGCTGACAATTTTTTACCACAACAAAATGTATGTCGCATTGTTTAAAGCTGACAATTTTTTACCACACAAAAAATGTATGTCGCATTGTTTAAAGCTGACAATTTTTTACCACACAAAAAATGTATGTCGCATTGTTTAAAGCTGACAATTTTTTACCACACAAAAAATGTATGTCGCATTGTTTAAAGCTGACAATTTTTTACCACACAAAAAATGTATGTCGCATTGTTTAAAGCTGACAATTTTTTACCACACAAAAAATGTATGTCGCATTGTTTAAAGCTGATAATTTTTTACCACACAAAAAATGTATGTCGCATCGTTTAAAGCTGACAATTTTTTACCACACAAAAAATGTATGTCGCATTGTTTAAAGCTGACAATTTTTTACCACACAAAAAATGTATGTCGCATCGTTTAAAGCTGACAATTTTTCCCACGACCAAATGTATATCACAATGTTTAAAGCTGACCAAAAGTTAAATAGAATGAAAGCAGAAATCCCCTATGAGTTAAAAAACTAATGAATATTATCCACTTTCTGAAGAACATAATAATAATATTATTATAAGTAAAACAAGATATAATGAGCACATGTGCGAAACTAACATATAAAGACGAGAACTGATGAAAACTAGAACAGACAATAACGCGAGTACTTACAGCAATGAGTGTGAATGAACGCGTCATCATAGCAATGAGCATGTTCAGCAGAACGGTGACCGCGCAAACGTTGTAAGCCCCGTAAATGATGTATCCAATATCCTCTGTAAAGTTGTTGTTGTATGTGCCAAGTTGTACAGCGTCAGGCTCACCACGGCCAAACATGGCCCAGAAAACTGTTCGGAACGTTGCTAGTACTCTATAAGCAAAACGTTTGTTCAATGGAAACATTCATATTTGTCTGGCATATGGTTTCTAATACTACTGATTTTATATGCACCTTTTATTTCAAGCAGAAGAAAAGCCTGCACAAGGTTTGCATCTTAGCCCAGCTCAAGCAAAAGAAAAAAAAGGTTTGCCCACCTTACCTCACCCCAACAAGCAAGAAGCGTACACAAAATACACATACACAATTTTATAATTAAATCTTACAGCTTACACCCCTTAAAAGAAGAAGCTTATTTAACTAAATCTTACCCCCCCCCCTTAAAACAAGAAGCTTCCGGTTTAAACAAATTAAAACAAGGAATTCCCATCCTACCTAAAAGCAGAAAGAACCGAAACTACCCACCTTTGGAACAAAAACTTCCACTCCCCTCTAATCAAGAAGCTTCCATCTTACCTCCCCTTTCCCACAAAAAAAAAAAACCAAGAAATTTCCACCCCCACCCCTTAAAACATGTAACCACAGTTAAAACAAGAAGCTTCCATCTTCCCCCCCCCCCCCCCCAGGGCCAGGTAACATTTGAAGCTTCAAGCTTCAAGCATTACTGTCAACTTACCCGCCAAACTTGACCTACCCCATGATGTATGACCACATTACTGTCAACTTACCCGCCAAACTTGACCAATCCCATGACGTATGACCACATTACTGTCAACTTACCTGCCAAACTTGACCAATCCCATGACGTATGACCACATTACTGTCAACTTACCCGCCAAACTTGACCTACCCCATGATGTATGACCACATTACTGTCAACTTACCCGCCAAAGTTTTCCGCTGCCATGACGTTTGTGATAATTGGTTTCTCGGGAAACGAGAGCTCTATTTCGTTCCTCTCGCTGTAGTACCAGTACAGATTGTGCAGACCGACCATGAAAGCAAAGATGACTAGGAGGAAAAGTGCTCCGAATTTGGCTATGTCCTGCGAGTGTAAAAGGCTGAATGTAATGATGTAGGCTAACAAGGAATCTTATGTTTAATCTTAGTTCAACATTTCATTTTCTGAAGCATGAAATATGTAAGGTTAATGTCATGAACTGTGGATACAATGTTACAAACGGACTAAAATTTCCGGTGGTGGGCGGACGGTGTTAAAAGTATATATTTTCTATATAAATTCCATTTCGTTTGGGGGGGGGGGGGGTAGACTTTCTTCCCGAAGAGATGCCTGGAAAAACTCTGTTCATAAAAAGTTTTAAAGCTAACATATAGCCTAGATAGTGTAGTAGTCTGTGTACATTTATTTATGACTTATATAACCACTCCTACTGAATGAATGCATTGTAATAGATTGAACCTTTATCATACGGCCTAGTGAGATCTGCAGTGGTCCAAGAATCTCATTGGCTGGTAGCAAATAGGAGATACGACCGACGCTCAGTATATTGGCGATGGCAAAGGAGCCTTCAAGTAAATTGATTGGGTCCGTCGACGTCCAGAACACACGATCTGCAAAAATAGAATAGAATCTTTGGTGCCACAAACACTGCACACACCATCATTTACGACATACACACCAAAGCATTATGCTATATGACGTTAACACCATAACACAATGTTATAAAATTATCAGACTATACATAAAAAACAAACTCCTGGATAAAACCCCCTTGAAACTTCGTGAGGCAGTAGACTGATGATGAACCCCGACGGTAAAAGAAAAAGAGTGAGTTCCATTTGAGAAAACCTAGAAAGGCCGTTAAAATTAACAAAAGATTATTTATTCGGGAGAGGGTATGTGTGTGTGTGTGTGTGGGGGGGTATTTTTCAGATGTCATACTGGTTTGAAGCACAAATACTGCCGCTTCTTACTTTTCCAATACACCCCTTCCCTTACCCAGGTCGTTGGTCTTCATTTGTGCTACTTAAATGTAAATGGCATATAGGGTTATACCAGTATCAATCCTGCATTAGATAGTTTACATTCTCCCTGTAAAATGAGCTCAAATTTCGAATTTAAACATTTCCTAAAATGAATCAATCACTCTCAACAGATAATTACTGATGACAATTATTGCAGACTACGCGGAAGTGCGATCAACTCTAATGCCCCTCCCCGGGACCCACAGCGTCAAGCGACCCCACAAAAGTAGCCTAGAGTACAAGCATTGTGATCTGAATTAAGGAAGAATAATTTTCAGCACTTCTCTCACATAAATAAACCGCCAGAGAAAGTCTTAAACACAACCAGTGCATTGAGTCAGGAGTCGGCAAGTGTTAAACATAACCATTGAGTCAGGAGTCGGCAAGCGTTAAACATAACCATTGAGTCAGGAGTCGGCAAGTGTTAAACATAACCATTGAGTCAGTAGTCGGCAAGTGTTAAACATAACCATTGAGTCAGGAGTCGGCAAGTGTTAAACATAACCATTGAGTCAGGAGTCGGCAAGTGTTAAACATAACCATTGAGTCAGGAGTCGGCAAGTCTTAAACATAACCATTGAGTCAGGAGTCGAGTCGGCAAGTGTTAAACATAACCATTGAGTCAGGAGTCGGCAAGTGTTAAACATAACCATTGAGTCAGGAGTCGGCAAGTGTTAAACATAACCATTGAGTCAGGAGTCGGCAAGTGTTAAACATAACCATTGAGTCAGGAGTCGGCAGGTGTTAAACATAACCATTGAGTCAGGAGTCGGCAGGTGTTAAACATAACCATCGAGTCAGGAGTCGGCAAGTGTTAAACATAACCATTGAGTCAGTAGTCGGCAAGTGTTAAACATAACCATTGCCTTGAGTCAGGAGTCGGCAAATGTTTAACCATTGCCTTGAGTCAGGAGTCGGCAAGTGTTAAACATAACCATTGCCTTAAGTCAGGATTTGGCCACATGCTCAAGCTGATGTATCGCTATTATTCTAGGGGCGGCATGGTGGGCTGGTAAAACTAATGGTTGCTAAAGTCCCGAGTTCGAGTCCCGGGCAAATGAAGCGTGATAGTTAGACAGCAACGTATCACAACTGCCCGTATGGCGCATAACATGTTAAAACAATACTTAATTTTGTTGCAGCAAATCGTGTCCAAAATTACAATTTAGAACGAAGAAGAAAAAGGTATTATAAAGTAAATACCCAACATAATACCCACCATAATACCCAACATAATACCCAACATAATACCCAACATAATACCCACCATAATACCCAACATAATACCCAACATAATACCCAACATAATACCCAACATAATACCCAACATAATACCCAACATAATACCCAACATAATACCCAACATAATACCCAACATAATACCCAACATAATACCCAACATAATACCCAACATAATACCCAACATAATACCCAACATAATACCCAACATAATACCCAACATAATACCCAACATAATACCCACCATAATACCCAACATAATACCCAACATAATACCCAACATAATACCCAACATAATACCCAACATAATACCCACATAATACCCAACATAATACCCAACATAATACCCAACATAATACCCAACATAATACCCAACATAATACCCAACATAATACCCAACATAATACCCAACATAATACCCAACATAATACCCAACATAATACCCAACATAATACCCAACATAATACCCAACATAATACCCAACATAATACCCAACATAATACCCAACATAATACCTAACATAATACCCAACATAATACCCACCATAATACCCAACATAATACCCAACATAATACCCAACATAATACCTAACATAATACCCAACATAATACCCAACATAATACCCAACATAATACCCAACATAATACCCAACATAATACCCAACATAATACCCAACATAATACCCAACATAATACCCAACATAATACCCACCATAATACCACCATACCAACATAATACCCAACATAATACCCAACATAATACCCAACATAATACCCAACATAATACCCAACATAATACCCAACATAATACCCAACATAATACCTAACATAATACCCACATAATACCCAACATAATACCCAACATAATACCCAACATAATACCCAACATAATACCCAACATAATACCCACCATAATACCCACCATAATACCCAACATAATACCCAACATAATACCCAACATAATACCCAACATAATACCCAACATAATACCCAACATAATACCCAACATAATACCCATACCCAACATAATACCCAACATAATACCCAACATAATAGCCAACATAATACCCAACATAATACCCAACATAATACCCAACATAATACCACATACCCAACATAATACCAACATCCAACATAATACCCAACATAATACCCAACATAATACCCAACATAATACCCAACATAATACCCAACATAATACCCAACATAATACCCAACATAATACCCAACATAATACCCAACATAATACCCACCATAATACCCACATAATACCCAACATAATACCCAACATAATACCCAACATAATACCCCAACATAATACCCAACATAATACCCAACATAATACCCAACATAATACCCAACATAATACCCCACCATAATACCCAACATAATACCCAACATAATACCCAACATAATACCCAACATAATACCCAACATAATACCCAACCTCCATAATACCCAACATAATACCCAACATAATACCCAACATAATACCCAACATAATACCCAACATAATACCCAACATAATACCCAACATAATACCCAACATAATACCCAACATAATACCAACAATACCCAACATAATACCCAACATAATACCCAACATAATACCCAACATAATACCCACCATAATACCCAACATAATACCCAACATAATACCCAACATAATACCCAACTAATACCCAACATAATACCCAACATAATACCCAACATAATACCCAACATAATACCCAACATAATACCCAACATAATACCCAACATAATACCCAACATAATACCCAACATAATACCCAACATAATACCCAACATAATACCCAACATAATACCTCAACATAATAGCCAACATAATACCCAACATAATACCCAACATAATACCCAACATAATACCCAACATAATACCCAACATAATACCCAACATAATACCCAACATAATACCCAACATAATACCCAACATAATACCCAACATAATACCCAACATAATACCCCAACATAATACCCAACATAATACCCAACATAATACCCAACATAATACCCAACATAATACCCAACATAATACCCAACATAATACCCAACATAATACCCAACATAATACCCAACATAATACCTCAACATAATATACCCCAACATAATACCCAACATAAGACCCAACATATACCCCAACATAATACCCAACATAATACCCAACATAATACCCAACATAATACCCAACATAATACCCAACATAATACCCAACATAATACCCAACATAATACCCAACATAATACCCAACATAATACCCAACATAATACCCAACATAATACCCAACATAATACCCAACATAATACCCAACATAATACCAACATATACCCAACATAATACCCAACATAATACCCAACATAATACCCAACATAATACCCAACATAATACCCAACATAATACCCAACATAATACCCAACATAATACCCAACATAATACATAACATAATACCCACATAATACCCAACATAATTACCCAACATAATACCCAACATAATACCCAACATAATACCCAACATAATACCTAACATAATACCCAACATATACCAACATATACCCAACATAATACCCAACATAATACCCAACATAATACCCAACATAATACATAACATAATACCCAACATAATACCCAACATAATACCCAACATAATACCCAACATAATACCCAACATAATACCCAACATAATACCCAAACATAATACCCAACATAATACCCAACATAATACCCAACATAATACCCAACATAATACCCAACATACTACCCAACATAATACCCAACATAATACCCAACATAATACCCAACATAATACCCAACATAATACCCAACATATACCAACATAATACCCAACAGTAATACCCAACATAATACCCAAC